AAACCATTTTCTTCAACCCGTGCTAGACGTCCATGTATCACGGACGATACCATTTTCTTCGACCCGTGCTAGACTTCTGTGTAACACGGACTATCCCATTTTCTTCAACCCGTGTTAGACTTCCATGTAACACGGACTAAACCATTTTCTTCAACCCGTGCTAGACGTCCATGTATCACAGACGATACCATTTCTTCAACCCGTGTTAGACTTCCATGTATCACGGACTATCCCATTTTCTTCAACCCGTGCTAGACTTCCGTGTAACACGGACTATCCCATTTTCTTCAACCCGTGCTAGACTTCTGTGTAACACGGACTATCCCATTTTCTTCAACCCATGCTAAACTTCCGTGTATCACGGACGATACCTTTTTCTTCGACCCGTGCTAGACTTCTGTGTAACACGGACTATCCCATTTTCTTCAACCCGTGTTAGACTTCTGTGTAACACGGACTATCCCATTTTCTTCAACCCGTGCTAGACTTCCGTGTATCACGGACGATACCATTTTCTTCGACCCGTGCTAGACTTCTGTGTAACACGGACTAAACCATTTTCTTCAACCCGTGCTAGACTTCCGTGTATCACGGACAATACCATTTTCTTCGACCCGTCCTAGACTTCCGTGTAACACGGACTAAACCATTTTCTTCAACCCGTGCTAGACTTCCGTGTATCACGGACGATACCATTTTCTTCGACCCGTCCTAGACTTCCGTGTAACACGGACTAAACCATTTTCTTCAACCCGTGCTAGACTTCCGTGTATCACGGACGATACCATTTTCTTCGACCCGTCCTAGACTTCCGTGTAACACGGACTAAACCATTTTCTTCAACCCGTGCTAGACGTCCATGTATCACGGACGATACCATTTTCTTCGACCCGTGCTAGACTTCCGTGTAACACGGACGATACCATTTTCTTCGACCCGTGCTAGACTTTCGTGTAACACGGACTATACTGTTTTCTTAAAACCGTGCTAGAAATAAATATAAGGTGGAAAAAAACCATACTTATTAAACCCTGCATAGGTTAGACATCAGTGTAACACAGAACAGACCATGTTCTTCATCCCGTGCTAGACATAAAAGTAACATGGACAAAACCATTTTCTTAAACCTGGGACTTAAGTATAACATCTACTAAACTTGATCTTTAATCTGGGCTTGGCTCCAATGTAAAGTGGACATTAACCATATCAGTTAAACTTGGACTAGACAATAATTTAAATCTCTAATAAATCACAGTTCAATTTGGAACACACAATAGTATTTACCTGAACAAAATAAAGCAACCCGGCGTATTTTCACGGAGGTTATGAGGTGGATTATAGATTTATATGTCAATTTTATTTTCATTGTATCTAATTCATGCAATGTTATTCTAACTACGAAATTATCTGAATGGAACTTCTCAAAAATCACAGTATTCACGGTATATTTTGTGAAGTGTTTCTGTCTAAATATTCTTACTACATTGAGAAACGATATCAGAATGCCTGATTAAAGCACGGGTTATAATTCTACTCCCCAAAATCAACTACGTAACTGTCTCTACCATAGCCCTAATTAATTTCAAAGATCAATAATTAAAAACAATAAGGATATTGGCATCTTTATTATATCAACCCGATCTCGTTAGTCACAAAGTGAGGGACAGTGTATCATTTAGACTTAATATTTGATATTTTTTGTATGTCACATTTCAAATTAAAATCACAGACGATGAAAACTGGGGAGGAAATGCGTTCAAATGTTGGAATAAGAAGACTAATTAAGATAAAAATATAAAGCTACATGAGTTACGCCCCTTCTTACACCCGTTAAAGTACGTAACTGTTAAGGAACGACAACTCTGGTAGAGATTTACAGTACAGATGTAAACTTTTTCATGAGTTGTTGTTCTTGACAGTCAATAGTTGTCAGATATCTGAATTTTTTTCTTTTCTTTTGTTATTGTCGTAACAATAGTTTCACCAGAAGTCCGATATCAAGAAAGTTTCCTTTAGGTATTTTAAACAGGTACACATAATTATTTCGCAATTAGAATTTTTCCACAAAGATCTTCTGACACCCATTGTATGCTACCAAAAGTACGTGTCAGGTTTGTTGGAAACTGCAGCAGATCTTCGACAGACTTTTATCTAAACATTTTATTCGAAATTACTGTATCTAGATAACGAATTTGTCAGTGGCCAATGTATCCTTTGCTGAACATAGTATTATGAGAGGGTTTGTACGCGATCTGGTCTGTCGATTACACATTAGTAATTGTTAAACGTCCATAGAAACAAGATAATGATACAATGTGTGTTTACATTCAGTGTACTATTACGTGATAGTGTTACGTCAGCAGTCAATCAGCAATGAACATGGGGCACTAACGTTGGCCTTTGCGAAAGCGACATCTGGTGAGAGAGTGGCGCAACTCAATGATCCAGTGTTCTTGTTGTAAACAACTAGCTAGTATGCTGAAACAGATCAAACAAGGGCAAGAAAACATAATATAATAATTTCCTTCATGACGGCGAAATAATGCATTGAGAGACCGGAACTTTTGGAAGAAAAATACTATTAGAATACAAATTTATCGGTCAGTGATCAAGACGAAAACGTCAATACTGGACACATCTACGTAACACTGCTACAAAGAGAACATGTTAAATCTCACGTACATATCCGTTCCTAAATGCATCATGACAAAATGCATTACATTCACTTCATTACTACATTCTACCGTCCAATTTCGTTTTCAGTCGGTACTTTATAATGTTGCGTAAATGTATTGATGTATCTCTACTATTGATTGGTCTTGTTAATCTATTGGTACATTTGAGAGAAGATATCTTTAAGGGATAACAGTGTTGTATCAAAATGACAACATATTTGTTTCTTTCCTTCGAGATCTACTTCTCATTTCGTTGTTATGTATTGTGTAGGTGATTTCAGTTTTTTACCTGATTGATATAAGGTTCATATGTGTGTTCTAATATGTCGGATTCTTTTCGGTCATATTTTGGTGGGCGACACGTGTTGTGACAGGAACGTTATAACTTAGTGATGATCACATGTTGACGTTGACACGTGTGGTGACGGAATCATCACACCTTAGTGATAAAAACATGTTGACGGGCGACACGAGAGGTGATGGAGTGGCGACACGAGTGGTGACGATAACATTATACCTTAGTGATAAAAACATATGAATGGTGACACGTTTAATGACGAAATACATTACGACAGGTGGCACATGTGGTGACGGAAACAGTATACCTTTGTGATGATCACATGTTGACGGGCGACATGTGTGGTGACGGAAACAGTATACCCTAGTGATGGAAACATGTTGACGGGCGACATGTGTGGTGACGGAAACGTCATACCTTAGTGATGAAAACATGGTGACGAGAGACACGTGTGGTGATGGAAACAGTACAGCTTAGTGATGATCACATGTTGACGGGCGACACGTGTGGTGACGGAAACAGTATACCTTAGTGAGGAAAACATGATGACGAGCGACATGTGTGGTGACGGAAACAGTATACCCTAGTGATGAAAACATGTTGATGGGCGACGTGTGGTGACGGAAACGTCATACCTTAGTGATGAAAACATGATGACGAGAGACACGTGTGGTGACGGAATCAATATGCATTAGTGATAAAAACATGTTGACGGGCGACACGAGAGGTGACGACAACATTATACCTCAGTGATAAAACATATGGATGGTGACACGTTTGATGACGAAATACATTACGACAGGTGGCACATGTGGTGACAGATAAAAGGATAACGGGTATTTGTTTTTGTTAGTTTTTTCGATGAAAAAAGTATGACAGAAAACGTGTGGGGTGACGGAAGGCATTAACAAGTAACACGTGCAGTACATGAAGGCATTATGACGGGTGACACGTGTGGTGACGAGCTTCGTTATGAGAGGCGACGCGTTTGATGGCAGAGATTATCATGATTTTTGATGTATGGTATCGGATGAAATTATGACGAGAGACGAGTGTGTTGACGGTAGACATCATTTCGGATGCAAAGTGTGGTGACGGAAGATATGACGGGAGACACGTTTGGCGGTAGAAGTCTAACAGTTGCCATTTATGTCAAAATGTGATCATGACGGACACCACATGTGATGGCAAAGACTTCTGTGACGAGTGCCAAATGTGGTGACAAAACCGTTAACACTGCTAAGACATTTACTACAATCTCTTTATCTGTACGAGCTTTTAGTTAAAACCCGATGAATTTCCAGAAATTTATTTTATTATTCTTCATACGTTTGGCACCTAAAATACGAGGATGTACCTGTGTACTCAATCGTTCGTCGTACTATACATTCCCATATAAAATCATTACAAAACTTGAAAACTCGGAGTGAGGTCGAATGTGTATTTGGTTATAATATGATGTCAGACGGGATAAAGAAATACAAATACAATGCCCAGAAAGGGTCGCAGATTAAAAAAAATGAAGAAAAACAAATAAAAAAATTATCGCTTTCGTATTACATAATGTTTCATACACTAGAATGTTCGGTTCTGTGAGGATTATATAAGCTGACTTTATTGACCTGAAATTTGATACGTAACAATACCTCTACGAAATTCCCATGTATGGGCCCGCCTTACCTAACGGAGCTGTTAGGTCACGGGTTTGTTATCAAAATTGCTACAATATTAAGACTTCATTGAAAACAAATGACGGGGCAAAAACCTAAATATGACAAAAGTTGATGTACTAACATATTTGAAAGTAACGAAATATGAACTTGTTTGACTTGGCCCTAATCTTGTATGGATCCTGATATATATTGACAAGTCCCCGTGGGTGGGTCGTTTCCTCTCTATTTGACCCCAATAGAACTGCTACCTTATCTCTCCTTGTCCGTTGGTCGTCCTGATGTGACGTCACGATAATCTGGACTATAACTATACGGTCCAGACAACTCACGACATTTCGTTTCGTTTCGAGAAGGATGGTCCCTAGAGGCGTTCTTCTGTGGGCGTGCGCCGTCCTTTGGGCGGCAGCGCCGGGGCGGGCACAGCAGCAAGGTTAGTGGTTCGATTCCAAGCAGCATCCTTATTCAGCAGCTGATTCAGCTGGTCGGGATTGAGTGTTAAAAATGTGGTTGTTTGATCAAATACATTACATCACTTGAAATATGACGGTAGATCGGATTGTGAGTTGTGTCTATTTTTGGAATATAGAAAAAAAATAGCAACTGAACTTTTGTATCCATATGCGTTCGGATTTCTACCTGTGACATAAGATGGTATCGGTTAAACGGCACTGAATTGGCGGAAATCTTTTTCCTTTTTAAGTTTATAACTTTACATAAATTTAAATTTGGAGAGTCAAGTCCATTTTGATATTTAGTAATCTATCCAACGATATATAATCAAACGGCTACTTAAAAGTGGCAATAAAATATGACACTATATGTATCTAAAAATTACACCAATGTTCAAACTTAATTAGTATAACATGAAATTAGTAATTATCCACCTTCCTAGTTATTTTCATATACTGATGACGTTATGAAGGTAATTATTGTAAAAAGGTAGCAAAACTAATGATTATTTTAAAACTTCGTTTCAGAGATTAATAAAGCGCAAACAAACGTGATTTATTATCGATGATTTATTCATGGTTTCATTTCATTTATTCATTTTTATTTATTTATTTATATTTATCTATTGATTTACTTTTATTTATTTATTTACAAAGTTACGACTTACTTCATAACATAAGATAACAGTAAACAAGAGAAAGAGATTGAGGTGGGATGAGAAAAATCAGATCAAAAGGTTGTTACATGTGAAATTCATTCTCAATCTTAACTTTGGCTTTAATTTCAACAAAAACAATAGGACTTATTGTATTGTTATACGTGTGCGAGCTATGCAAGTTTGGGTTATCTGTAGGGGCAAACTCTAGTGTGTATTCCCTACAGCTGGTTATCTGGCAAGGATGGGTTCTTATCTCGTAGCGATATAGGCCTCTATTATACAGTATCATCACACATATATATTATATCAAATCTCAAACTATATACCAGTCTACAAACATTTTAATTTATGTAACAAAACTTACATAAAGATCTATTATGGGACTTCGATTATTTAAATAAGATGGAAACTGATTAAACATACTCTATTTTTTCTTTAATATGGACAAATGCAAGATCTTTTCTTTATACAGGTTTCGATACAGATTTGTTTAAGATATTTGGTTGATATATAAACAGGTTAAGTGATGAATTTGTATAAAGTCATCCCTTGATGTCATCCTGAATTTCCGTATTAGTTTTCTCATAACATGTCAAACTCTGTTTTGACGTTTAATCGATTTCACATGTCCGGTATTTCATATTCAAATTTGTTTGCTTTTGTAGAAAATTAAGAAAAACAAGAGGGATAGAGAAGCAATGCATCTCTGAATATCTCTGAGATATTGCTTGTATTATTTCTATTCGGGAGTAACCATTACGATAAGGTTCTCCATGTTTCATATTACAGGTTGTGCTACCCAAGCCGATGTTACATTTATTCTGGATTCTTCTAACACTGTTGGACAAACGAACTTTGAGAAACAAAAAGACTTCGTGAAGCACGTAGTTGGTGGTCTTAAAGTCGACCCTAACAGTGTCCGCATCAGCACCGTTACCTATAACGATGTGGTTCACAACCAGTTCTTCCTCAACCAGCACAACACGCAGAGTGACGTCATCAACGCTATCTCTGCCGTGCCGTACACTAGCGGTAGCGCGCACACGGCTGACGCGCTACAGTATGTGTCGCGGCAGTCGTTCAACACGCTGCACGGAGGACGAACAAATGTGCCCCACATCGCCATATTAGTAACGGACGGACCTTCCATCACCCCGGATATTACAAAGTTCGAAGCTCAGAACGCCAAGGACAAAGGCATCATCATGTACAGCGTTGGCGTCGGCGGTGGTATCGACAGAGACGAGCTGACGTCGGTCGCCAGCGACCCCAAGGCGCGCTACATGATGACGGCGGAAAATTACGACTCGCTCAACAGCATCTCTAATCTCCTAGCTTCTAAAATCTGTAACGGTAGGACTTTCAACGCATTATCAAACATACTTATTATGCTCTCAACATAGTATAACATTTTTAGAAATATTTACACAGATAGATCAAGATTGATCAGATCAATAAAATATTTTCTGTTATTTAAGTGAAATATACGTATTTCAAACCGACATTTTGGTAAAACTCAGTTGAAATTAAAAAAAAAAGAGAAAAGATGTGATTGCATATCAAACTCGAATCCATATAGTCTTGAAGAGTGTAATATCTAGTCAGAGTTGCTGTTCCTAAATGTCAGAGTTTATGTTGAGAGAGGACCGACAGGTCTGGGTAGGGTCGCTTATTCTGATAATGAACATTGCGTAGTAACCAAAATGATATAGCTTTTTAATAAAAATATCCTTTTAAAACTGTTTCTTATGTTAATAACATATGGTTTTTATCTTATACAAACTATTGTTTACTTTCCAGAGCTTCCCCCAAACCCTAACTTGTTGTCGACACCATCTAGTAAGTTCTCCTACATATTGATATTATTTCCGTGAGTTTAAATTTGCCAAAACGCGTTATCCAGGATAACTTGAAGTAACATACTAATTTTTACCTGGCCACTTTTATATCTTTTTTCTCTTATATTCCACAGGCTGTCTCCAAAACCCCGCTGACGTCGTCTTCATGGTTGACTCCTCCAGCAACGTTGGTAACATCAATTTTATGAAGATGCAGAATTTCATCAAGAACACTGTCGCCGATATGAATATTCAACCCAATGGCGTCCACGTAGGTTTGATGCAGTACAGCAGCTACCCCTCATCCCAATTCCCGCTCAACCAGTACACAAATCGTGGCGACGTTCTTAAGGCCGTGGAACATCTCTCGTTGATGGGCGGCGGCTCAAACACCGCCGACGCAATTTCGTACACACGTGACCATATGTTCTCCCAGAGTGAGGGCGGGCGATCAAATGTACCCCGTATCGCCATTTTATTGACCGATGGTGACTCCAACGACATGTCGTCCGCAATTACCGCTGCCAACAAAGCAAGGGATGCTAGCATTGGACTCATCTCCGTCGGAATCGGTGGACGTGTAAACCAACAGGAACTTGCTGGGATATCACCATCCAACGTCATCAATGTGAACAGCTTCGACCAATTGGATTCCATCAAAAGTACTCTGCTCCAAAAAATGTGCGGAGGTAGGTACCGTGTTGTGAGGTGATTAAAACAAATACACAAAAAGTTGGATAAGCCCTTCCATCTTTAAATTACTCTCTGTGCGTCATATAATTACTGCGCATCGTATTTTGTCTATCTTTAAAATCACAAAAAATGTTCCCCTCACAGAGATATACCGTTTAGCGGTATATGGCCAATTTCGTTGATAAGCAAATTTCTTTATAAAATATTTTATCATTATTTTCTGCAAATATTCAATCACTATTTATGTTTATGCCCATGATACGATTTCCACTAACATTAATATGCAACTACATCGTTCATATTTCAGTAAAGAGTACTTTCGACTTCAACGCCGGTAAGTTTTTTGTTGTCATGTTTCGTAACTCTACCTGTGTATATCAGCTGATCTGTCCATTAGACTTGTCTATAGACTTTTTTTTTATTAATACAAATACGCTTCATTAATTTCTCATGCATAAATAAGACACTTGAATGTTATCATCTTTATGTCTTTGCACGATTAAAACGTTTCAACCTTATTGTATATGTCGCATTACAATGTTTGGTGTTTGTCGTATATGACCGATATGATTTTTATCAAATCCAGCAACAGATTTTAAGTAAAATGTACTAACTGTTAAATATATTATGTATGCCTTGTTAATGTTATCATGTAAATATTATCATGTATCGTATTAGAGGAAAAGGCGGTCATAAGTTGAAATAACTTGTGCCTAATCCTCTGCTCAATTTGGGGACAATAAATATGTTTAAATCAAATATGATTTTACTTAAAATTTTGTGATTTTTTTTTAACAGTAACCAGTGGCTCTTGTGTCGATACACTCAGTAACTGTGCCGCATACGGAAGATCTGTCTGTACCAGCTATAAAAATTGGGCAAGCAGCAACTGTCAAGCTTACTGTGGAATATGCAAATGTAAGTACAACACGTGTGTATCATATATGACACCAACGATCAAATGATTCCCGCCGTTAAAAACTTAAACGTTTATATGTAAATGAGTGTTAAAATTTACGCGACAATTGTATCAGATTATTTCGCAGTTTAATTTTTAAAGGAATCATTTAAATAATAACAAAGGAATAACCACAAAAATTATTAAAGAATAAGCGATTTCTTCAACGCAAAAAAAAATCCAGAAAAGAGTAGTTGTGCTACTGTGTTTGAAAGAAAGAATGTTACTGGAAAGAAAGAAAGAAAGAAAGAAAGAAAGAAAGAAAGAATGCGTCGTTCATGAGCGTCGAACCAGTTTGCATTAAGGCAGGACGCGAATTCAAGCGTCTGGAAGATATCGATCGCCCGCGAAATTATGGCTGCGGCTGCTGGTTTGTTTGTAAACAAAGTTAATGTAAGTGAGGAAATTTCATGGTTTCAAGTTACTTATCAGAAATATGAATCAGTATGAGAGAATATCAATATACGAGGTCTTCGAAACTGACAATATTATATTGTAGGGACTCTAAACCGAGTCAATGTCTTTGTTTTAAATATATGGTATCTTTTCGTCTTATTTGTGTAAAATAATTGGAATAGATTAACTTAACAAAAATACTTATTTTTCGCTTTTTAGTTATCTTGAATATTCAGTATCTTGAAGAGCCAACATTCCTTTTTCAGACCAATACCAGCCATCCCTACCCTCCTGCACTGATAAAGTCACTAACTGCGCTGCTGTAGGATGTACCACTCAAGTCCAATGGGCCCGCGACAACTGTAAACTCACATGTGGATACTGTGGTAAGAAGGTGGTCCTACATTTCAAGATAGGCATTTGCAATTAGTATATATATACAATTTTTGAGATTAAATGACTCTTTAATATTAAAAAATGAAATGTTTCCTGGTGACAAAAGGTCAGGATATTGTGCAGTCTATAATAATTGAGTTCATACCATACCAACTCAAATGATTTAAAAGCATCCATGAATAAGCCCACCCCATACATGGAGTCAGATGTAATGTGTTGGTTTTCTGGAATAAATAAAGGATGAATATGATGATTCGTTTTTTTTATAAACTTTTGAATACGTTAATTTTTCAGGTGCTGGATCAAGCAGTAGCAGTGGCAGTGCTGTTGGTTTCTGTAAGTAATTTTCATATCTGCGACAACAGAATGAAACTATTATCTGTATGTAAACAATTTGTGTGTAAGTACACATCAATCTTTTTATATAGATATATATGTATTTTTCACAAGGACACTTACTGGCATTTGTAATAAGAAATATAACAAAAATATAATGACTGAAATTTCCTTGTTTCATACATCAGTTGCCAGTCAAGGATAATGATTACCATTAACCAGTTTGTAACAAATTGTAGAAACATCATTGAAAATTGAGTCAATGATCAATTAATTTGATTACAAAGAGCTACTTTGATGAATTCAACCCGGAAGACTGCTACAGGAATTTCAGGGATTTTTTTGTTGTTTTTTGTCCAGATGGCCGCTGTGCATACAAGGGAAAAACCTACTCTACTGGAGAAAAGTGGACTGATGGCTGTGATTATGAATGTGTCTGTCAGGATGGAAACTCTGGCCAATACAACTGTTACAACAGGTACATAAAATTTACAGTTGCTGACAACACTTTTTCAGCAAAATGTCTGTTACATTCCAAAGTGTTTCAATTATGACATATATATATACATGTATAAGCAATTGCATCATTAGATATAAGGTACAAGAAAATATTTGAATTCTCTATCGGGCAGCACTTTTTGTATGTTTATTTTTAAGTGAGAACAGAACACAGTTTTCCCAAATTTGTATCGGTCTCATTAAAATGAAATGTAACAAGGTCTCAAAATTTGGGACCTACACAGAAAGCAAAAGTCCAGGACTCACATTCACACAAGTTGAGGATGTAGGAATTAGATAACTGGCTATAAATGGAAAAATAGACTGAAATATTATGTGAAAGAGCAGCAGTAAAGGGAGGCTACTCTGGTCTAAAAAGATTTCATTTCAGACTAAAGTTTTTATGGTGTTACATTTGAACTTAAACTAAAGTATTTTAATGTTCTTGGTATACTGAAGTACTGTATTAGATGTCCCAACTAAAGTCTCTTGAACTAATGTTTTATTTCAGGTGTCCAGTATATTATGATCTGCCATCCCTGTGTACTCTGGTAAGAAAACCAGGAGAGTGTTGTCTACAGCCTACCTGTAACTTCGCTTCCAATGTCCAGACTATTGAACAAAACAGTGCTGCTGTGACACCAGAGGGATACAGTATGTATTCTGAAAATCTTTAAATATGAGACTCAACATGTCCTCCATTGTCACTCCTACCCATATGGTATTTCACATATAATGGGCCCTGAATCATAATATGCATTTCATCAGAAGTTTTTTATGACAATTTTTCTTTTTCAGGGATAACTGATTACTGTAAAATATCATTTTCTTTTGATAATTCCGCCCCAGTCTTCAAGTCATTTATGTGTTAGCTCTGTGAACTGGTTTTGGGGTAAATGCAATGTTGTAGGTAACAAATTAGGAAAGTTTGTCTTAAAATGTTTTTTGTTTGGCAGAGGTCTGTGCCTACAAGGGAAAGCAGTACTTTGAGCGCCAGACCTGGAAGGATGGGTGTAGCTACCAGTGTACATGTGTGGATGCTTCCACAGGACACTACAGATGTGAACAATTGTATGTATAAAATTTCTAGTGAAATAAACATGAATGTATGCTTACATGCCATATTTTTATGAGACCAGTAAGAGAGACAACAGCAATGGAGGTTTGTGCTCAAAATGTTAACATTTTCACTCAAGTTTTAAAAGCAAAAATCAATTTTAATGTTATAAATATGATATAGTCTGAATGCATTATTACGAGTAATATTCCAGAAAAAGGATAATTTTGTATCAAAGAAAACAATTTGACAGTTTTCTTCTTATTACTGTCATAAATAGGGTGTAATAAAATGATATTTAACAGGTGACTAGGTTTGATTTTATAAAAAGAGATGAAAAAACAGTTATACTATTGAAGAAATGCCCTGCATATCAGTTGTGGGTATTCCTTTCAGGTAACCATAGCAGTACCTAAAATGTATCTCCCTAATCCCCTCTGATATTTACAATGTCTAATTAACAGGTGCCCTGCATACAATGCCCTACCCAGTTACTGCAACCTGGTACAGACTCCTGGCCAGTGCTGTCAACAACCTGTTTGTGAATTCAGCCAACAACATGGAAGTTTCAGTGGTCAGGGACAGATCAGTGGACAAGGAGCTGGTATGTCTAGGAAAGATATTCTATTTCAGAGTTTAGAAAAAATCATAGCTATATCTAATCTAGTGAATTGTAAATTATTTTTCAAATAAAAATACTATAGATGATAAAGAAATGTATTGTAGTTCGGCCAGAATTACCTGTCCCATTGAACTTTACCTGGAGTAATAAAATAGGGCATTTACATTTGGTAGGTTTATAGGTTATTTACAAGGGGTGTACAGCCTGCGGATAATGTGGTTTACCTGGGCTTCAAATTTGAATAAAAGTTGCCTGTAATTAATATAATTATGACAAGCAAGCATGATAAGTAATTCTTATCTATACCACATGAGATACATAAATATATCATTAAATATCATGTGGTATATTAAAAGGCTTTACTTTTTTACTAAATGATTTTAATGTTTTACTTTTGATCCATTTAAAGTTCTTTAATTCCTTAACTTAATGATCTATTTGGAAATTACAAGAGTTTTTTCACTGGTTTTGAATGGGGGCATTTTTTAAATTTTTGAACTGGGAATATGAAATGACTTCAATTAGGAATGCCCATAATTGCCCCCCAAAAGGCCACAACCGTTCCCCCACCCATCCGCCCTACCCTACAATAAAATAATTCACCATAATTGAAGTTAAATAAAGTTATAACTTATGTACCGTATTTCATATCTCTTTTGTCTATAGAATTTTCTTGTGTTTATGACAGGTCTCACCTACACTCCTCCTAGTGCCTGTAATGATGTCCTGACTAACTGTCAGCAGTATGACAAGAACTCCTGTACAGCCTACCCACAGTGGGCTCAGTCAAACTGTAGACTAACCTGTGGTCTATGTAGTAAGTAATTACTATTATTTATATATTTTGAAATGTTTTGTATGATTTTGAATATGCTTATTGTTTGAAAGTTAACATATTGTGAAAATATCCTTTCAAATCAATATTAGATCTAATTATTAGTTGACTTCTAAATCATGAAGTTAAGTATTAACAATCAAAACTTAGATTGAAATGGAAGCTGTAATGGTCAGTTCTAAATAGAATTAATATCAACCATGACTCTGAGTATAGAATTTTTAAATTTTTGCATTGCTTTAGGTACATCCAACCAACTGGCTACTGCTGCACCTGGAGGTAAGACTTCAAACTTGTTGCAAAAATTGTGAACTAAAATTAATCATTTGAATTTTTGCTTTGATTGTAGTATAAAAGGGAAATAATTGAATATTATTTATTGTGTAAATGATTAAAAGAAGTAGTAAGTTTTTATCTGTTTTTTAAACAAGGTATGAAGATAAATAAAGCTAGTTAATTTGCTTTGTTTCAGATCGATGTGTGTACGAGGGAAAAACCTACACACAGGGCCAGACCTGGAGCCCTAGCTGTTCTCTTAAGTGTACCTGTGAGGCTGCTAAATATGGATACTACAGATGTGTCAACCAGTAAGTTGAAAGCTTTGATTGTCAGACCACCTCTTAATCATTTAGCAACAAATTATTTTTATATGTAAATGAAAATTTTGTTTATGAGAAGAAATTGAATTATATATGATCTTTTATTGAAATATTTTTTTTAAAAATTCCTCCACCAGCAAGACAATTGTGCAATGTATATTGTTTAGAATTTCATTATAGTGTTGTAACTTACATGTTGTATGATATTCATGAGAAGGGTATATAATATAATTATTATGTAATAAATGATAAACTCTGAGGTTACAGGTATACAAATGGTTTTACTTTGCAGGTGTCCAACATACAACAACTTACCAAGTGGCTGTAATGTCCGCAGGCCTGTAGGTTACTGCTGCGAGGTAGTTGAATGTCAGACCGGTTCTGCATTCTCCTCCTCACAAAACATCAACTCCATTGGTAATGGCGGTGGTTTCCATGTCATCAACCCTGCTCAGGGTCTCTACCCTGCCCCCACTGCCTACACTGGAGGACCTATCTCTGTAGGAGCTGGAGGAACTGGATTCCAGCCTAACCCCATAAGTATGTTTGGGTAGTGGTCTTAGTATCTCACCCAGACCTTTTTGTTATCATTTTGTGATTTGGCCTTTTCTTTTTATTTTGGAGTAAACATAGAGCAGTTGGGTAGACAAGCATCGAGGGTCAACTACTATGTTGTAAAATGATAAATTTTTGTCAGGGTTTTAACTTTGTTGTTTTCCTGAGTATGCTTAAATTGAGGAAATCCATGAATTAGCAAACTTTTAAATTTTGACATAAGTTTAAGTGTAAGTGCATTTTGTCAGTAGATTATGTATTTGCAAATTTAAGTTACTACTTTTTGTTTTTGCAAAACCACAAAACTTAATCCCTATGAAATTAAATGATTTAGCTGTATGTTGCCCTATGTCTAATATGAGGAAATTCTTGAAGATATTAAAGAGTTTATTTTTGTATGCTGTAGGTGGCTGTCTGTTCAACGGTCAGGTTTACTATCAGAACCAACCATTTGATGATGGCTGTGCCCGATCCTGTGTATGTCTCAATGCTACCAGTGGACAGTATTCCTGTCGTGACAAGTAAGATGTTTGCTGTTTTCATTTATCATGGTCCAATATGTTGATCGTGGAACCAGAGTTATTTGTAATATAAAATAAAATCAGAACAAATGATCTCATTTTATTTCCTGATTAATTTTGGTGTAACCTTGCTAATTACTAAGTTTTATACTACATAGCAAGGAGTTTGACAACGTCCTAGGTTGGATTGTAGCAGGGGTGTTGAAATAAGTAATGATCTTGTTATATTGACAAAGATTTAATCTGCAGGTCCACCAGGATTTGTCTGGAATGTTACATTTAAAAAATAGATACACTTGTTTATTGGCATTAACGAGTTGGCTAAATGTTTCCATAGCTAAAAGCTTAATTGTTGCTTAATGTAGTCTTTGATATTCAGTATTGACATTAACTGTCTTGCAGAAAAACAGGAAAGAAAATAATCAACAGTTATTAATATTTCAGCAGAAATGACCTAAGGACATTAAGTTGACCCCAAGTCTCCAAAATAAATCACTTTTATCCATGGTTTGGTTTCCTGCCATTAGTTATAAGGGAATGATAAATTAATTCTATGAGTGGAACCCCTAAACAAAACCTGAAGTCTTGGGTTGAGACTTATGTTTTACTGGATTAACTCTTACTTTGCTTTACTATATTTGAAAATAGTAATTCAGTAGATAAAAAGAAACTACGCTATGAGGCTGATGATTGAAGCTAGACACAACTTCGAGGTTACTCGGTGTTTGAAAAATTATTTTTATTTATGTATAATAAATCTGGCCTTTGACAGGTGCCCTGTCTACCAGAACATGCCATCCACCTGTGTGCAGGTGACCGATGCCAATGACCCCTGTTGTACATCTCCTAAGTGTACCCCAGATCCAGTGACAGGTCAGATGCCAAACCTGATTCCAGTATTCCAGCCAGCTATCACTGGCATTGGTCAGGTGCAGCCACCGGTTCCAGGAACCGCAAATGGAGTGAACCAACTACCCTACTCTGGCTATGTAATCCTTAGTCAGACTGGATTTGTGCCACCACCACCCACAGTTCCAGCAGGAATATCAAAACAAGGTGAGTTTCTATACCCATAATGCCAATTAAAAAAAATGAAAGCATTTTGGGGGTTTGATCTTGCCTTGTGTGAGGAATATGAACCTTTTGGTAGATTTCTGGTCATTGAGATGTTTGCGGCATCATTAAGAATTTTTTTTGTCTGAGACCATAGTCTACACAGTATTCATTACATTGTTGATGTCCACTGGAATATCCTAATATTTTATTCTTTTGAAATACTCTTGGAATTGTCTATTCTTCAAATTTTCTATTATTTTTGTTTTGTATTAAATCTTCAATTTTTGAAAATAAGGAAAATAAGAGCAGTTTGAAAAATATCAACATTTAGAATAGATATCTATACAATGAACTCCATTCATAACACATATCTATATTTATATTCAAATTATTTCAAGGTTTTGTCATAATTTCTTTTAAATTCTTTTGTTATGTGTGCTTGTTTGTATCTGATATTTTTTTGCCAATTACCTCCCTCCTTTAGGTTATTGTGTGGCTAAATCTGGGCAGCACTACGCCCCCGGAGAGTCATGGGAAGAGGGATGTGATTACAACTGTATTTGTGACAATGGTCTCACTGGACACTACACCTGTGTAGAGAAGTAAGTTTTTTTCAGAAATATTCCAAATCATGTTTAGAGGTCGAGAAAAAGACTTAGGGGTGCAAAGAAAAAACACATTTTGGCGTAGATGGAAGATGACATGTACTGAAATGATTTTTGAGGGTAGGTTGAAATTGCAAAAGAAAGATAACTTAAAAATGAAATTGATAGAGAAAACTTTAATCCATTCAGTGACCTTTAAGAAGGGGATGCAGGTCAACCCCTCACATCACCAAAACTCTGATTATGTGTCAGTTTGATGTGTAGTAACAGGAAGAGTCGCGGAGATGGAACACTAATCAACCAATAACTGTTTTGTGTCTTGTACATCTTTTTTGCTTCAAGCATTTGGTCAAGCTGTGGAAATTTGGAATATTAAATGAAAGTCTTCATTGAAACTTTTAATGTTTAAAAAAATTTACCCAGTTGAACAAATGATCCTCTTAATATCCGACAAGGGACTCAAACATTTGTCTTCTGGTTAATGTTGAGTTTCCTGTCCACTACACTACCTAACTTTTCAGAAAAACAATTGAAATCTTTCAAATGATTGGATGTTTTTATGAAAAATGCCTTGGCATGGTGAAACATTTATCATGGGTGTAAAGAATAACATTGCCCTGGCTACTTTGTATCTGTAATGAATAGATAACAGTGAAATGAATCTTATAAAATTTGCTACATTTTCAGGTGCTACAAATATGAATATGTACCCAACCCCTACTGTCAGTTTATCAGAGACCCTAAGAACCCTTGCTGTGTCGTTCCACAGTGCTATGCTGTCCCTCATGGAATAGAACTCACTGGCGTGAGGACCACACCCTTGACCAAAGAGAGTGAGTATAACTTCCGAAAATCACTGCTTCTTTGTTTATATTACAAATATTTGGCAGTAAGCCCATGGCTGGTAATAAGCCTAACCTAGTTTACTGCAGTTTCAGCAGAAATGTGAACAAATACTTCATGATTGTCATGTGGTAAAACCACTTCCATCAATAATCAGCATCAAAATTGTTATTACAATATATAAATAAAATTTTCAATTATATCAGGAACACATAACAATTCTTAGTTTTGAGTTTTATTGTGTAATGTGTCAGTTACTATTTTAAACATCTGAAAGTTACGATTATTATGTCATACTTAGAGGTGCATGTTACCACTAATTCAAACATCTTTGAGATAATGATTCTGTCATATTGTGCATTGTACCAGATATTCAAACATCTTGCAGACAATAATGGATGTATACTTTCACAAAGCATTTATTCATTATGGAATTTTTTAGGTGATTGATAGTTTTCGTTTTTGAAGATCATGTTTACTGTTTGTTGTAGATGTGTGTACGTATGAAGGAGAGACTTACCAGCAAGGACAGACCTGGTATGATGGTTGCAGCTACAAGTGTACTTGTGAGGATGCTCTTAATGGTATCTACCGCTGCACCAGTAGGTGAGTTCTTGAAAACATGAGAATTCATGATTATTGTTGTTTTTTAAAAAAGAACTGTAACCCGGTATCAAAACGAGACCAATCATATTGATTTTGTTGATATAGATCATCCTTGAACTCCACAGATATTGTAAAATTACATCAAATTTTAAACATTTCATCAGTTCATAAATTACTCACAAAATAAAAAATGAACCCTGCAAAAACTACTGGATTTATATTATACTGTTTTGTTGTTAATAGGTGTCCTGATTATCTGGATCCTCCCGCTGGCTGTACACTGATTGCTGATCCCCGTGACCCAACCTGCTGTAGAATGCCTAAATGTAACCCTCAGGGTACCACCAATAACATCACAGGCACCGGACAAGTTATTCCGAACCCCATCCCTCCAGCATCTTACTATGGAAAGATCACAGGCGAAGGCAAAGTACCAGGTATAAAGGAAAGCCTTTCGATAATGAATAGTAAAGAACTAAATGACAATGAAACTTTTAAAGACAAATTCGAAAAATATAAAGTGCCTACTTTCAATATCATGACTATTCAGTGGCTTGGACTAATTTTCAGAATTGTTAAATATTTGAGATTCAAAACTAATTTAGATTCAAATCTTGGGTTGAATGCAGAATTATAGTATTATTGAATACATAATTTACGTTTCTTGAATATAGAACAATACATGTTGTAAGTTGAATGCAGAACTTCGGTATTGTTTAATACAGAACCTGGGTATTGTTAAATATACAACCTAGGTTTTGTTGAAAACAAAACTTCGGTATTGTTGAATATAGCATTTCAAGAATATAAGCTAGGAACTGTTGAGTACAGACCATTGATGTCATTGAATTCAGAATTTAGATATTGTTGAATACAGAACATAAAGCACCTGTGAATACAGAGCCTTCCTATATTGTCTCTATCCATAGGCTACTGTATCTACAAGGGAACCCAGTACACTACTGGTCAGATCTGGGAAGATGGATGTGATCTCACATGTGAATGTAAGGATTCAGAGACAGGAGTTTACCAATGTACAGACAGGTGAGATTGTCTTACACATTCTAATGAAAATTGGTAATATGTAACATTGCTTTCTGCGAGTGACAGGAATCAATTCCAGTTTCAAAGCCGATAACGGAATACATGTAATTATTCATTCATTGATTATAATTGGTTGCATGTATTAACTTCATTATAGTTTTAGATTTTAAATTTCTTTCTTGCATTGAAACTATTGTGAATTCTTAAAATTGATATTTAGTTTTCGGTCTGTAAAAAACTAACCTGTATTTGTATTTTCTACTTAATAAATACCACCGATAAAAGCCTTGAAGAATCATGAAACAAACATTGATTACAAAAGAGATTTATTTCTGGCTGTTCATAGGTGTCAGAGATATACTGGTCTGCCATCTTACTGTCGACTGGTCAATGACTTCGCCAACCCTTGCTGCAAGAAACCAGAGTGTAACCCACCTGGTTCTACTGGAGTCATTGATGGACAGCACCCAGTTGTCCCTGGTGTATCTCCCTCACCAACTGCTGCCCCCAACCCTCTTCTGCCATCACCACTACCCCAATCTAGTCGTAAGTATATTTATTATCCCATTTCTGTCATTTACTCTACCTTGAACTAGTCGTAAATATACCCATCTCACCTGCTATTGCCCCATAACTTACTTATCTATACTATTTCGCAAGATCTCAGAATTTGGCTTTTGACATGGTGTACCTACAATGAAGTGACATCGTATCTGAGTGCATAATCATTGTTTTCCTTTTAGAATATTGTGTCTACAAGGGAGCTAACTACATTCAGGGACAGACTTGGGAGGATGGCTGCAACTACAAGTGTCGCTGTGATGACTCCAGTCGTGGAATCTACACCTGTCTAGAGAGGTTTGTGAACTGACAGAAGTAGATAGTCAGTATCATTATTTGCTCTGTAACAGTTATTAAGGACGAGATTCCCTGTAATTCTCTTCTCATCTGAATGTTACAATATCTATAGGAATAAGTTGAGGGAGCTGATACTAGTACATAATCTTTGAATTAAAATGGAAATATAGGCTTATCACAGGACAATGGAACAGCATTTATTCTACAGAACTTCGGTAGTTGAATGCACTTAAATATCCGATGAGGAGGTTATTTCTTAATAAATGTAGTACACTTATTTCTAGTATACATGTAATATTTACAGGTGTGCCAAATTTGACCAAATGAAGGAAGGTTGTACACTGATTTCTGACCCTGAAGATGGCTGTTGTTTGGTACCTGTCTGTCCTCGTCCTACCCCTGGGCCTGGACAAACCAACCCACCAGGCCCCACCCCCGTCCCCACCCTCTTGCCCCACGGCTTCACTGGACAAGTCCACTTACCAACTCCAGAACCAGTCCCAGGACAGCCATTGCCTACACCCAAATACCCTCTTGGTAGGTATTGTGTTCCTTTTAATGGCTGCACCAGTGTTCCTAGTCACACACAGTTGTGTGATTCATTAAGAACTGCACAATTTTCACACACAAAAAATGCCAAGTATGTGACCCGTAGGCACAGGTATCATTCTAAACGTTTTGACAGTTTGCTGAATTTGGTGAAAACATTTTTCAAAATAACATAATAAAGTCTTTTGTGATGTATAAATCAGAAGAAGGGTAAACTTTAATCATGATTGATTTTGATTGGAAATTTGTATAAATAAACATGAACATTTCCATTCAAAGGAAATTCCCTATAAGTTTCCTGACATCACCCTATTAGAAGAATAAGAGAGTACCAAAACCCAGCATGCAATAGTCACCAGGAACATAACTATGCACTTTATCAGAAAGTAGATATCACTTCAGGGTACAGCACTAGCAGAGTAATATTAAGGATTTCAAGTCTAGAAATCAAAATTTTGAGATGTACTCAAGGATGAAAAATGGTCACAAATTGATAGACATGGGAGGTTATTTGATGGGGCACTGTAAAAGTATTTTTATAAGAGGTTTCTATTTTCATGATTTTTGAGGATGGGATTAAACTGCAACAAATGCATACTTGGAAAATAAAACTGATAAAAAACAAAAATTCAGCTTATGACCTGTGAAAAAGTACATTCTTTTGTGACAAACTTTTGGCAAACCATGCAATTTTGAACTATCAAAAAAGACAATTTTAGTAGGATTCCAGTGAAATATTTATTAGATGGAAGGGCTCCAGTTTTATCTACAAGGACAACAAGGAAAAAATGTTTAATTCTGACAGTGTTATATAATAAGATATCTATCAATGAAAGAATTTTTAAAGTGTAAATATTTAATAAAACGGCCCTTATTAATTGTAGTGGTTGTATGGTGTATTTTCATTGACTGTGTTGTATGTTACAGGGTATTGTTATTACAAGGGAGACACATACACCCAGGGCCAGACCTGGGATGATGGCTGTGACTACACTTGTGTGTGTACCAATGCCTCCACTGGAGCCTACAAGTGCAATAACAAGTAAGTCATTTTCTCCCTTTGCAGTGTGATGACAAGTTATCCCTTCCCTTAGCTGAGTCAACAAGGGATAGGGGTAATATTTTCTCTTTTCCTCTGATTTTGAGTTCCAACAAGATTTTACTCAATGTGAAAAAAGGAGTATTGGGGATATTTGTTCTGAGTCTGTTTGGATGAAATCATTTCCTACAAGTTCACATACTGGTTTAGAAAGCTGAAAGTAATTGACAAAATGGAAAAGTGAAGCAAGTTTTTGACTATTGCCTTTTGCCTCTTGTGGCTTTCTGTTTCGCTATCAAAGTGATAAGCAGGAAAAAAAATTCCAGTCATCTAACAATTATTAAGCAATTATACCTTCAGTTGACTAAATCCCAGTTAACATAGATATAGTTTCATGGATATGTGGTTTAGGATAGTGTTCTTGTGTTAAAACATGAAGAATAATTCTATTTAAATAGGTGTCCACGATTTGTTGAGCTGCCTAGAAACTGTCGTCTTGTTAAAGACCCAACCAATCCATGCTGTAAAACAACTGAGTGCTACAACAACCCAACTCCAGCTCCTACTCCAGGGAATTCCCCCATCCCTGGGGTCTCGCCCAACCCCACTGGAGCGACTGGAGGATTCACTGGAAATGGCCCATCTCCTTCACCAACACCAGGACAGCCAAACCCAGTCATCACTCAATTACCAGTACAAACACCTAGACCTCAGGGACCCTACCAGCCAGTTGTAACTCCTGGTCCTCTTCCCAAAAGTATGTATATACCTCTAATATCAGGTTTACTAGTAGGTGATTTTACAATGATATGTGTCAAAGGCTTTATGAGAAAGGCAACTGTGCATTTATATTTCTCTTCTTTTTTCCCCCTTTTTCGGCAAATAGAACAAAACTTTCAGCTCTGTGAGAGATAGACATATTTTTGTTGAATTTTAATGTATGTGGTGTTTTATGTATATGTGTTATATTATAAATATGTAATATTTCAGATGTATGTGTATACAAGGGAAAGAGCTACACCCAGGGACAACAATGGTATGATGGCTGTGACTTTACCTGCATCTGTGAGGATGGTACTGGAGGTGTTTACAGATGTAACAATAGGTAATGAAAATCCTGTTTAATATCTTGATTTATTTTAATCAGATTTAATTGTTTAAAATATCTAAGAAGATTTAAGTTTTAACTACCATTGTTTCCTTTGTGTTTTGAAGACATTTTAGCCTAAAATTTATACATTTATGTTGAAAGAAGAGGTTGGGGGAAAAACAAGTACCAACATCTGGTTTAAAAATTTCTTTAAAGTTGAAGTGGTTCTTCCTGTTATTTTCAATCTTTACATTGAGTTAAGATATGACCTTTACTTACCAACTTCTTGTGTTTCCTAGGTGTCCTCAGTATGCTCAGCCAGCTTCTACTTGTACTATGGTACCAGACCCTAAAGACCCCTTGTGCTGTAAGAAACCCAGCTGTCCAACCAGTCCAAACCAGCCATTCCAGACAGAGCCACCAGCCCAGGTGATTGGAGGTGTTGTCACTCCCAAACCTACAAGCCCCAACTATACTCCAGGCATTTATACAAATCCGCCAGTCATTGGAACCAATCCTCCACAGGTTACAAACTCACCAAGGCCTGGTGAAACTAATCCACCATATAACCCTACAACGAATCCTCTCATTCCGACACCCCAGCCTCCAACTATACCCACCACACCTGCTCCTATCTACAGAGGTATGTCATAAGCGCATCATAGAATGAAAAACACCATATAAGTAAAGTAAGAACCAAGAACTTCAACATTAACCACACATTCTAACAGTAATATCATCAATGACCCAACAACTATAGTAATTACATGCTAATATGAAATGAGCCTACCTCCCATAACATTTCAAACCTATAATCTAAATGTATTACTTTAGTATACTGTTCATAAAACATTACTTTAAAAATAACACCAACTTACCACATATGAAATCACATATAAGAAATACAACCAAAACTGCTTTGTCCGATTCTTTTGGTTGGTAGTATGTTGGTTTCTGTTTCTGAGACAACCTAATACACTTTGTGTTGTCACACCAACAAACGTCAGTGTTTTAGCAACATACTATTGTTTCATCTGTTTGGTACCAGCGTCACCATCTTTCATTCTTACCTTGATTCTGTCCGATAACCCTGTATACTATATTTATCTAACAGTAGCCAGTGACAACCCATATTAGTCTGGAGAAGTTAGGGCTGCAACCTGCTCTTATCACTTATTAGAAATACCCAACTACAAGAACTCTCCTATCGATAGATACCTCTATTGTTATTAGTACCAATGATGATAGAAGAGGAAAAAATGATAGAAGGGAGAAATAATGATAGAAGAGAGATGACATTAACTGCTCTTCATGAACTCTCTGCATGAAATGTTTTATTTTGTAGAGAACATGTGTGTTTACAAGGGTAAACAATACGCTACTGGTCAGAGATGGCAGGATGGTTGCAGCTATGACTGTATCTGTCAAGATGGCAAAACTGGACTCTACAAGTGTGACCAGAAGTAAGTCAATCTTCATATATACTTTAAGAATCCATCTTTTGGTCTTCACAAATTTTGTCAGATTATCAACTGTAAACAGATCAGTGCTTTGATGAATATGCCCAGAATTAAATTAACTGTATTGTAATTGTGAGTACCTTGTAATGCTTTTTAAAACTACTAAAATGTTAATGTGAACACTATATGGGTACATCTTTTCCATAATTAAAATGCTGCCCACCTCTCAGTTGGTAAAAAAATGTTTGTATTCAATATATCACAAGATCCCTCTACAGCAATAGTTCATATTAGACTTTTGTGGTCACCGGTTAAAGTTAAAGGTCAAAGGTCATAATTGACCACTGGCAACTTTGAAGAATTATACATATATCTAAAGTGATTATTTTTTTACCTTGTTATAAGGTGTACACAGTATACCGACCTACAACCAGGTTGTCAGCTGGTACGAGATGTATACAACCCCTGTTGTATGAAGCCATACTGTGCTCCTACAGATCAACCACCTGTCATCACCATCACTCCTCCTCCCGGCCAGGTGGTCACCAACAAGCCAAGTAAGTTCACACTGAAGAATTACTCAATTTTATGAACTGGTTATACATTTACTTTAATAAAAGAAATGATAGTCCAGACTAGCTGTAGTATTTACTGCTAATTCTTGGTCTTCTTCAAGAAAACTTCATGATTTTTGAGAAAACTTTTTGCTTTAATTTTTAACATAATTTTCAAACAAATTTCTGAAAATTGCATGTCTGATTCTTGGAAATAGTTTGATTTTTTTTTCTCTCACTTTTTCATGGAAACTGTGATAATGTTTCCAGCTGATAACTGAAAGTTGGCAAAAATCTTTCCCACAGATTCATCTACAAAATCTTTGTAGTCTTTATGTATGATTTTTCCTACATATTCTTGAGTGTTGGCTAACAATCACCCATCTCCCACCACCACCACCTCCCACCCCTGATACTTTGAAACTATTTACTTGTTTTTCCACGTGAGTCCTGATAAATGAGTTTGTTGTTTCCCCAATACTTTCAGAGAACTGTATGTACAACGGTGTTGAATACAAGCAGGGCCAGACCTGGGCTGATGGCTGTGATCTCAACTGTATTTGTGAGGATGGAACAACTGGATTCTACAGATGTTCAGACAGGTAAATCTGTGATTTTAGATCTCTACAAATGTTAGGATAATGAGTCAATACTTTTAGATTCTACAAGGGTTTCGACAGGTATGTATTACATTGTGGACTTCTACAAGTGTTTGGATATTGAGTTTTAATTTTAGATTCTACAAGTGTTTGAAATTTTGACCTTACGATCTATTTTATTCCTTGGTGAGCTTTGGATGAGACTTTCAATGCCTCTATTAACATCTGCAAGTTAATGAGGGATCATTCAAGAAATATCAACATAGAAAAATAGATCAATCAGTTTGTTTGAATACTGTAAAGGTCTTTTTTCTCAGTTTTATTTTTCCCAATTTTCGAGGATGAAATAAATCTTAAAAAGAAAATGGTCTGTTTAATGACTTCTGTGAAAAAATCCTTTCATTTTGCCCCAGATTTTAAGTAAAAATGTGAAAATTTGAACTAAAAAAAAAAGAAAGAGAAAAAAATACCTTTTTGCAGAAGCAGAGATATCTTTGTAGAACTGTATTATGGATACCATCGGTTACAGATGTCCCCACTATGGTGCCCTACCCGCTGGCTGTGTTATGGAGACAAGTCCCTCAGACCCTTGCTGTCGTCGCCCCAAGTGTAACCCTAATCAGATGGTCAGGCCAACCTTGCCTTTTGTAGCACCAACCCTGCCACCTGGTGTGACTGGCCCAGTGCCCACACCCAAACCAACCCCCATCGACACTGATATCTACACCAATCCACCACCTATCATCAATGGTGTTGGCAAGCCAAAGGATCAATGTAAGTTTCACTCTTGTAAAAAATTAACTTTGAGAGAATACAATCTCATAGATAAAATTTTGATATCGTTAAAACCAGAACAAAATACAATAAAAGATTTATTAAAATATTTTTGAAAAAGTACAAGGAGAATAAGACCAGGTGTTTGGGAGGAGTAAGAGTATGCTGTTATTGCAATTTCAAGAACAACCACGCTTGCAGCTGTTTTACAACTCATCAGTCACTTAGAACTATTGATATTGCTGTTTCTTTGATCTGAAAATAAAGAATATGTGTTGTCTGTTGATGTGTTATTATCACATTCAAGTACGGTAATAAGTCTCTCTTTTTATATCGGTTGATCATTTGGTTGACACAAGAATTCACTGCGATTCAATGAAAATAAAACTCCCACAAAAATCAATTATTCTACAGTAAGAAGTTCCTAACTCTAAGGATGAGTGTGATGTATTGCTGGTTAAGTTGTAAGTTTCTGTTAATCTGTGGTAGATGTTACTAGTTAAGTCTAAGGATGAATGTAGTTTATTGCTAGTTAAGAAGGGAGTTTCTGTTAATCTGTGGTAGATGTTACAAGTCAAGTCTAAGGATGAATGTAGTTTATTGCTAGTTAAGAAGGGAGTTTCTGTTAATCTGTGGTAGATGTTACAAGTCAAGTCTAAGGATGAGTGTTGTTTATTGCTAGTTAAATAGGGAGGTTTTGTTAATCTGTGGTAGATGTTACTAGTTAAGTCTAAGGATAAATGTAGTTTATTGCTAGTTAAGTAGGGAGTTTCTTGGTTTTAACAATACCTATCAAGGCTAACACAAAAAGTCTTTTTTTTTCAGATAAGTGTATGTACAAGGGTATTGTTTACAACCAAGGTGATACATGGCAAGATGGATGTGATCTGGACTGTGAATGTATTGATGAGCACACTGGCCGATACCGATGTGTTCAGAGGTGGGTGTTGGTCAGTGTAACTGACCAGTAAACGCATACTGTGAACATTTGGCGCATTCAGATTTCAGCACATAATCATTTTTTTTTTTTCAAACTTGTGAATCAATCATCTATAATTTAATAATGTTTGTTGGATTTATTGCCCTGTGAATAGCCAAGACCACTTTGAGGTGTGACTTCCTTGTAGTAACTGGCGACATTATCCAGACACTGCAATAAGTGCATTTAGATGTGAAAAATAATCAAATTACAAAAGAATGTATGTGTTTACAGTATATACATTAACAGCATGCCAGAAAAAGGAATTATCAATTTTGGAATCCAGGGGCTAAGTAGATATTCGAAGAGGAATTCATCTACAGGGAAATTTCTTTTTAATGAATATCTGGTGAAAAATATTCAGTAAATAAACCATGCATTAAATGGATTGTTTTTTTGGTGGGTTACATTGAGTTTTTGTGTGTCTGATCTGTAGATGCCGTGCCTACAATGTTGTGTCACTACCTCCAACCTGTAACCTCGTGGTAGACCCTCAGGACCAGTGCTGTAAAGTACTACAATGTGTGGAGCCTGTCACTCCTGCCCCAACACCATTTGTACCCTTCGGCACACCTGGCGTTGGCACTGGACCCATCCAGAGCGGAACACGACCACCCTACACTGGAGCGCCCACACCCAGTCCCACACCTGGTCAAACCTACCCACCCAACTACACTGGAACCTACCCACCAAACTACACTCCCTATGTCCCACAAACCTATTTCCCACCAGGGTACACTGGAACCTACCCACCAAACTACACTCCCTATGTCCCACCAACCTATTTCCCACCAGGGTACACTGGAACCTATCCACCCAACTACACCCCAGGTCAACCCTACTTCCCACCAGGCTACACAGGAACCTACCCACCAAACTACACACCAGGAAAACCCTACTACCCACCAGGTTACACAGGAACCTACCCACCAAACTATACCCCACCACCAAGTTACAGACCCAACTATACTCCAAGGCCTACACCAGCTCCAACACCAAAACCAAAAGGTAATCACTACTTATATCAAACCAACACCTTTTTTGTGATATGTTACTTTAATTATTCTGTCGTAAGTCTAGTAGGCCAAAATTTCAAAGTTGTTAAAAGCCTAGAAGTCCAACACTTAAAAAATCTATTGTAAGTCCAGGAGGCCAATGCTTAAAATCTTGACTGGAAATTGGGAAATGGGTTTACAACATGAACTGAAACTGCAATAGATGTTGATAGGCTTATCACCAGATGTATGTCAAAATTAATCAGTTAAATGTATGACTGTATTGTGGGCATATTAGATATAATTATTGAGGCTGTATTTATATTGCAATAAATTAGTTATTTTCAGGGAAATTTATTTATTAAAATTTTCTGTAAATGTTAGGTTTCAAAAGATATCATTATAGATAAATGAAATGGTAGATGTAAGTAAAAGCAGCTTCAGAGAACAAAAGGGTGTACTTGGTATGTATATGATAAGATTAAATTGATTAATTTACATAAAGTTCACAAGAGAACAATTTATTATTCTTTTTTCCTAATTCAGAATTTTGGACTTGTTTGGGCCTTAACTGCCTTTTCTATTGACTTTATGGTCAATAATTTTCCCTATGCACAAATTGAACTATTTAGTTTCAAAAGTCTAATTCTCATTATTGGCAATTCCCTCCAGAAAATTTCCTTTCTAATTAGTGTATTTTCATCCCAGAATGCGACAAAATAGTGAAATTCCAAAATGATTCAAAAACGCTTTCATTTCAGCTAAATAAGATATTTAGTGATTGCTTTGTTGAAATTGTAAACAGATGAGCTTTGTGTTTTCAGTGTGTGTATACATGGGCAACACGTACACAGAGGGACAGCAATGGTATGGTGACTCTTGTTCTACAAAATGTGTCTGTGAAGATGGTTCCACTGGCTACTACAGATGTGTTCAGAGGTAAGTCAGTAGGGAAGCATAAAAAAAACAAAGTCAAAGTCTCTCTGATTTAAAAAAAATTAAAAAAAGCATAATTGTAATAAATTTTGAAAGATGTAATGTGAAAAAAATCAGTTTTTCAGCCAAAATTTTTAATTGGTCAATGAGCCTCTGATTTATGAAAATGTTGCACAAGTTTTACCAATATTATATCTTTTTTGGAATTTAGGTGTGCAAGTTATCCCAACTTGCCATCAAGCTGTACTTTAGTGCCTGATCCTAAGGATCCACAGTGTTGCCAGGTGCCAAGATGTTATCCTGGCACAGGTGGAAACCCCACAATTAACCCCAGCTCAGGGCCCGTCCTTGTCACAGGCTTCCCAGGAAAGGTTACTGGTTTTGGTCAGACAACACGCCCTCCTGTAACGGTACCACCAACCAGCAACCCATACAATCCTATTAACACACAACCTCCAGTAGGAACAAATAGACCATACTCGCCTATACCAGGAGTTTCCACACCACAGCCGATACCAGGTGTCAGTCCAAGCCCAACCCCTAGTGTAACACCTGCACCAAGTGAGTGGGCCTTTAGTCTGTATACTTATAATTTTGCAGATGAATTTACAACATGAGTGCCTTGTATCTCTGTGATCAATATAGTACCTCCTGAAGGGAGAGCATATAGTCGCATATTTGTCCGTCCGTCCGTTTCTTCATTCATTTGTCCATAATTTTGTCTAGAGCATATCGCAAAAACTTTAAGAGATATCAACATGAAACTTCATAGTTAGATAGATCTTGATAAGGAGAAGTGCAATGTACAAGAATCATAACTCTCATTTGCATCAGTTAAGAGTTATTGAAACTTGATTTATACATTGGTCGTATTAAGAGAATGTACAGTATACCAAGTTCAGGGCCTGCAACTTCTTCATTACAGAATTATTGTCTTTGATTAAATATTGTGTCCAATAAATTAAGTTTTAGGGAGCATTCATCAGTTTTCCTGATACTCTTGTTGATGTCGAGCAATGACAAAGAAATGACATCATTAACTCCTTGGTTACATAATGATCTCATAATGAGGACCATAGATAAGGACCCATAACTTAAGGATAATGTGGGAAAGCATTTTTTCTGCAAATATTTGCCAAAACAAAAACAACCATCAATCTTAGAAAAAACAGAATCTTAAATTCGTTTCAATGTCTTGAAATTCACCACAAACCTTTCTCATTAGCTCACCTGGGGCTCACTTAAATGAAAGATTCTTAAACTCCAGAAATAAAGAAATTCTTTGCATGGATGGTAATGGAAATGCAGCCTTATTTTATAGAAATGTTTTAATTACATTACTTATAAAGGTTTCTGTTTGACAAACCTGGAGTCTACTATTTGGAAAAGCTATCTGATAACATGAAACAATACCACGTTATGTTACATTGCTTTCAATTAACTAGGAACTTCTTGACAATTTCTGAAAGAAAATAGTACATAAACTAAAGTCAAATATTTTATGTTATTGATAACCTGGATTTAATGATAAATGTAAACACAAGGTATATTTTAACATTCTGGATGCATATAACAAACAAATAGAAAAAAAATAGAAGGTTCTCCTTCTTTAAGTGGTTTCTTTAAAGTACACTTGATTTTGTGTGTTATGACTCGATACATAATGTAAAAATGATTTTAGTCAGTAATAGTAATGATATTACATTTGATGTTTCATTATTACAGAGGTATGTATATACAAGGGCAATGCCTACCAGACTGGACAAAGATGGCAGGATGGTTGTCAGTACAACTGTATCTGTGAGGATGGCATGACAGGCAAATACGTCTGTACAGAGAGGTAGGTATTTCTGACAATATAATAGTATAGAAATTTCACATGTACAATATCTAGGTAACAAATTTATTGATCAGTAAACCCAGGATGCCAACATACAAATTTTGATCAAAAGTCAGGTAATGGGATAGTATTTGTGTCTAATTTTACTGAACAGAAGAAACAAATGTGGATATTACCAGATATAGCCTTATATGTATGTTATATATATGGTATACCCAGATATTTTTGCTCCATGTTATTTCCCCCTGGTACCTTTATACATGAATTCACCTCTATTTTGACCTCTGAAGATTATATAAAAGGGTTATGAAAGTGTAACAGATTTCCATTTTGAATTCACCCTCCATGTTCATATATGAAAAAAATGAAAATCTAGATGGGAACAACAGTTTATAGTATATACCACAAATGTTGCATATGCTCTTTGAGGTTCAAATGTAGCATCTAATTGTGAAACTCCGCTATTTTATGGTACTGATACTGTGTATATGTTGAACAGTGTGTGCCACTGTCCTGTATTTCTTGTGTATTTTGTGATACCAGTGCTATACTTGACTGTAAGATTTGGCCATTCTATAATACTGATGGTGCATGTGTATTTCAGGTGCTCCGTATTCCCACAACTTCCCCGTGAGTGTCGACTACAGAGAGATCCTAAGGACTACTGTTGTATGACGCCTGTATGTGATTATGAACCAACCACAACACCCCCACCAACTCTGTTCCCTCCCAACACCAACAACCCACCAGGAACAGGACCAAGTGCCTCACCCAGACCAAATGTCACACCACCACCAGGTACATTGCACAACTATTCAGTTTTCTTTTCATCCCACATTGTGCATGATTGATATGATTAATAGCAATAAATATGTTACAATGTACAGCTTTTCTAGACTTACTTGGTAAACACTCTAATTATCTGTTTTTGGAGGAATTACAGTATTTATGGTCATGTAAGCCCCTGTCCTTAGGGTAAAATTTTAGTATTAAATTTAGGTGGGGCCTTGTGAACTACTTTTCTCTTACAATTTTTAAAATTGATGATTTTGCAAAAATGAAGAAGGGATTTATTTGTTGGTAGAGGCTTATTTACAGATTAATATGGTACTCCAATGTTGAACTAGACATTTTGTTTCCAATTATTCTGTCAGTGCTGTTTGAAAGGTTCTTGTGTTTTGGAGGATATTGTCATTAAAGAGGTCTGCCGTTTCTTTTTCAGCATTCTGTCTGTATAATGGTGTACCTTACCAGCAGGGACAGACCTGGGATGATGGCTGCAAACAGAAATGCAGATGTGACGAAGCTTCCAAAAATATCTATACCTGTTTTGACAGGTAAAAACTATGAATTCAGAATTCAAAAGTAAAACATTAACCATTGTAAAGTCTCTAAATTCCTTAGGAATTTGTTTTGGTAGATGGAATCTTATTGTCTGTTGTAAATGACCTTGTCTGTTGTAAATGACCAATCTTATTGTCTGTTGTAAATGACCTTGTCTGTTGTAAATGACCTTGTCTGTTGTAAATGAGTTTGTCTGTTGTAAATGACCAATCTTATTGTCTGTTGTAAATGACCTTGTCTGTTGTAAATGACCAATCTTATTGTCTGTTGTAAATGACCAATCTTATTGTCTGTTGTAAATGACCAATCTTATTACCAATCTTATTGTCTGTTGTAAATGACCAATCTTATTGTTTGTTGTAAATGACCAATCTTATTGTCTGTTGTAAATGACCAATCTTATTACCAATCTTATTGTCTGTTGTAAATGACCAATCTTATTGTTTGTTGTAAATGACCAATCTTATTGTTTGTTGTAAATGACCAATCTTATTGTCTGTTGTAAATGACCAATCTTATTACTTATCTTATTGTCTGTTGTAAATGACCAATCTTATTGTCTGTTGTAAATGACCAATCTTATTGTCTGTTGTAAATGACCAATCTTATTGTCTGATAATGATGACCAACTCTATTCTCTGATGTTAATGGCCAATCTTCTTGTCTGACAGGTGTAAGAGTTTCCCTGACCTTCCACAAGGATGTACCATGGTTACTGATCCAAATGACCCCTGCTGTCAACTTCCAGAATGCAGCAACATACCAACAGCTTCCCCAACCCCATATGTTCCTGGCGGAAACAGTCCCACTCCAGCTCCATCACTGAACCCTACTCAGTTCCCCCCAACCCTCCCTGGAGGACAGCCTGTCCCCACAGACAGCCCCTTCTACACCCCCTCTGCTTCACCTACCCCTCAAGGAAACACCACCCCAAATCCTTATGCAGTTCCTACTCTTCCAGGAGGAGTGATTAATGGTGGAAAACCAACACCAAGCACAGGAAACAACCCATTCCCTCAGCCCAACCAGAACCCTAAGTCAGGTGAGTTGTCAAATAATATGTCTTTTCAGATAATTACAAGGTGTCAACCTGTTGGCCTAATATTGAACATTAAATTTACACATGAGATGTATCTAAAGATTTATTAAGTATTAAATGATATTCATCAAAACTGTATTACAATTTCATATCTTTGGAATAGTTCCATAATAATTTACACATAAAATGCCTGGAAACTGATAGATGTGGGTCAGCTTATTACTAAAAAAAAGTGCTTATTGCTGAAGAAATTTATTATGTTCATACTTTGATTAATCATTGTAGACCAAGATAACAGTTATCCTGAAAGAACATACTGTAAAATCATGAATTTTCATGGGCCTCAAATTTTACAACAATATACATTTTTGTTGGCACTTGATTTTGTGGATAAATATAAATCACTAAATCCACTTGTACTAAAAGTGCATGTTAATTTTTGGCCGGGTTGCTCATAATGCAAATTCGGGTTATAGTATGGTGAATGTCGGGCGGGTGGGCAGGGAAAAGGGCTACCAGTTTTGTAGAATCAACTCCTCCTAGAGTTTTTGATGTAGAAGCTTGAAACTTTGTAGGATATTTATATATATGTTGCAACTTCTTTCTTCAAATGCCCTTCTTCTGCACCAACTCATACAACACAACCAAACTTTCTCTCTTATAACAAATATTCTACATACTCAACAAATAAAAAATTATAAGTACCATATAACATTGCACTCATCCCACAACCCGGCCAATTGTGGCTTTGCCCCATTTTTGTCATAGTTGTCACATTGTGGACTTATGAATTTGTGGATTAAGAGTCACTACAAATTCAATGAAAATAAGACTGCACAAAAATTAATGGTTTAACAGTATTGTTTAAATTAGAGATTAGAAAGGAGAACCTATAGTTAACATTTCCCAGCATGCAGTTGTGTTTAAAGAGGTAGGGATATGCTCCTGTCAACATATTTTCTGTTTCAGGTAAATGTGAATACAAGGGAAGTCTGTACAACACTGGAGACAAATGGGACGACGGTTGTAGCTACAAGTGTGTATGTATCGATGAAGTCTCTGGACGATACACCTGCACAGAGAAGTGAGTCATGTCGATCCTGTATAGTTTGGGGTTTTGAGTTTGGAAAATTAATAATACATCTTCACAGAGAAGTAATTTATTTCACTGTGAGAAGTGATTTCACATTGATACGAATCTTGTAGTTTTTGGTTGAAGTGAGGAAAATGAAAAATGTGAAATTAAATTCATGTTCTCGTGAATTGTGTTGTTTTGGATTGTGATTCAGGATAGTGCCTCATAATAAACTTTCTTTATTTTACAAAAATTGTGAAGCAAGTTTATCCAGCTTAGGTTAATTAAGTTAATAGTGAAGAAGACATTCACACTCACAGAAGTAAATTTGTGTTGATAGTAGGAACACCTCAAAACTGAAAGAAAAGAGTATACCATACTCCTGCACAAAGAGAAAAATGCACAGTAATATATTTGATTTGTGATCTCTGCATTGATTTGAAATTTGAACAAACTGATGATAAACACTGATTTTGCTCAATCACAGATGCCCACGTTTTGCCCAACTGCCAGTATACTGCTACATGGTACAGGACACTAAGGAACCATGCTGTAAAGTGCCGTATTGTCCCCCACAGAACACTCCCAACCCTAACACTCTGCCCCCAACTCCACCTCCCACTGGGCCTAATGGTAAAACTCTGTACCCATTGCCGAGCAACACACCAGGTGTACCTACACAGCCACCAACACAGGCACCTAGAGGTAAGATGTTTGCTATATTTATTGTCAAAAAGATAAAAATCTAAATGCCGGACATATGTATTTGTATAGGATAAAAACAAAATTTGTTTCGCTCATATTTCTGTTATATTTAAATCAAGCAAAATGATGTATGTCAAGGGTTACTAACTCGTTGTATTGTATGTCTAGGGCTGCTAACTCCCTGTGTTGTATATCAAGGGTTGCTAACACCCTGTGTTGTATGTCTAGGGCTGCTAACTCCCTGTGTTGTATATCAAGGGTTGCTAACACCCTGTGTTGTATGTCTAGGGCTGCTAACTCCCTGTGTTGTATATCAAGGGTTGCTAACTCCCTGTGTTGTATGACTAGGGTTGCTAACTCCCTGTGTTGTATATCAAGGGCTGCTAACTCCCTGTGTTGTATATCAAGGGTTGCTAACTCCCTGTGTTGTATATCAAGGGTTGCTAACTCCCTGTGTTGTATATCAAGGGCTGCTAACTCCCTGTGTTGTATATCAAGGGCTGCTAACTCCCTGTGTTGTATATCAAGGGCTGCTAACTCCCTGTGTTAAATATCAAGGGTTGCTAACACCCTGTGTTGTATTTATAGGGCTGCTAACTCTCTGTGTTGTATTTATTGGGCTGCGAACTACCTGTGTTGTATTTATAGGGATGCTAACTCCCTGTGTTGTATATATTGGGCTACTTACTCTCTGTGTTGTATTTATAGGGCTGCTAACTCTCTGTGTTGTATATATTAGGCTACTTACTCTCTGTGTTGTATTTATAGGGATGCTAACTCTCTGTGTTGTATTTATTGGGCTGCGAACTACCTGTGTTGTATTTATAGGGATGCTAACTCTCTGTGTTGTATTTATTGGGCTGCGAACTACCTGTGTTGTATTTATAGGGATGCTAACTCCCTGTGTTGTATATATTGGGCTGCTAACTCTCTGTGTTGTATATATTGGGCTGCTTACTCTCTGTGTTGTATTTATAGGGATGCTAACTCCCTGTGTTGTATATATTGGGCTGTGAACTATCTGTGTTGTATTTATAGGGATGCTAACTCTCTGTGTTGTATTTATAGGGATGCTAACTCTCTGTGTTGTATTTATAGGGATGCTAACTCCCTGTGTTGTATATATCTTTTCATGTAAACAAAACTTTACTTACTCCCTGTCATATATGTAAAAAGTTGCTAAGTTCCTTTATGGTTTATGTTACAGAGGGTTGTGTAATGAATGGGAAGCTTTACACTCAAGGCCAGACTTTCTATGATGGCTGTCAACAGATCTGTGTGTGTCAAGATGGCAAAACTGGTCATGTTTCATGTAGAGAAAGGTGAGTGACTTTAATATTGATTTGGCATTGTTTAAGATATTCACTATCACATAGTAAGAGTCCAATTCTTTGACATTTGAAATTATTTTGTTTTCTATTTTTTGATTACTTGTTTAACTATAATCAAACTCTCCAAAACTGTTCAGTATCCTAATTACGGTCTGTATAATGGGATCTTGTACTATTAACATCTAATATTGATCATTCCACTTACCAGTAATTTATGTGATGTGTGTAAACACATTAATTATATTGATTGATTAGTCAATGTTGGTCTCCAGGAAAATGTTAACTGCTACCTCTACACGGTCATCTTCTTCTGTAACGTTTACACTGTAAATAAGTACTGAAACACCTTTCTTGTATTAACAGATGCCCTCAGTATGATACCAAGAACCTGAGCCCTCTCTGTATCCTAGTACCAAGCCCCAAGGATCCATTGTGCTGCAAGATTCCCAAGTGCGAGGGACTGAACACGCAGCAACCTCCTGTTATCATTGGCCAGAACACTCCATCACCATCTCCCACCAGCTCTATCCTTCTGACTCCACCTCCAGGCCAGACCTACACCAACAACCCAGTCACACAACAACCTCCACCACGTAAGTATGGACAACTCCCATCAGCCCTATCCTTCTGACCCCACCCTCAGACCAGACCTACACCCACAACCCTGTCACACAACAACCTCCACAACGTAAGTATGGACAACTCACATCAGCCCTATCCTTCTGGCCCCACCCACAGACCAGACCTACACCCACAACCCTGTCACACAACAAACCCCACTACATATGGACAACTCTCACCAACACAATCCTCTTGACCTCGCCCCCATGTCAGACCAGCACCAACGATCCTGTCACACAATTACCTCTTCCATTTAAGTAAGGACAACTCCCATCGCCCCTATTCTCCTTACTCTGTCTCCAGATCAGACCAGCCATAGGGCCATCCCTCCACTAGAAGTTACTCCCCAGATTTATCTTCCTCATAAGTGTTCTTCATATCACACTTACTATATATACATTGTTTTTTCCCCACGTAGAATGTAAACTGTTAAATTTACAACTTATAAGCTATGTACTTTTCTTGTGACAGAGGTTTGTGTGTACAAGGGAAGACAATACAGTCAAGGCCAGAGGTGGCAAGATGGCTGTGACTACACTTGCGAGTGTGTGGATGCCAGTATTGGTCGCTACAAGTGTGTCCAGAGGTCTGTAGCCTGTTTAATCTACTTGGGGAAAATTCTTTCTATTTGTAATGAGATATTTGAATGCATATATTTATATATAAGCATTGTTGTACTGCATTTCAGTTCCATCATATGTAAAGCCCCCTGTCTGATAATAAACCTACCCACAAATACATTGATATTCAGAACAGCGTTATTTCCTTGTCATAATCCTAGGACTTTAAGTCAGGAGTAATGATAGATAAAAATTTGAAATTTTGATTTCAAATAATTAATGTCAACTCCTGAATTACAAAATTATATTTTTAACATTTGATAGGTGTACCAACTTGGTTAATGTGCCATTGAACTGCCAGCTGAAGTACAATCCCCAGGATCCATGCTGTCCAAATCCTGACTGTGGATCAGTTCCCACTCCAGGACCAGGCTCCACCTTCCCACCAGGATATAACCCAACTCCAAGCACCAGCCCTCCAGCAGGTAAGTACACCACGAATACACATTTTCAACTCCTTAAACTTCCTAATTTCAAGTACCAGCCCTTCAGCATATATATAAGTACATTGCACAAAGATTATGTCTGTGTTGTAGCTTTGGTAAAAAAAGTTTTTGCTTGCTATACATTACTCTGAATTCCTGATAATTCCGCCTTTCAGAATACTGTATCTACAATGGTGTACCATACCGTCAGGGCCAGAGCTGGGACGTCGGCTGTGAGAAACGCTGTGTTTGTGAGGATGCTACAACAGGCATAGTTAACTGTGATGAGAGGTTTGTACAGTACGATCTCTAATGTAGAAGTCTAATATTTCTGTTTTTTTAAGTGTGATTAGTGTAAATTTTAAACAATTTAACAATCAGAAACATGAATATGGAAGTCTTTATAAAAGCAATATTTTTGTTCTTGTTCAGGTGTCCCACCTACCCAGCTTTACATGAAGGTTGCCGTCTGCTGACAGATCCAAACGACCAGTGTTGTCAGGCTCCTCTGTGTATCAACCCTAACCCATCCAACCCCTACCAGGTGGTGACAGGTCCCAAGGGAACCTTCACTGGAGGCACCCCAATAAACAACCCTAACCAGCCGGGCATCTCCATCAACGCACAACGTAGTAAGTTAAAGTATTTGGTCAATGTGTATAAAGTGTTGAATACAGCCTCTGTCACTCAGCTGACGGAGCATCCTTCTTTGGTTCAGTTCTATCAAACATGGATTATCACTCTTAAGACCTAGTTAATTCCTGTTGTGGTCTACAGATAGACTGTGTTCTATGTACTCTGTTACATTGGTGCCACACATATTCCCCAAGTTGAAGTGTTATGAGCTGAGTTTAGATTTTTGAAATCTTGAAACACAGGGAAATGATGTAAAAGGAGTTTAATATAGTCTCTGACTCTCATTTGAGGATGCAAAAATAGGCTCAGTTGGTAGAGCTGGCAATAATCATGTGGGGTCCTAGGTTGGATTCCTGTCAGGGCAACCAACAGGAATATCTTGTTCCCCAGTGGAAGCCCTTCTGTATTCCGCTGCATTTTATCATGAAAGGGGAGTGGGCCTTTCACAGATTCAGGAATTTTCTTCTGTGTTTTCTACTGAGGGGAGATTCTCATTAATGATGAAAGGAATTCTTTAGTTAGCATTTACCATTCAAGTCTTAATTGAAACTAATGGTTTTGTTGATCTCTTCCAGATACTTGTGTGTACCACGGAAAGAGCTACAACCAGGGAGACAAATGGGACGATGGTTGTCTCTACCAGTGCGAGTGTCTCGATTCCTCCACAGGCAGATACAAGTGTACTGAGAGGTAGCTGTCATAAAGACTTAAGTTTCACTGCTGTAATAGAGACAGTTGGTGACATTTTATTTGAGAGTTAAAAAAACAGTCCATTTACAGATCAGATACCCCTGCCAAGAACCTATTTAGAATACTTAGCAAAAATGTCAATTGAATACAGATGATGTTTGTAATATTTTTCTTGGGATATGTTTATAATTAATTGTGGGTTCGAGGAAACATTTGACAAATGATAGACTATTAGTACGGAGAATGTTTGGAAATGTGTGACATTGATTGCTGTCAGTATGGAGAATGTATTCATTGTTGCTATTCCACATGTTAAAGAGTAATGATTCTATATCATGTCTTAAAGACACACCTGTTGTTTACACCTGTCCTTTATAATACTACAGAACAATTGATTAGCAGTTTTCATTCTACAATGAAAATTTAATTAATGTTTTGTTATTATTTCCATTATGAATTCAATTTTAATGTAAAAGTCCACAACATTGCATTGGCATGAACCACAGTTTAAACAAATCATTACATTTTCAGATGTCAGAGAAATCCCCAAGTGCCTTCCTATTGTACTCTAGTACAGGATCCTAATGACCAGTGTTGCCAGGTGCCATACTGTCCACTCCAACAGACCCAGCCCCCTTTCAGTGGCAGCAGTCCAATCCCTGGCAGTAACCCCAACCCTACACCCGGAGGTAGCAACCCCTACAACCCACAACCCATCCCAGGACAGCCAGGATCTTACACACCCACCAGTACGTATCATACACTGGAAAAACTTAAAATGGCCAAAGGTTATATAACATGTTAAGATAATTGTTATGTGACATCTGATGAATAATATCCCAATTATTTAAGGAGTAATTTTCATTCCTTTTCACATCCAAAGACACATCTATAACATTATAAATAATTGAAACTTATCCTATAATTAAATCGAAGAGTGCGATATTTTCGACATTTATAATGATTCTTTTATTTGATAACTTCTTACATTACTGTGTTGGCCAATCCAACATGATGTATCAAAATAATGTCAATTTTTTTGGTATGGAGTGGTAACGTGAAAAAATTGACAAATGACATGGTTATGGTTATAGCAGTATAACAAATATTCCTTGATGAAAAAATATATATGTGGATATCAATATTAGAATTTGATTTATATTGTGATTGCATGTTCAACTCAGTGCTATATATTTCACAATTTCATATACCTCACGGTGGCGAAGGTTCTAAAATTATATAATCAGATTTTCATGTTTAGAAATGTTTTAGACTGAATACATCAATCCTTGTGTGTTCTGTCAGATATGTGTGTGTACAACGGCCAGGTGTATCGCCAGGGACAACAATGGTATGATGGCTGTGATCTGATCTGTCGCTGTGAGAACTCCACAATGGGCTTCTATAGGTGTCAACAGAGGTATGCCTCAGCCAGGCATATTAATCAAATAGTATAAAAATTATATAAGAGACATATTGTCTGACCTGTCTATAAAGGCCTCACAAGGGTGCAGAGAAAGTTGGTCTTTACAGGCAGGTGACCACTGTAAAGAGCTTTACTGTTAATTTGAATAACAATGGAAATTGAGACTTTATAAACAGGAGTCAGAATAAAAGGTTATTTTCTTCATTTCTTCCTCCATGAAAATTTGGTGGTGTAGTATTTGCCATACCTTTCATAGCAAAAATAGCAAAAATAAGACTTGGTTGAAAATAGGCTGTTGTATGGTATTTGTTATTTAGAGATGACTGTAGATGCTGGTTTAACTAATATTGACCAAATACATACAAATACATACAAATAAATAAAATTTGCATTCAGACATCTTAAGAAAACAAAGTTCCACGTTTATCTTCGAAAGAAAACATTCTTAATATGTGTTTTACATTTCAATACAGATGTAGCAAGTACAACAACCTGCCCTCGGGCTGTACCCTGACTGCTGACCCCAAGGATCCACAGTGTTGCCAGGTGCCCCAGTGTCCCCTACCTCAGCAGCCACAGGGTGTCAGTCCTACCCCAGGACTGGTGTACCAGCCCTCACCTGTCTACGGTGGAATCACTGGAATTGGTCAGGCAACAACCCCACTGCCGACTCCGCAACCAACCATGATTGGACCTGGTGGAATCCCAGTTCCTGTAACTCTGCCTCCTGGTCAAACACCCAAGCCTACTCCAGCTCCTACACCAGGTGAGACAACCAAGTCATGTAACCCTCCTACTCCTTCAGGTCAAACACCCAGCCCAAAGCCCAAACTGGCCTCTGAAAAATTTTATGGTAAATTTCTAATTCTTTTTATGGTGGATTTAGCCTCGGATAAGAAATAGAATGGTTAGATTTAGCACAAATAAGACACTGGTGATTGTTTGTTTGTAAGTATACCACATTTATTCAGTTATAAGCCCATGCTTGTTAATAAGCCAAACAAAATATTTCAAAAGCATCAATTGTCCTGTGACAAGTGCATATGCTTTGAGTCAGTGATAGTGTATCAGTCCCTGTGTTTTTTTTAGAGGGATAACAGGGGTAAGGAGAAATAGACTCTTGACTTCTGTGTGACAAATTGTATCATATAAACTCCATTACAGGATGTCTGTACAAGGGTAGACTCTACTCCAAGGGACAAATGTGGGATGATGGCTGTGAATATCATTGTGAGTGTCTGGATGATATGACCGGCAGGTACAGATGTACCCAAAGGTAAGATAATGCCTTAAGTCTTATCCAATATGTATGATAGAAAAATTTCAGTGATGATATTTCTGTATGGTGTCCTTGAATCATGAAAGAAGTTATATAGTGTCCATGAATCGTGACAGAAGAATTTAACAAACTCGTTCTTTACTTAGAAATGTTTTTTCTAGAATTTGAAAGAAATGGATATTGTAGTCTTTGTTTGTATCAGGTGCAATAAGTACCCCAATAGTTATTGTACTCATTTTTCGTTTCAGGTGTAACGAATACCCAAATCTGCCCCAATACTGTACCCTAGTAAAGGACCCACGTAATCCTTGCTGCCCGGTACCGTATTGTGACCAGACAAACCCCAACGTACCCATCCAGACAGTACCACCACAGTATCAACCATTTACAAACCCAACTACACCCAACCCCTTCGTCATTCAACCCCAAACCAATCCACCAGTCGGAGGAAGCAGGCCCCCACAGACCGCCACCACTGGTATGTACAGACTAATTGCCCCTTTCTTAAAGCTGTAAACAAAGATTTTGTTTGAATTCTAACAAATGAAAGAAAAGTTGTGACGTCAAACACAAAGAATTTGAATTTTTTCCTTAAAAATTGCCATCCTACTCTTTGATGGACATAATTACATTTATTATTGACCTGACCTCTTTACTTGCAAATAGAATGGAAAACAGCTTATTTTAATCATCAGTATACAGAAAATATTGTTTGTGACTTTTGATTTTAGTTCCAATTTTACCATATATGGATGGATATATAATTGAATTGATATGAAATCAGTGAAGACAAAGTCATAACCAATACTTTTGTTCTGAATGTTAAGGGTACTGTGTGTACAATGGAGTGTACTACAAGCAAGGACAGTCGTGGAATGATGGTTGTAAGCGAACATGTACTTGTGATGACAGTTCACAAGGACTATACAGCTGTAAACAGAGGTAAACATAATCCCATCAGCAGAATTTTTTTGTTGATATGAATCTCGGGTGATATCCAAATGATATGAATAGTTTGAAATATATACTATAGTTCATTACATGATTAATTCAGATATGTTGTGCTGACTGTCAATGTTGTCGTTTTGATTGAAACTTAGAATATTGATAAAGATTGACTTATTATAAAGCAGCTTTTTTTTTTGTGACAAACTTTTTAAAGGATTTTAACATGATAATATTCCGACAAATTTGTCTTTGCAACATATGCATGTTAATATGATGATGAAAATTTGTTCTCTGATACAATGATCTTGGTTCACAATTTGTTGCACTAAAATATGACTCATGTTTTTGATGACATCTATTACTGACAAAAATTTTATTATAACCAAAGAAAACAAATGATGTATTAATTTAACTTTGATTATGATTTGATAATTGAAACACTTTTACTGAAAACATGAATGTACTGTAAAGTCCTTAATTTTTGTGGACATTTATTTTTGTTGATTTCTTGGATACACTAAATCCACAAATTTATATGTCCACAAACTGTTGATATTGGTACAAATAGATTGTTTGAGCTATATGTAGATAAGTCGTGAAATAAAATATCAACAAAAGAAAGATATTTGAGAAAAACAAGGAAATTGAGCCCCACAAAGATATATAATCTTACAGTATGTTCGATAAATCCCTATCCACTGACTTCAAATCAAAACACTGTCATTGACACAAATTTTCAGACAGAATGAATGACTTGATGTTTCTCTTTCCAGATGTCCAACATTTGACTCTTTACCTAACACATGCCACCTGATTGCTGATCCAAATGATGCCTGCTGTGTGGTTCCAGACTGTAACACCTTCCCGACACATGCACCCCGTCCCACATCTCCTGGTGGTGTACCCATACCAGGTTCCACTTCTCCTCTGCCTATTGTGATCCCCACACCTGTCCAGCAATCCTTCACTGGAGGTAGCCCAAGCAATGGAAACCTCAACCCACAATATGGCGGCACCACAGGAAACAACAGTCAGTATACTTTTCATCAAAGCTGCTTATCAATATTTCATCATTTTTGTATAAATTACATATATATATTACAAATGAATTACATGAAGACGAGGCTAAGTATAAACACGAAGGGTCTGCTCAGTCTTTCAGCTTGCTAAATTTGTGTGTATTGCCCAAAATGTAACCAAAAGCTACCAAATTTATACATTTACTGGTAATCTTTTCAAACGCCTGGTAAATCAAGCATAACTATCGAGGCTTTTCGTAGTCCTAACTATTATATCACATTCTTTTCTCTGTTTGCATACTTACATTAGGAAACATTGGCCCAGGATTATTCAACAACACACCCCACCTCTCCTCAAATATAATTGTTTTAATTGTATAAAATTTTATGTTCCTGCTTGTGAGATAAATTTCTATTTTCAAAAAAAGAGAAAAAGTTTTCTTGTATTAACTTTCTTTAACATTTATATCAGCAACTCACAAAAGTTATTTTGATAAAAATGATTGGGAAGTTTTATGTATAGATGTTGTTCTTATATTAGAATGCAGAGGTATAAAGATTTGATGTGTTGATCAATTGTGATTACAGAGGCTTGTGTCTACAAGGGACAGATCTATCACCAGGGCCAGAGCTGGAATGATGGCTGTGATTATAAGTGTACCTGCTATGACGAGGAGAGAGGCCAGTACAGATGTAGCAACAGGTGAATGTGAATCATTGAAGGGAATTCTTGTGTGTAGATTTGATTAAGTGAAAGTTGTTATTGGAGAAGAAATTACAAATGTGAAAGTTGTGATCGTTGGAAAATTCACACAGGTGAATATTGCGATTAGAAAATTTACACTGGTAGATGTTGTGACTGAAGAAAGATTTTACCAATAAACTCTAAACAGCTAAAAGATGTGATAAAAAATCTAGCAAAAGCGGGAAGGATAGTTACATAATAGCGTACACAAAAATATCAACCATTTACAGGAGAGATGTTATTGTAAATTGTTTATGTGTGGTATATTTCAGGTGCCCATCTTACTACAACCTTCCTGCCCAGTGTACCTACATCCCAGATCCACAAGACACATGCTGTAGGAAGGCTTCCTGTGATCTTAACCATACACCTCCACCTACCACACCAACCACACCATTCCACCTGGTAACGGTGCCTGCTGTATACCCAACAGCCACTGGTACTAAGCCCCCAGGTAAAGAAGACTTTTGTAGTGCTGCATGTGATTATTCTGTCTACCTATTAGTACCAAGGGGTTCATCAAACTTTCACTCAAATCATCTCTTTATTACTTTCTATGTTTCATCTTGATGTAGCATGTTTTAACAATAGCAAACATTAACAGATTAAATTTATATTCCTACCATACTATCGAACCATCAAGTTCTTCTCTTATTCAAATTTTGGTGGTCAGCTCTCAAGGTTAGAAGATTGAAGGTTATACATCTGTATTGAACTTGATGGTGATCATTTTAGTTAAAATGCTGAAAGGTCACATTTGACCACTTTTGGTTTAGGATTTGGTCCATAACCAGACTATGGTTCCTTTGCATAAAGTTTTACACTAGTTAGATCTATTTAGCCTGTGTATGTACTAATGTAGTTTGATATACATAAATGACACCTAAGTTGTTTTGTTGACAGATATGTGCAAGTACACTGACAACAGTCTACATGCCCAGGGAGCCAAATGGGATGATGGTTGTAACTACAGATGTACATGTATGAATGCCACCTTCAACATCTACCGATGTGACCAAAGGTAAAATTGTAATAAACTTTTGTGTCATATTGTTTAATCTGCATGATGTACCAGTAACTGTGATAATATGACTAGAGTTTATGATCGCATGACTACCAAATATCGTCATATGACTACCATATATGGTCACATGGAAAACCCTAATGCTCACATGAATACTATTTGGTTACATGACTTCAATGTCAGGTAAAATGACTAGATTATATGGTCACTGGTATGCAGTGCACTCACTACCTTGCTGTTCCTTGGGTGATTAACCCTGCAAACAAAAAAATCATTTGATACACATTTGCAAATGTAATACTTTTTAACCCTGTGAAATTTAACTACTTTCAAAGGTATTCTTCCCTTATAACAGAAATATGAATTCACTTGTACCTTACAGATGTACAGCTTTCTCTGGTCTGCCAGCAGCCTGTACACTTGTACAGGATCCACAAGACCAGTGTTGTCAGAAGCCACAATGTAACACTCAGACAGGTATCTCTCTGACACCTCAGTATGGTGGCATCAACGGCTCTGCTACACCTCCACCTAACACTCTGAACGTTTTGCCTATTGGTACACACGACATCTTCACTGGCTCCAACTGGAACAACCCTGGCATCGGACCAGGTTACAATGGCGGTTCTGAAGGTATGATGTCTTGTGTTTAAATCAAAGTCATAGAAATAGGCCTTGTATTTTAAAGATGATGTGATGTAATTAAATTTTGATTTGAAGCTGTGATAGCAAGTTAACTTTATAGATGAAGTACTACCAGATAACTGTATGTACAGATTTTTCTTTGTCTTTATTCATTACGTGTATTTAGTAATAAGCCCATGCCTTGTAATAAGACCACCTAGTAGGTATATCACTGTTCAGTAGAATTATGGGCAAGTGGTATTATCTTGCAGTAAGCCCACTCCCTGACGTTGAGTCAAGAATTTGTTTATTGACTCCCATGCCTTATTTTAAGATAAACTCCGTATTTTATTTGGTTTGGTAAGTGTCGGTGTAGCCTGGATAGTAAGAATGTGTAATATGTATTACAGGATTTGGTGTATGTGTATACAAGGGAAAGACTTACCAGCAAGGCCAGTCATGGAGCGATGGATGTGACTACAGTTGTACATGCGAGAACTCACAAAAGGGAGAATACAAATGTGTATCAAGGTATGAATGCTCGGACATCACAGAAGTTAGAAAATTTTCACATTTCTAATACATTGGCAAGTAAGCATGTTTTTAGGTAAAACATGTTTATAGACACTGCAAATGACTTTGCTATTTCAGTATAGATTAAGTGTATCAGAATTAACGCTGTGAAATACACGTACATTCAACTTAATGCAGAATGATAAACCCAAACTAAATTTCAATATGTTCCACTGATATTTTGAAGTAAACATATTTAAATGTTAAACTTCTGCCTCTTTTTTTGTTTATTTTTAAATAAACACCATGACGCTCTCTTGACACTTCACAATTCACAAATAATAAAATACAAGTGTTCTTGTGACTTTTATAAGGTGTTTCCAGTTGGCTAAATACAAACTTTCTTGTGATTTGATCAGGTGTTCCCATTTGGCAATTCATCATACTAAATACAAAATTTCTTTTGACTTTGATCAGGTGTCCCCAGTTGCCGTCCACCCTGCCTAGCTACTGTTCTCAGGTTTCAATCCCGGGACAATGCTGTCCCAGACTCACCTGTGATGTGGCTGGACTCCAGAACTTGTACCACGGTGGTTCTGAGGTTCTGCCAACACCTGCTCCAACAGATATCTTTGGTAACTTGCAGACACTACCACCCGGATACAGTAAGCCATCTCAGGTGATTGGTGGCACAGGAACGGGAACACAAGGAACCATTTCTGGAACAAGCCCAGTTTCCCTCCCCAATGCCTTCCCTATCTTGCCGGCTCAGTTCTCACAGGTCACTGGTAAGTGCGTCAAATCTCATCTGCCTGTTCATCATCCCAAAAAGAAATATATAAAAAAAAAAAAAAAATCAGTTTCATTGGAAAGTGATAAATTCAAAACATTCCTTTTAAAATTTCCAGTTTCAAAATTCTTGGATTTGCAGATTAAGAGATAATACTTGCAACTCATATCCGCAAAACCAGTGTTAAAAAAAAAAAACAAAATGAAAGACAAAACAGAAAAAGAAATGGTATAACAGTATTCACATCTCTTCTATTGTTACCTCATTACATTTTATTTGCTGATTAAGCCTTACTGAATTTAAAGAATAAGCTCTATCCACAATATTGTGCAGGTAAAGAAGAAAAATTACTTTAAAAGTTTCTTTAGTAAATTATTTTAGAGTGGGTAGAAGAGGTTTATTCAGTATGGTGAACAACTATGATAATTAAAGTAGGCTTATAATCGGTGCTGATCAAATACATGTATATTTGCAATATGTATGGATATAGTTTTATGATATTTTTGTAAATTCTTTATATAAAAGTGGTGTTCAGTTGCTTGTGCCGACTAACACATCAACTTGCTTACATTCGGTTACATAAAATCAATATACAAATGTAGCTGGATTCAGTCTGATGATAAGTAATTTCTGATTTCCTTTTTTTTAGATCAGTGTATCTACCAGAGTAAGACTGATGGGTCCTACCACGTTTACGATGAAGGCGCAAAGTGGAAGGATGGCTGTGATTTCAGCTGTGTCTGCAAGGATGGCAAGAGTGGATACTATGAGTGTACTCCACTGTAAGTACACCCCATTGGTATTTTGTTTAAGACAAGCATTTTTCATTATTTTTGTATCACTAGGCTTTATCTTTGATAAATGCTATTTTAGATCAAATTTCAAATGTTTGATTTGTTTTTTAACTGGCTTAATAATTGTAGAATCATTCTGATAAAAGAAATCCAACATCTTAGTTGAAAATATGGACTGAGAGTTTTCAATTTTTCCTCTGAATTTAAGAAATAAAATGTTATGAAATGAATCTGCTTAAATTTTAATAAGAAAAAAAATTATATAGCGGAACATCAGTTTGAATGACCACTGTATCTGTAAAGATGATTTTCCCTTTGACAGGTGCCCAGTTTACAACAACCTGCCATCCAGCCACTGTTATCTGACAAAAGAGGATGATCAGTGTTGTGCCACACCTTTGTGCCAGTTGGCCAATGGTCAAACTATTAACCCCCTTACCGAAAAGTCTAACTACACCCTGTATGGTACCATCAACGGTGGCTACACTGGAGTCAGTCCAAACCATAACACCTCCTACAACTATTTCACCACTAGCAATTACACTAGTGCACCGAAAGGTAGGTAATCAGAAGTGTATATGAATTTGTTATTCCATACCAGGTGTCATTGAAGAGCTCATTAAAATGTAATTCTTTCACAGTCAAAATTTGCCAGTTTAATATTCATCATACAATCTTAAGACAAAAATAAGACACAAAAAAGAATCTCTATTATATGGTATATTAGGAAAACTTGTTTTGAGAATAATTTGAATTTTCTATTTTATGGCATATTATCAACTTGTATATGCATTTTGTTGTCTAACATAGAAAAAACAGATGTAAATGGGTATCACTAGAAAACATATGATCAAAACATGTCTGATTTTTAAAGATACTTATTGCCTCATCTAACAGAGTGTCTGTACAAGGGAAGGACTTATCTGCCAGGTCAGCAATGGATTGATGGCTGCAACTTTGTCTGTTCCTGCCAGGATGGAAACCCTGTCCAGTTTGAGTGCCGTCCCAGGTATATTTATGACAGAACTAATACATCTATCTACTCCTTTATTTATTTTGATTTGTATTTATACACCCCCTCCTCTCCAACTTTCATAAGGGGATGTAATCACTTTATCTGTGCAAGTATCTATGCATGACAGCCTCCAAGATAATCTTGTGCATTATACTAGCAAGGTCGAAACTTTATTAGATTTTGATGGTCGTTGGTCAAGATTTAAGTTGACCACTTAATTTCTGAGGAGGAGGGGGGGGAAGATATCTTTGTTTGTTTTTATTTCTATCACCGGTCTGTCATACATTCTTGATTTTTATATCCTTCTATCTTTCTACAGATGTCCAATTTACACATCTCTGCCATCTTTCTGTCACATGGAGAAAGTAGCAGACGAATGTTGTGAACAGGTAGCATGTGACCAATCATCAGGATCATCGTCATCATCATCACAAGGAGGCCAATCGGGAACTCTGCCCCAAGGTTCTGTTACCACCACAACCACCAAGCCAACCTGCAGCTGGTGTAGGAACCAGATTGACAACTGTCCTGCATATGGCCAGGAAGCTTGTAAAGACCCATACAAGGGCTGGGCCACCAGGAACTGTGAATCCTATTGTGGCTTCTGTGGTGAGTGATTGTGAACAATTTAAGTGTATACTCCCTACAAATGGTGCCTCAGAGAAGCTTACAAGCCTTATGATTCTCTCACCCAAAGTTGGTTAAACATTAACACTTACACTAACACTTTTTTCAATAATTATGTTAAAAGTCAAGTTTTCCATTCTAGTTAAAATTTGATGTCATTTAAGATATGTATTTTGCTCTTGCAATCTATATTTGAGTTTAGTGGTTTTTTTCTTATACCAAAGTTATTCCCCTTATCTCATTTTGGATGGGAAGTGGCTAGACATAATTTCATGGTAGGAGGTGTGTTCTTATTAAATAGTATCACCATCCATAAACAGCTGTCATTATATGTCACGACCCATAGGCATGTGCCATAACATAATGTTGTGACCTGTAGACATGTGTCATTAGATAATGTCACCAACTTTAGATACATGGAATGTATTTTTAGCTAGTAATAAAACTAGTGTCTGATAATAAGCCCACTCATATCTGTTGCCGTTCACTAGAATAAATACTATTTTTTTTCTTATAATAAACCTATTGTATATTGCTGTACAGTAGAATTACAAAGAAAAGATATTTCATAGTCCTGTAATAAGCCCTCCTCTGAATCGTGTCAGATTTTCATGTTGGCCCTCTGGACTTATTTCAGGATAGGTACAGTTATTCCTTTGTTTGAAATGTATATTGAATATTGTGATCTCTTGTCCTCTGATGTATTTTTCGCTGCTTCTAACCTATCAGACTGCCAGCATACCAAACCTCCACCCACAACCCCAACCACACAACCATCCTCCTGCCATGATAAGCTGGATAATTGCCAAGCTTTTGGCAAGTCTTCCTGTACTGGAATCTTTGAAAACTGGGCCCGAACCAACTGTCAATACTTCTGTGACTACTGTAAGTTTTTGTTATTATTTAATTATTACAAATATGTTCCTTTGTTGATGTTTTATTGAAGAAGAATCACAACATAATCTTACTCTTCAATGGCAAAATATCATGACTGATAACAGATATTCTGACACCAAGTGTTGACGTTAACCTTATATAAGGTATTTGTCATACCTCAAAGAAGGTCTGTCTTTAACCATTACTTACGGCGTTGTGTAGGTCCTAAGGATGGTGACAACCAGTGTGTGGATGTACAGCCAGCCACCTGCCAGAGTCTCAAGTCCACCATTTGTAGTAACCCATCCTACGTGTCCTACGCAGAGGCTAACTGTAAATCAACTTGTGACCTCTGCAACGGTAAGGTTGTTTTCTTGTTTTAAATTTGAATATCAGTTTGATATCTATATATTTTACCTCTTGGAAAATAATTTTGACCTATGTAATTTTAACCTTTAAAACTATCTTTGGCATCTTTAGTGGTAAGTTTGACATCTTAAAAAGTAAGTTTGACATTTGTAGAGAAACCTTTGACATCTGTTTAAGTACATTTGACCTTGGTTGTTCCAGTATGTTTGACATAAAAATACCTTTGACATCTGTTGGTGTAAGACTGACATCTGTAAAAAATACATTTCACATGTATGTTTGACATCTTTTGGTGTATGTTTGACATGACAGTAAAAATTTGACACTGTTAAAAGTACCTTCGACCTGTCAATATTTTTTGTTTTGTTTGGCTGTGTCATCCTTATCGAGATCAAGTCTCGTTAAATCTGAGGTAGATTTGACTGTTTGGGTTTGGATTTACCCCTGCCAGGGTATATATCTACTGTGATGATACAACGATCATTCCTTATGCTGAAATTTTGAACATGCTTGAATATAATTTGTAACTGTTTTGTTTTTATTTATTGTAGTTGGAACGACAGCACAGCGTAAGTGTCTCATCAAGAAATCCTATTGTCTCTGTTTACCTTGGATTTGATAACATTAACTGTCTATTAATCACAAAATTTATACTGAAGACAATTTCAAAAAATATTTCTAAAACATCTGAATTTTATTTCTTTGATAACGTGAGAATTATATGACCATTTCTTCTTTGATATAGGAGGAACTTGAAGGCATATTTAATACCTATATAAATGTGACTGCTTAAAGATGTACATCTCTTTACCCCCAGCGGCTACTTGTATGTACAAGGGAACAAGCTACCAGTCTGGACAAACTTGGATGGATGGATGTGACAAGAACTGTTCTTGTGACAATGGAGTATTCAAGTGCAAAGATTTGTAAGTAATTTCAGGGACTTGGTGGATAGAGCCTTGGAAAATCAGTGTGTAAATATCACACCTGTCACATCTATCACAAATGTTTCATTTTATGATTTTTCAATAAGCAGACAGAATCTCCAGAAGAAAGAGAGATTAGGATGGGCTTTATCAAGATGTCTTCAATTCAGTATTTTATATGTTACTTGAATATCTTTTAGATCTCTGATTCCAGTGTTAAGGCAAATTTGTGATGACACCTCTCACATCTTGACCTCAAAAATCCAATATGTATGCTAATTTACGACTGTGAAAGGATCTCCTTTCCAGAATACAATGGGAAAAAATGTGATTTTTTTACTTATCTTAAAACATGTTAGTTATTCTTAATCTTGAACTTTCCATCAAAAACTGAAGTATGACACATTGTTGATTCACAGGTGTCCTAAGTATGTTGATCTCCCTGCTAACTGGGTCTTGAAACATGTTGATGGCCAATGCTGCGACATAATTGTCATTAATGACCTACGTAAGTAATATAACTGAACTGTTTCATTGGTAACTCCTTACTTTTAGTACTTTTGTTGAGCATGTTGTAGATGAGCAAAGTGATTGGGTTCTATTCCCTTGCTGCAGTCTGATTGGCTGTTCGATATCATTGATTTGGTTGTTCGGATGGGTTATATTGTACATATATACATATACAGTCACCTTCTAGCTTTAAGGATAATTTAATTGGGAAGACCACTTTAAAAAGGATTGCTTAATGAAGGTAGTCTTATTAGAGAGGACTGATGAATGGGAATGGTCTTTTTAAAAGGATAACAACAGTGCTGGTCCCTTTATAGAGGTATAACTTAGTGGAGTAGTCTCTTTAGAGAAAATTGCTTATTGATAGGGGGAAGGGGAGGGGGGGGGTCTCTTACACAGGTTTTACTGAAAAAGATATTGAAGTTGTTGTGAAGACCTATTCAATGTTACGCTGTAGAGATAAAGACGAGTTAGTGCCACAGGTAATGACATATGTACCTTATTTCACTGCATAGCTATGAATATTAACATATTGTATTTTGATGTGTACTTCAGAAATGTGTAATTACAAGGGACAGTCATACGCAGAGAATGCTGAATGGGAAGATGGCTGTACCAAGAAGTGCAAGTGTACTAATGCAGAGCAAGGACTTTATGAATGTAGAGATAAGTAAGTTTCCATGGAAACTATGACGTAAAATCCATTTGGTGGCTTTTGATTTTGACAGGTGTAATGAACTGCTTTATGTGTGTTAAATTGATATGACAGAAAAAGATACTGACAAAAAATCTTTCATTTTTCCTGAAATAACCCCCAGGGGATCAAATATTCTTACTAAAATTCAGGGATGGCTTATAAAAAGACAGTTAACCAGCACTGCATTAACTTCTACAATGAACCACACTATATACAGGTGTCAGTTTTACTAGACAACAGCTTATTGTGGACTAAATACTCTTTACTTAATTGTAGTGTAGATATTCCACCAATGATCAAAGATTGAAGTTGGTCATTATTTTGGTTTGATATTTCTTTTCCTATTAAATCTTTATATGTCCTGTCTCTCATTTACAGATGTCCACTGTGGCATCTACCTGATATTTGTCACTGGGACCTACCTAAACCTGGAAAGTGTTGTAGACAGCCCTCGTGTCCACCACCTTACCAGGTACAAGGCTACCCTGATGAGTAGACATGAGCACACAGTGCGACCATTATTTATTTCATCTTTATCATGTTACACTGCAATTAATAAAATAATTTTTTTGTACAAAGAATTTTTGGTGTTGTCATTTTTTAACATAAAATGTTTAAGAAGGAAAACTTTTTTCAACCTTTCATATGGTTCTCCTGAAAGCTGTAGGAATGTAATCGTTGTCACCTGTTTAGTTTGGTGATTACATACAATTAATCATCTAAGTTAACACTGATTAATAGGGGCAGTGGTCTGTACAACGGGCAGGATAGGAAGTGATCCTATTGCATCTCAGCATTTTTTAGAAAGTTCTTTAAGTGGAGGCCATTTTACCAGTTGTTGGCATGAACTTAATTTATACATGTGTATAACCAATTCAGTTGTATATATAGGTTCAATTATTTTCTAAACAAAAGTGTCTATTTGTTTCAAGTGTGGCCTAATCAAATTGCCAGTTTTTTTTCTTCTATGATTTACTAATAAATAGTCTGATAAGGTCACATAAGTGGTAGTTATTAAAACTTGAAACATACATTTTTTAACAAATGATACCATGTGAATCTATACGCTGTTAAACTACTTATCATATAATGACATGGTACTATCAGATTTTAGTGCATTACCTTTCATAGCAAATCATGAATAAGTGCATCCAGTATCACTTATAAAAACAACATTCAGAAATTCCAATTAGTGCAATATTATTGATGCAAAAAGCACTAAAATAAGATTACCTCTTAAATGTATATGTTAAAACACAGATGAATCAAAGCCAAGTGGACCAAATGAAATATTCAACTTAATCTGATGGATTAACTCGGCTGTTTCTATGAATGCGGACATAGTGCCATGAAGATTGACCTGTTTTTCATTGGTAGTTTACAGGATATGTGTCTCAAAGCACAGCATCACAATTATGAATAAATAATGCGTAAATAGAAAACATTTGTTTATACACTTACGATATCTTTTATTTAAATAAACAGCTGTCATTGCAGCACACACGTTGATAGACATCCACTCTCATACACTTCACTCTGTGAAACTGATTTCTAAAGTAATACATACAGTGTTCTCACATTTATTTTCTTAACAGTAATAAGGTCTGTAGATAATATTTTAAAAAGAAAACTCAATAAATATGTACTCATAAATATTCTACATTGATGGGATGGACCACAAAATATATACAACACGACCATAGTATTGGCCTCAAAAGTTTTCAAATGATCTCTGTTTAATTTGCTTAGAAAAAAAAGAGGGGAAAAAATCGGGACCAAACAGGACATTTGACTCGTCCAATGGATTTGATTCAAGTGTGTTTTACTGTACATATACTGAAGTGTATTTGAAGAAGAAAAAGTTGTATATCAGTTTTTGACTGAAATGTAGCCCTTTGAAGAAATGTTTAGAATAGAGCTGCAAACATGTCCTCCAATAACTGCCTCTTGAGTTGGATCCAAAATCAAAGATTTCTCTAATTTTCGTAACACCATTCATGGAATCTGACATACTAATTAATTATATATAACAAATTGAAATAAGTGACAACAATAAAATGAATGATGTACTAGCAATAACTAATTTTTCAAGAGAGTGAAGTTTGTTTACCTCATTCTGAAATGTTTTTTGATCTTGGCACAAAACATCGGAAATATGTCTCTAGGTGCTACAGTGATAAAATGGTGTAAATAATGAATGTTACTAAACCATGATTTCATTCACAGGTCCTTTGTACCAGATGAACAAAAGTAACGACAAAATGCATTTATAAATACATTGTTTTTATCAACCAATCTTTTATTCACTTGCCTAGGAAAATAGTTCATAATTTAATGCGACTAGTAAAATGAATGTTTTGCTGAAAACACTGGAGATCTCAGTCTCTCTCTCTGTCCGTTTCAATCTATTTCTCTCACATACGCCACATTTTGTCTCAATTTATTTCCGTCTATCTTTGTCTTTAAAGACTGAAGTGTGTAATAATTCTGTACAGTAGAAAGCTTTCTAAATTTTAGCCATAAGTTTTTATTAAAATGCTGTGACTGATAGTTTTCTAAATTCCAGTCATTCACTCTTGTTTTAATAGGATTGGAGTTGCTGTATTTTTTTTGGCAATTCTACTGAGAAGATTTATAAATACAGGTAGGCTTATTATATAGGCATAAGCTTATAGCTAAAAAGATACATTAAAAAAACTCTCAGGAGAAGTGAACGACAGTGAAAGCTCATGCACCAATATTACATTCTCCAAAACCTCAGAAACATTGATTTTGTAACAATCGTCTCTTGACAAAATTGTAAAACAGAACAATTATGGAGTCTTTAAAAATGTCTGATGCCTCAATATCACAAGGTACAGAATTGTCCTTCTTTGCAGAAGATACATAGTTTATACTGTATTGATAACACACTGTATCAGGGTACAAACATTGCACCAAATCTTCCTAAAAAAAACAAGGCTGATATGCCAACATGGACTCAATCTTAATCATAAACCAGTGAGGACTTATATGTCAATATGAACTCCATCACCTTATGATGTAATAGACGAGATCACAAGCTGCCTTACTACTGGGATTGGTAGAGTGTCTGGCTAGAGACCTAAGGTTCACTAGTTTGAACCCCTTCCTATTATAATAAAACTGTTAATATTTCAACATCAACACTATCTCCCTAACAATGCCAAAATGTTTAAACTTTGCATCAATCTGTGTTTCACAAATCAAAACTGAATCTTCACATGAGTGTATTTGCCTGACATTATCAAAATAGACCTAATCTGTCTAAAATAATGTCAAAGCCTTAATTTGGCACTCTACCATGGTATCATTATCTTTCACTTAAGTCCTGTTTAAACATAATTTATTATTGACAATGTTATAGTTTGGACTCCGTTTGTATGGTCCGCACAACACCCTCCTGGGCAACTGACACTGCTAGGGTACCGTCCTGTTTCCAAAGTCGCCCTAGGGATAGAGCCTTGCCTGCCCCACACTGGGGACTCTCTACCTCATAAAGCATCCACTCATTGGCTTTGAAGGGGTTGTGGAACCACATGCTATGGTCTAGAGAGGTCACATAGCTGGGTCTGTAATTTCTTGGGGCAGGTTGTAAAGCAGCCCCAAGGAGGGCCAGGTCCGAGATAAATCCGGCTACACACTGGTGCAGTTTCACGTCACTTCCTGCATAAAAACAAAATTGCTACATCCTGTTAAACTAATATCACAAGCTTACCTTGGTTCAAAGTCTATATTAACATTTTACTCCAATATTCAGGTGATACCTATTTATGTATTTACTTTTTCATCTTGCCTGCAGCTGATATTTTAAACTACCATTGTCATATAAATGTCATGTAGGATCATGAATTTGAATATATTGTATTTGCCCAATCATATCCTCTATATCAGTAGCCCTGACCTGATACATGTATCTCTGACCCAAACGTTGGATCTTGGACTTCCCAATTTCATCCAATGCTATCTTGCTTGGATACGGAAATCAAATGTTTTACCTGAAACTGCAACACAAAGTGTAGATCTAGAAATCTCCTACTTGCAGCTCTTACCCAGACAGGTTACCCAGGGATGAACAATTCCATCAACTCAGATGAAAGACATAGGGCGTGGAATCCCTTAATTTACACTAAGTAGTTTATACCCAGGTATTCAACCCACGAATCACCAGTTTTATCAGTATCTCAGACTCACCCATTTCACCGATAGCTCGGACCCAGACATAACGCTTTGGCTCCCCCTGTTCCTTATGATGATATACTTCTGGGTTAACCGGACGTTTCTCCACATGAATCTTCTCCTCCAGAAGCTTGAGAATCAAAGATCTTTGATTGTCAGGCATGTCCTCACTAGAATTGATGATAATGGAAGCAAAATATGAATGATGAATGTCCCATTCCATGAAAGGGAAGTTTAATTTAACAAATTAAATTTCATGACATTTTCATAATAGATTTGTAAACTTTCTACGTATATTGGTATACAGGCATTATATAGACATCTTAAAAGGCCACCACTGCAACAGGTCTTTATTTATTTTAATATCTCTGCTTGGACCTATGACCTACTTGTCTTGCACTCAACTGATTGAGCTAAAAAGAAGATCTCTAGCCAAGCAGTATATTTCATTAGCATGAAATATTAACCTCAAGTAAGTTTCTCAAACCAATCTTATAACATTTACTATATATATGTATATATCCAGCAATAAACTATATTTATAGTTATTGTGATTCCGTGAAAATATAAAAAAATGACAGTCTGAGGTCCTGTAATAAGCCTACCCTCTGACTTTGAGTCTCGGGTAATGTATTGGCCTCTGAGCTATTTGCAGGTCAAATATGCTAGTTTCTCACTTAAGCTGAGATCTAAGGAAGTCTGCGGAATCCTTGAGTTCATCAGGTCCAGGGACAGATGGCATGGTAAACTGGTGCTGGAGCTCGTCTACTTCCTCCGTTTTGTAAGAGGCTTGCATTGTAAAGATTGGCACACCTTCCTGTGTGGCCTTAATGTTGCGTGATGAGTATGTATTTCCATCTCGTGTACGGTCCACATGGTATAGAATAGGTTGATTAGGGTTACCTATTCAATAGATAAAAATACCCCCCCGTAGTGACATTTACATCAAGAATTACAACTCATGTCTATATTCATAATATAATATATAATATTCATTACAATGCTGAACTTATTAGCCCATGTCTGGTAACAAGCCTTAACAATTACGGAGATATACACTGGTAATGTCCGTGGATGGACAAACAAATGGACAGACAGAACCCCACCAAACTTCAATGAACGTAGGTTAACAAATATTATGACATTGTCCTGTAATAAGCCCCCAAACTCTGTCCCCAGTGGCCTGCCTCAGAAATTATGTTCTGGTTACTGGGTTTATCACAAGATAAATATGGTAGTTAAGAAGGAGAAAGAAATTGTCTGAATATGATCTATGATTTTAGAAAAGACAAATATACTACAAAGACAGGAATCAAACCTGGGTCTCTGGCATGAATATTCATGGCTCTACTACTTGAGCAAAAGAAACATGCTCCGTCAGCTGAGTGACCGAGACCTTATTCAACACTATGTACAAGCTACTGGCCCACTACTTTTATAACTGCATATCTGTAGCCTGTAATTATTGATCAATTGAGGTTAAAGACAAATTGTATACAGAACGATGTCTTGACATTATTTTTAAGACAACCATACCATCTTCACACTTTCTCAATAAATATTTTTACCTCCTCTGAGGAAGTAACAATGCAGGCTGTGAGCATGGTGATCCTCGCTCACAGTTTTAGATGCTGCAACCAAGGCCTGACCTACAACCTGTCCTCCAAATACAAATCTTCCTGCTGTTGGCTTCCAGAGGTTCACAGGGGAAGCTCTACAAACAAAACACACATATCTACATCAGCTCGTTGAATGACTTGATCTAAAAGCATACTTTGAAACTTAAAATGAAGATCCAAAGTTTGTCATTTGAATCCTACCCTGAGCATTTTATGTCTTTCTGACAGAAGTTGAGATCATATAGATAATCTTGGTTGTGTATGTTGTCTCTTTTGGGCTTCCTGCATGTTGTTCAGGGAGGAAGTCAACATGGAGGCTCTGTCACAATAAATGACTCTGGCTGTTAACAAGAGATAAACTCTGCAAACAAACTAAAGGATTTTTAGGAGATGCAGATCGATGAAAACTAAGGTGATCATCATCATCTTATTGATATATACTTTATTTCATTGTGTGAAACTGATGTTATTCTCCATTTGTAAACATGACATCGGATACTACTTCACTGGCTGGCACTTTCACCTGTTTGGAACATTTGGGCTTATTCACCTGGTTTTGTCAAAGATCTTCCTTTGTTATATTTTCAAATTTTATAATTTTTTAAATATATTTACTGTTTGTTTAAATCTAGATATAAAAATATGATATCTTCTGTTTTAATATTGAAATTTCAGACACTTTTTAAACCATGTAAATAAATGCATTCATAATTACACCCCTAAACCAGAGACGTATACATAGCACGTGTATGTGTTATATAAGTCTCTGCCTAAACTTAATTGCGTGAATCTGTATCGGCTTCCATCAAACAACCACCGATCTATTTTAACTCACCTGAATATGTTGACATCTATTTTTTCCAGAGTCAGAAAGGAGCGTATAAGCTCGTTGGCAAGATTCGCACCAGATTCCACGGACATCATGTTATTACTGTATCTGGAGAAAGAAAAATAACGTCTCCATTATTGCTTTGAACAAATCTGAAGAAACGTGATGACAATCAAAGCTTTTAAAAATTTCAGTCAAAACATCGAACGTCCTGTATCCTGACCCGCATTAGAGACGTTTGTGTTTTATATACGTCTCTGTTTATATATACGTCGCCACCTGTCATGCATGACAACTTCGTAAATGATAAATATGAAACTTACAACTCAAACAAGTACGTGTATGTAATGGCTAACGTTTGCTGGGCATTGATTTTTTACTTACATCATATAAATGTTCCTATCGCATGGGGGCAGACTCATGTATTTATCAGCTGATGGAATTTCCTGCACTTCCGTTCTATTTTTGAACAAATGATTTCATTGGTCGGCTGTCATTTTCCTAGTTATTTCGCGGGAATATTAGTTTTTGTGTACGGCTAATTATAACCACGAATATAAGCAACGATTAATTTTCTCTTGGAATAACTGTTTAACAATAAATATGTATAATCTGTTCACCAGTCAACCTAAAGCAACCTTAGAGCCACAAAGCTACTGCCAGGAATGAGAGATATTACATACAAGGATAGAATGAAAAATTCTACCTTCCATCTTTGAAATATAGACGTGATCGTGGTGATATGATATCTGATAGCAAATTTGATTATCAGAAATCATAACATAAGGACAAGGGGACACACATACAGCTTGGAGAAAGCATGAATGGAACTCGCTACCAGAGAATATTGTACAGGCACCAACACTCAACGCCTTTGAGAACAGGATGGATAAACACTGGAGAGGCAGGGTTCATCATATCAGTATAAATAAATCCTATGTACCAACCAGTATATATTAACAAGACAAAGGATTTAGATCAACCAGTATATATTAACAAGACAAAGGATTTAGATCTGAACATAGAGGCCTAAAGACCTGAGATCAGTAACGACTATGCAAGACTAAATAAGTAAGTAAAGACACCATCGATACTCCAGGGGTTACGATCACTTTCGCTCTCAGCACTGCTGGAACAGGTCATGGTAGAGTAGAAGACTGACCAATCACAAGCTGATATGCTCTTTTCGAATACTACAGAGGAGCGACACCAAACTTCAGAACCATTAATTACAACATACCGTTATGCGCCCTCGAGATTCGTTTAGTGTACATCAAAGGATCAAACTAGTCCTGTGCACAAGGTGTTACATCAAACATTCAATTTTGATGAAGTACATCAGTAGTGTTATATACCATGAGCCGTTTTTCATTGAACTGCGCCAATCAGAAAATTATCCAGATGTCATATACGGGTGACACCCTTATATTCTCGAAGGCCCGATAGTCCGAAAATGGTTACGTATTTTGTTTCTTATTTAACTGTAAATGAAATAATGACGAAATTTAGAGAGAAAAATAGTTAAGTAACAGAAATCTTTCTTACATTTATTACAGGTTTACAGGCCCTATTCTTTTATCTTGTACTATAACAGTTAAGTGAAAGGCAACTTTGTAAGCAACGGGAATTTTAACAGAAATGGCGCGAATAAAATGTAGAATAAAGCATGCATGGTAAACAGTACTGGAAATCCGACTTACATGAGCGGCGAAGATGGCACGAAAAAAAAATGAGAAAATTCGGACTATTGGACCTTCTGACTATCGGGCCTTCGGACTATTGGGCCTTCGGAATATAAGGCGGTCACCCATATACGACATAACGTCATGAAATGAAAAAAAAATCAATCTTGCCCTGGTGACTGTCCAATGTATATCTCGCAACTGCAACCGAGTGGTATCCTGGATACCCGAGGCGTTACGATCGCCACTCCATTCCAGGAACATGCCACACCTTGCAGCATTCCTGCGACACTTTGTTGGTGAATTAGAGGATGTTATAAATTTTGGTTACCAGCAACTAAATTTTTTCTTCATCAATGCATGATAAACAAATCGGATCTTTATTACTTAAGAATTGAACTCTACCGTACATATTATAATGTCTGTACCAGCTCTTAAAATGTCAAGGTGATAACTTTTAACTTTAAATAGTTTATAAACAATGAGAGTTATCCATGATGAATGTCCACATTCTTTTAAATTACAGTGAATAATTACAGAAATATTGAGTATGAAGACTCTACAGATATAAATTGATTTTCTACTTTAAAAAGTGAATTTCTGATTGCGAAAGTGTTGATAATCTCTGAGGATTTTCTCAAAATCAAGATCGAACTTCTCATTATCACTTGGGTATTGCTATGCCCCAATTTTGTGACATATATCTGTAAGAAATACAATATGCTTGGAAGTCTCATTAAGCATATGCGCCATGTCCAATTCTCTTGGGACTTTGTATGATAACATGGACATAGTTGATAATCCCATTCAATTATGAAATGAACACAATCATTTTGTTATCAGAATGACTCCAGGGTTGTCTATTTGGAGGTGCGCATATTACTTTCCACATGTGTTGTTGTGCAGGTGATATAAGCTTTATCTTTGTCTTTTGTTTATCATCGATTTTCAATAACCCAAAATTTAAGTTTGTATGCAATGTAAAACTCATTTGATTTACTGCAGTGTTTTCATATGAGTACAAGCCATAAAGACTAGTGAAAAATTGAAAAAAAAAATTAATAATTTCCCTTTTTCAATAGCATACATATTTATTATTTAAATGTAAACAATATATATTGGTGGTTATACATAATCAATCAAAATAAAGTTAGAAATTTGGCATATCTTTTTTTGGGGGATTGGTTGGTTGGTGGTGGAGGTGAGAGAGGTTCTATGGTTTAGTTCCTGGAAAACAGGGAGGCTGTTCATTATATTATGAAATTAGTTGTGACCATGCGATGGTTAGATCATAATGAATTATGTCATAAGTGTGGTCAGTTGTATAATGACTTTGCCATTCATATAATATTACATTGTAGTTCAACTGAAGAATTAAGAGACGAATGATGGTGCGAAATAATTAATATTAGTGATATTTGTTCAGTGTATATTGGCAGGCCCTAGAGGCAAGTCGATTATTTCATGTTCTGATTGGAGGAAACTTATCTTATGACTTATGTAACTCCGACTTGGAAGAGTTCCGCACAAAGTCAGTCAGGATAATCTTTCAAATGATAACATCATATTACAAATGACATATGTATTTGATGTTCTCTTATTATTGTAATCTTGGTTGTGGAGGAAATAAAGAGTATATATATAGACAAAAAGACGGATGATATTTTTAAGGAATGTTTATTATCTGAAGTCTGTTCACCTTGGACAAAATTGATTAAATATTGGCTACATGGATTTCTTACAAACAAAAATGACAGCCTCATTCTCCAGCATACCCACACATACATCTGATAGCCAGAGATTGGCATAAATAATAATAAAATTGTTGAAAACTAGCTTGCTTAAGAGTGTGAAATATTTACATAGATTCATTTAATTTGTTAATTTAATGTGATAGATCAAACATCTAACAACTCCTTGTATTTTCTAAAACATTATACATTCCTTGATACAATTTGTAAACACGTTTTGCTCAAAAGAAAAGTTCAGCCATGAAACATTTCCCTCAGGTTGGTAAGTATATATGGGAAAAGATTTATGTATATCACAACCAGAATTCATTTATGACATTTCAGTGACAACACTTTGTTACCTCCATCAAACAAAATCTCACACTTTTATCTTTCTAGTGATATGTTAGAATTACATTGTTGCTTTTTGTAAATCCTGTTTTTTTTTTGTTTTTTTTTGTAGGAATCTGGATCTAAAAGTGAGTGTTAATATAAATTTCAAAATCCTTACAATACCCTCAAAGGCATGTGGGTGCAAGAAAGACTTTCAACAATGGTTTGAATCCCTCATGTTTTTTTTTGGGAAGTTTTTTTTTAATATTTGTTAGCTGGAATCCATCCTCGCATTCAAATATTTGCCAGTGATAAAAAAAGTAAGATTTATCACAATGTGTACTCTAAAATCTATACACTACACATTTTTTAAATGTTTTAATAATTAATTATTGATGATGGTTGTTTAATGGAATCAGGCCTTGCTCTTTTTACAAATCTCTGCTACTAATAGGTGGACATGCACACATAATAGTACTGCTAACCTACACATTCCTTCTCTTAGTAATGAAGGTCTAGAGTTATCTGCTCTTGTGAGCAGGTATTGAATGTTATTTTCAATTAATTTGTGGGATTAATATTAAAAAAAAAATCTTGGGAAAATGACATAATTTTTCTGTAAAAACTAATAATGTGACAATCAACATCAGCTAATATGAACAGATAACTTTACATTATGAAAAACAGAATATCAATTGTCCAACGATTTCTGTAAATTCAAACAACAAATTGACTTTAATTCTCTGCTACTAGTACGTAAACTGTCATACCAAATTGTACTTTATAACGTCCTTCATATGACAGCTATCTGATGATTTCTGAAAATTGAAATCAGAGAGTATAATAATTCTCAATAAAAAACAAAAATTATTTAATTATGAAACACCATACAACCACTAACATGAATCAACATACATACATCAATCACTCAGGAGTCCTTACAGGAACATATACAAACATGTACACGCATCCAATCACACACTCATGTCAATATGTTTTATGTTAACATTTAAACCATTTTAACACATAACTAACAAAACAAACAAAACAACAGACTTTGCAACATCACTCCTGTAACTATTAACAGAACAGTGTATCAGACAATAATGTAATGTAAACAAATCATATCACATTTTCACTCTTCTTCATGTCCATGTAAAAGAATTATCATAATTTTGAATATTTTGTGTTCAAGTTTTCACTATTCCTTGAATAAACATTAATTCCTTTTCATATTTTTATGATTCTCTGTTCCAGTAATAAATTCCACCTTTTATAACAAATTATACATGTCTGGTGTATATATCAATTATAATGGTCTTCAGCATTTTCTGTGTCCTAATGTATTTTTCTTCTTGTTCAAGTCAGTAAAATAAATATTGACAATTTACAAATTGATATTGTTTTACATATAAGACCATGTAAATGACCCTTCACTGACAAGGATGAGTCTACACCTTACTCTGTTGTACAGTCCTTTGTCTCACACACAATAAATATTTTCTCACCTTTTCTAAAGCAAAATAAATAATGATACTGGAATCAGACCTCAATAGGCCAAGTTAATTAATTCATTTAGTCATAAGATTGAAATATGTTTATGCAAGTACATAACAAAATCTTGCTAAAACAAAGTACTGTAAACAAACTTAATTTGGTGCAATCTGTTTTAGAACATTGTCAAAATTAGCATAAAGATTAATTAGTGCATCAAATAAAGCTGCTATCTAATTAACATACAGAAAGTCGAGTGAAACAATCATATTTCAGAACAATACATTCAATGCAAAAATGAGCTAAATTATGATTAACACAAAATTTACGCATGTTTATAGTATGATGTCCTGAATAACTCTCAAATTTTCAAACTTATCCTTTAATAAGCCCAGGGAGACTGCACACAGTCTTTCACTAAGTGTAGGTGAATGTAGGGTTTTCAGAGGAAAAGTTAATATCATTTGTTGACAATTCTATTTCACTTCAATGGGTGAGCATATTAACTGGCATAGGCCTATAGTAAGATAAATATGGTAATATAATCAAGAATGAGTATAGCACCTAATGTGATTATTGAAAAACTGAACAGCAGTTTGGTGTATATACTGATATTATGAAAGGTTATTATCAAAATCACACACACATTCATAAACGCCTTTAACATGAAAAATATGAATTGTAAATTGCTTTTTGATAACAATTAATTAAACAAATCTTCAGGAGACATGAATGTCTAGGAATCATAAGGTATTCACAACTACTATGTGAATATTCTTACCAATCTCAAATTTTACCCAATATTATAATCTCCAGCATATTTCTTCTGATCAATAAGAGAGATTTGGCGCCCCGGGGTTAAGTAGGTTTTATTGGAATAACCCGAATAAGACTGTAAAATTATTCAACATCAACTGTTCTGTAATTTATACAGCCAGGAAGAAAATTAATATAAAGATAAAGTAAAATCTTAACCATTTCCTAAACAATTATTTAAGTATATAAACTGCTTAGGTACACATAGCAAGACCATGTATAAAACTAAAATACAATACTTGTACAGTATCAATTCTTCAACCAAGTTTTATAATCACATAGAAATTTCCAATCAAATTCAAATCACACAGAAGTAACAATATATTTAATACATTGATATTGCACATGTTTATAGATGACATCAGAACTATGCTAACGATCACTGGTCTACTCTGTTCCCAAACAACACTCAACAAGATATGGCAGACCTCAATTTGGTTAGTAGTTAATTCTGTAGGTTTCTGAGATCTTCAACGTTCATTTACTATTTACATACCTGTATTCATCGTCCAATAAGCCCATGGTACCAACATATACAGTAACCTTGGACTCATATCAGAAAGATGTGCTTATTGGCTTATTGTACGCCAATGAAGTAAGCATTTATTGCCATTTCTAGGGAAACATATGTAGGTGGATTTTTTTTACCAGTCCTGGGCTTATTTCCAGATAAATAAGATTATTAATTAGCACATTTATGACTGTCCCTATAATAACTAATGAAGTATTGACAGGATAGCCACTTCTGTGAATCTGAATTGAACCAATTTTTTTAAATAAAAAGTTAGGTGAAACAGTTCATCGTTACATCTATTAATATAAATATACAGCATTCCATCAATTCTTTTACTGTCTAAACTATTAAACATTAAGAACTTATTTACCATATCATAATTGAAGAGTGAGTTAAATTTAATTTAATTCACGGAATTGCATAGAATTATTTTTTTCAATTTCTAACTTTTGTTGGGTTTCCACTCTAATTAAATGGTTCTTTTTCTCCCTTGGACGGCTCCCAGATTCAGTACATTAATGGAGCATGATATCCGTTGATACAGTAAATATCTTTCTACACTGGAATCAATTTTCACTAGAAATACATTTTGTGGTAGAAATACAATCATAAAAACAGTGAAAATTAGAATCGCACAAAAATAATAGCTTTCACAGTGAATCAGCTTTCTTCCAAATGATCATAAACAAGCTTTTTTCACAATAGAAATTCTAAAAACGACCAAAAACGTATGTTAACAAGTACGTTTTTCACAAAAAATACCCTGTAAATGACAGAAAAAGTAAATTAAGAAGCACTTTGAAACATTTTGCTGATAATAGTAGAAAAAAGTTAAAAAGTTGATTTCATTTACAAGTTGTTCTAACATAGAATGCCATTTTAGATTGAAGAAACTCCAATGTGTTGACTGTCAATCAGCAGCCCCACGTTGTACAAGTTGTCTACTAGATGATAGTAGTATCATTCTAACTTCACAGTCTATATAGTAATCCATGTATAAACTACAACTTTGTGGAATGATTTAAGTCCCAGAGTCTGTGGTCCACTTCCATAGTTATCTTGCTAAGGATTACCTCTCTTCGTAAGTCCCAGGCTATTACACAGAGAGAAGAATTCTTTTCAACATAATCCTCCCTCCTCTAGGTCATCTTCATCAAGCTGTGCTCTGGAAGTCTGGCCAGGAGCTACAGACCCACTCACTGCCTCCTGGTGTCTGGGAACTCGACGGCCCATTCCGGCAGGTATCTCCATATCCCTTGCAAGTTTGGCAAACTGGAAAAAATATCAATCAAATCAGCATCACTTCATGTAAAACAGAAAAATGAAAATTTATACATATAAACACCAAATATTAACACTAGTGTTACCACAAACTTAGATATAGATCTAGGTCAATTTCTGAGACACTTCAGATACATATAAACACCAAATATTAACACTAGTGTTACCACAAACTTAGATATAGATCTAGGTCAATTTCTGAGACACTTCAGATACATATAAACACCAAATATTAACACTAGTGTTACCACAAACTTAGATATAGATCTAGGTCAATTTCTGAGACACTTCAGATACATATAAACACCAAATATTAACGCTAGTGTTACCACAAATTTAGATATAGATCTAGGTCGATTTCTGATACACTTAAGAGAGGGAGAAAAAAATATTGATGAATAGGTCAGTTTTATTTGATAGCTTGCAAAGAAATTGAACTATTTGTCTGATTGTAGAGCTGCTTTTGTGAGTAAATGACTCACAGCATTGTCCATGAACTTGATGGTTGGGGACGAGAGAGCTGCACGGCACCCTTCCTCATCTCCATCACTGTATGTCTGGATCAACTCATCAATCAAAGCCGCCTCCTCACTGTCACCAAACCCCGGATACCTTTAATTTAATGATGCAAAATTATTCCTTAGTCACAAAACAACTGACAGGTCACTGTATTTATCCTGTAATTAGCCTGTGTCTGGTCATAAGCCAACAGATTTAGAGCTGCTTAGCAAAATCTTCAACAAGTCCATAATTACATTGCATATATGATTAATTTCACAAGTACCCAGAGGATTTAAAATTTATTGTTTACCCAAGGGCAGAGTTGTAGAACTGTTCTGCTCCGACAGGATCACCCTGCTTCAAGTAAACCAATATAGCACCAATCAGGACGCGGCTGATGGCAGGGAAATTTTCAACAGAAGCTAGAAAGTCAATTTCTCTCTTCAGTGCAGTTAGTGCCTCATCATACCTGGAAGAAATAGTGAAGTATTTTTGTTTGCTAATTTCACATATTCAGACAGAGCAAAAAGCTCACCATTCTATAATCTTCTGGGATGGCAGACTGTTGCATAATTACAGAAGTTTCTGTCTGATATTTTGTTTGTGACAAAAATTGAAGATTTTAAATTTTAGTGTGTTCAAATGAAAAATTTTGTGACTAGTTTCTTAAATCACAAATCAAATTGAAACCCAATTATGATAAAGTCAATTATTCAGGAAACAGGCATTGCTGCATCAAACTTCAGGTCATTTGGGCTTGACTTACTTCTGAAGGTGAATCAATAGCCTTGCTGCCTTTCCAATAAACTCTGCACATTGTCTCGGTTTATCTTCAAGCTAAAAAAAAGGTATATATTTACATTGTTTAACAAAGGAAAAAAACAATGGCAAACACAATTTCTTTTCATTGAAAAAATAATGACATAATTCACAACTAAATTAAGAGTTTTCAACAAGATTTTTTGAGGATTTTATTTTTATTATCATTATTTCCTGTCCTCGCTGGAAGAAAAAAAAATAAGAAAAAAAAGGCTTTCTTTGGAGAAACCCTTTATCCTAGTAGGCAATCCCTCCAACAAGAAGTAGCAGTCTTGGAAATGTTAGTTTAAATAGAATTATATCTGCAAAATGTAATGCAGAAAAAGTATGGTTTCACAATGTTGCAGTTACCGCTCTCACAAACTGATGTTATCTGGATATTGTATTGGACTTTAAATAAAGTTTATTCTAAACATCTTTAAAATCAAAAGTTGATGACAGCCATACAGAAACCTTGTTTACTCTTTCATGGCAATTATCCTCCCTTTATATAATGTCAAACATTGTAGCGCCACTTTACTGGACAGATGGTGGCAGTGTAATGTCAAACTACATTACGCCACTTAACTGGACAGATGGTGGCAGTGTAATGTCAAACTTCATTACGTAACGTCACTGGACAAATGGTGGCAGTGTAATGTCAAACTACATTATGCAAATTCACTGGACAGATGGTGGCAGTGTAATGTCAAACTTCATTACCTAACTTAACTGGACAGATGGTGGCAGTGTAATGTCAAACTTCATTACGTAACTTCACTGGACAGATGGTGGCAGTGTAATGTCAAACTTCATTACGTAACATCACTGGACAGATGGTGGCAGTGTAATGTCAAACTTCATTACGTAACATCACTGGACAGATGGTGGCAGTGTAATGTCAAACTTCATTACCTAACTTAACTGGACAGATGGTGGCAGTGTAATGTCAAACTACATTACGTAACTTCACTGGACAAATGGTGGCAGTGTAATGTCAAACTTCATTACCTAACTTCACTGGACAGATGGTGGCGGTGTAATGTCAAACTTCATTACGTAACATCACTGGACAGATGGTGGCAGTGTAATGTCAAACTTCATTACATAACTTCACTGGACAGATGGTGGCAGTGTAATGTCAAACTAGATTGCGTCACTTAACTGGACAGATGGTGGCAGTGTAATGTCAAACTACTTTATGCCACTTCACTGAACAAATGGTGGCAGTGAAATGTCAAACTTCATTACGTAACTTAACTGGACCCGACAGATGGTGGCAGTGTAATGTCATACTTCATTACGTAACTTCACTGGACAGATGGTGGCAGTGTAATGTCAAACTACATTATGCCACTTCACTGAACAAATGGTGGCAGTGTAATGTCAAACTTCATTACGCCACTTCACTGGACAAATGGTGGCAGTGTAATGTCAATCTTCATTATGCCACTTCACTGGATAGATGGTGGCAGTGTAATGTCAAACTACATTATGCCACTTCACTGGACAAATGGTGGCAGTGTAATATCAAACTTCATTAGATAACTTCACTGGACAAATGGTGGCAGTGTAATGTCAAACTTCATTACGTAACTTAACTGGACCCGACAGATGGTGGCAGTGTAATGTCAAACTTCATTACGTAACTTCACTGGACAGATGGTGGCAGTGTAATGTCAAACTACATTATGCCACTTCATTGAACAAATGGTGGCAGTGTAATGTCAAACTTCATTACGCCACTTCACTGGACAAATGGTGGCAGTGTAATGTCAATCTTCATTATGCCACTTCACTGGATAGATGGTGGCAGTGTAATGTCAAACTTCATTAGATAACTTCACTGGACAAATGGTGGCATTGTAATGTCAAACTACAATATGCCACTTTACTGAACAAATGGTGGCATTGTAATGTCAAACTACATTACGCCACTTTACTGGACAAATGGTGGCATTGTTTTACAGTGAATGTTGACGATTGGTATACCTCAGAAACGTCACAGGCTTTCTGGAACAGCTGTACAGACTTGGTAGGGTGAGAAATTTCAACTATTCTGAAAACAAAAAATATTCACATCATCCAGAATTCCAGACCTAAAATATTTAACTTCATTATGAAATGTCTCTAGGTCGGAAAGTATTCCGTAAAATCATATATCTTCTTTGGGCTCAATTTTTTTGTGATGTTCAAAACATCAATATCTCAATGGATATTTGATTATGTGGATAAATAAATACAGTTCAATAAATGTGCTAGAATACTTTTAACAATTTGTTGACAGACAAATGCCTGGATTACGAGCTGACAAAATCAAGAAAATAACGAACCCATGAAAATGATTTTATATGTGAATGGATCTTTGTATATAAGATTTTGCCAAATAAATCTGTAAAATTTTATGCTGTCAATTATGATATTTTTTGGTAGTAACAATGATATAATATGAAGCAGGAACACAACAATTTATTGCTACATATCAACATGAAAGTCTTTTAATGAATTTCTAGAGTGATGCAGGGACATTCTGAGGTGGGATCTCATTGTAGTACTTACTGACACTGAACAACATCTTCGAGGAGCATCACATGCCATAATGAACAATTCCAGTAAAGTGTTTTGCTCAATGACATAAAAACTACAGCAAAGACCAGCCAATCCCTCAGCTAAACTCATAGGTAAGGAGGTCAAACCACACACCTCGGATCTTCACCGGAGGTTATGTAGCATAATGCTCTACCAACTGAGTTATTGTACCCCTATTAACAAAATTCAGAAAACTACTCCAGTCATAGAGTTCTAAATTTGTTACTTACTTTGCCGCCCTGTCCAGTACAAGGGCTGCTGTGTCAGGTGAACCATCCTCCTGAAATAGTTTGGCAGCATATTCCATCAAATTAATGGAATCTTCTATCATGTTGTTCTCCTTACAGATAAGACCAGCCTGCTCATATGACCTGCAACACAATTTGAGGTTCCATTTTCTGTTTAGGGGTTTAATGTTTTTTTATTAAATTTAATCTCACTGAAATGGTATGTTCAAGCGAACAGCCCAGAAGTTTGATAGCAATTATTCATGAAATGACAGAGCGGTGATAACAGTTTAGGATGGAATGGGACAGACATAGGTAATATTCTATACTGCCGAGGGGTCCTCTGTCTTAAACTGGCGTGGACCATAAAGTTGCAACAAGATGTTATTGTTAGGTTTAGACAATTGGAAACAATTTTATAATGTTTTTCCTTATCTACAGTACAAAGGGTTCCATCCATTGAGGGATATGCAGGTCACCCCCTTATATTGCCAGAAAACCGATGTTCATTTGTGCGATGTCTAGCTGTAGTAATATTCATATAGATGGAAAACAGCTCACCAACCAACCAAAGCTACATCTTTACTTACTTTGCTGCATGGAATGGCCTGTGGAAATGTTAAAGAAAATTACTGGCTGTGAAAATTGACAAGAGTTTATAAACAAAGTGGAGATGATACCTGCTATAAATAACACATAGCTTCAGTGTCGCCAACGTCTAATCACCTAAATGGGTGCCAAGTGAGTTGAGATGACAAGGGCCTTTCAAAGTGTCTTTAAGGAAAAGATTTTGTCATCAATTTTATTGTATCTGTATGTATTTAGATGGATGATATTTTATGTTTGAATCTTATTTTGAGTATACATTATCATTTTGGAATTTCAAATAACCAATTGAAATAGAAGAAATGCCAGGTGATTGAAGAAGTCAGGATATGGCCAATATCAGGTAGACCTGACAAAATCTTGTGACAATGTTGCTTAGATTTCGACAAACTAATTTTGTTCTCATGTAAAAAAAATTAAAAAATCACAAAGCATGTAATATTTGAAATTGTGTTTCTGTTATAAAATCAGACCACATGTCAAACTATGGTTAACAGAGACTGTTCTATTTCCATGCTTCCTGAGAAACAAACTACCACATATAGAGTGCCAAACTACACACCTCAGAGGTTTAAAGTCAAAACACTTTAATGACTGAACTATCCTTGCCCTCTAAATGGTTTAAGGGAGTGAAATCCAGCAAAAATGGTCATGAACACAGTATAAAACTACATAATAAAGGTGCAGTGTAAAGGATACGCATTCATTTGGAGCTGGACTTCTGCGGCTTTAATACAAGCATCTTTAGCCTCCTTCAGACACTTTGCATTTCTGTAACATGTTGCTGAAAATAAAGTAATTAAAATGACAGCTGTAGATTTATAGTGTATCTCAAAATTAAGGAAATTCAATCAGTTATTCAAGCACATGGAACTCTGCAATCAGGCAGATCGTGATCAACAATTTGTAAAAATTCTTTGTGCAAAAACTGCTGTTAGAGCTCCATAATAACTCACTGGATTGGTGTATTTTATTTTGTGGAAAGTAAAATTAGAAGGAAAGGAACCATTTTCATTGATGCGTACTTTTTTTTAATTTTTAAATTAATTTTTTGATAAATTAATCCATGTATAATTTCATAATCAAAATGATTAATCAGAGTAGCAGAGTAAAGCTGTATGATAGCGATTAAAGGCTGATACAAAAAGTGTGAGTACTGAAAATTGTCAAAAAAATGAAATGGAACCAGTATCATATCTACTCCTTTAAAACAGTAGGACATTTACCATACATAATATCGGTGAAGTACAATTGGTAATTCCTTGTATATGAACGACCATGTTAATTCACAAAATTTCAACTCGTTAAGCTACAGGGTTTTTTTATCTGATGTATAATACTAGTACCTGCTTTGTTGTATTCTGAAGCGGCCCCATCCAAGTCAGGTCTCCACTTGAATAACGATGTTTTCATACTGAAAGATCAAAATAAAACATGTCATAGCTAAAATGTAGGAGTCAAACTTAGTTTCAATAATAGTGCTTTTAAGTACAGCATCTTACCAACTGTATAATGAACATTTAAATAAAGTAAAATTACCACCTTGGTAATTTACAGAAATTTGATCAATTTCACTATGATTCTTCCATGTAACTTAAGTTATTAATTAACATCTTTGTTCACAAATTTATTTTAATATTTTGTTATGTAGATCAATGTAAAACACAATCATTGGATTTTTCATCATCTTGTTCTTCTCTGAACTCCAGTTGTCACTGTTGGTCAAGGGGAAATAACTCTTAACCCAAAGTTACAGTAATCAATATTCCAAAATACTGTAATTTTTTTAATGGGAAATAGTTTCCATTTCACTCTTTTAAACTATGGGAAAAGGGGGCAAATTCAAATTCAACAGGGACAAAAAGTGTGATTGAATGGAAATAAAAACTCCGCACATACACATGTATACATTGACCTAATGGGCAAGTATTGATTGTTGTCCTTATAGAACTATATAATCATTAATTCTATGTTCCAGTGAAAATTCTGATATTCACTATGAAAATATTGATCAATTAAGAACCATTTTTCAGGTTTCATTTATGGGTTGATTTTCTATTTAGTTGTAAAATGTGACACTTGAAAACCTGTAAACTACTAAAGCACTTGACAATGTGTCATGCATTTGATGAAGATGAAATTCTTTAAAAAATGGGTTGGAAAAAACTTAATTATATTTTTAAAAACCATATACAAGCCCTATTTGCATCCCCCCCAAGACATTTTGAAGTGAACATGGGCCACAGTGGGCTGGAATAGTTTGTGGACTCATTAGCAGTTGAAATTTCTAAATATTAAAAGCCTTTGCAATCTCAGGTGAATTTAGAATTGAGGTGTGTGATTATAGGTCCTTGGTAATAAACTTATCCAGATTACTTTCCATAGCATGTGATGTGGTTCTGCAAGGTACCCATCAGCTTTAAGTTAAAATGACCCTGACTGTTTATAGACCCCTGGCCAGCAATAAAAATGAATCAAAACCCTGAATCTTTTACTTCCAATGTCCATCACACAGGGTTTTCCATAAGAGCAGGCCGCCGGCCAATTTGACCGGCTACTTTGATCATTTGGCCGCCTCCACCAATCCAGTTCCATAATAATGTTCTGTACACGACTACACGTACATGGCAGGCCAGCCTCCTACTTTCACTACACAGCCTACTACTAACAAAATTATGGAAAACCCTTATCACAGAAACAAGAAAGAACGCATCTCAACAAACTAGACACTTATATTGAGGTAATATTAATATAAGATATATATGATGCATATTTTCCACTTTGCTATTTTTTTTATAATGACCTTTTGTTGACAACTGACTTATTACATGTACATGCCATCTAGAACAATGGAGTCTTACCATTACAATATAAAGTATCCACTATCTATAGCTACTGATCATGAGCTAGGATTTGAAACAAAAATCCTATAGACCGCTTGTAAACGGATATTTTAACTGAAATTCATTTTGCAATATAGTAGATCTAACATAATCATCTACTCATCTATAGTGTAATAAAATTCCCCATATTATCTAATAAGTGTACAAATAAACATCAAAGTTCAATCGAACCCGATCACTAGAAGCAAGAATGACAGATGACAGACCCAGGCTGCCCGGCTTGATTTTATCACATAAGTACACATAACATCTAAATCGAGCATGCTTCCCTGTAAATGATACTCCTATATATTACCATTTTTCAGCCTGACGAATATGGTCCATAGCCTCGGCGGCTTTGCGCTGTTTCATGTCACTCGCCATCTCTAGCTGCTGTCAGTCTACAAACATCAACATGACCATTAATTTAGATCTATATCACATTTCAGAAATATACAAGTATAGAATAAAAGCAGATCAACTGTGTATGGTAAATGATAAAACGCTATATATTAAATTTCTTACATCAATATATCTCATGATGATATAAAACATACATTATAAGCTTTTATTAAGTAAAAAAAATCAAAACATTTCTGATAAAAATAGTTTTCGAAAATGTGCTATAAAAGAACTCTCCACTTTTTGAAACCACAAAAGGCGAAAGACGAAAATGGCCTCCAACTTGGAAGAAACACTCGGAAAACTTCTTGTTCCAGACAATAACACAATTCAGCTGGTAATTATAATATACACTGACTCTTCACGAATGCTAACTCAACAACATTATGTGTCTTGATCGGTGTGAACTCGTCATGTTTTATTCTAAATGCTATGACGCATCGTTCCCACGTGTCGACGGCATTTCGAGAACGAAAAAAACGCGGGAAATTATGGTTCTAAATCGGAAAAAATATATTTCATTTACTTCCAATCATCTACCATGTTTTGTTTTATATATATTTTGTCGTGAATTGATAAAAATATTATATAGTTTGAACGTAGATGCGTATATATGCGATTTGTATTAAATATTGACGCGATTGCAGCTAAAATCAGCTGAAAAGGATTCCAACAGATGCGAAATTAGTAACTTATTCCAGATGCCTGTTAGATATATCATTTAAGTACCTATTATAGACCAGTTAACTTTCAACCGTTAGACATTGCATATATAGAACATGTGTTAATGGAAACCCCTCAAATTATTTACAAGCATTGCAGAAATGTCTGTTACCGTTCAACTTGAACCATTTTACGTATTGGCATGATATATATTTATAACTTATATATTTAACAAAACCGTTGGCATAAGTGGTGAATTTCAAAATTGCATCAAGATTTTAAAAAATATGATTTTTGCAGTCAAAAGAAAAATGTCAGTTGATTTTCATAGTGTTCCCGGTCCAGAAAATGAAAAGCTGTTATTGAAAGCTATGTTTTGATATATAATTGTATATGTTATTTTGTATATTTTAACTTTTTAGGCAACACAGCAACTGAAGGAATTGTTTAAGGATCCCAATGTTGTCCCAGGACTTTGTCAGGTCTTAGGATCTTCACAAGTACCTCAGGTAAATATTTTATCTTTCATATAATAGCCATGTACTTGGAAAATTGTCCATTCAAGACAGCATCATTGGTCTGAACTTTGAAACAGTAGTTGCTATAGATCAAATCACATGGTTGATCTAGACCTTCCAACTTGGATCATTATAGTTATTAAAGTAAAAAGTTGCTTGTGGGAACAGCTATCTGTCAGAAATTTCACCGCAAAGTTTACATCAGTTTAATCTGGTAATAAAAAGACTCCTTCACTCCAGGTTCGCCAGTTTGCAGCTGTTCTTCTGAGAAGAAAAATCCAGAAAGGGAGACAATATCGTGCTTTGCCAGAAAATATTATAAATAAGTAAGTGAGATGTTGTGATGACAATATCAATATGAAGCATAGTCGTACTGAAGATAAAATCCAGGTTTTAGGGAAAGTAATGAAAAGTTACGTCAAGATAAATGGAAAATTTCATGTCCTATTTTCAAATTTTCTTTATTTCTGTTTTGAAAATGAAGTAATACATGTATCAATAATGCAATTGTTATGCAGTGTATCTTCTGTGAGTTTTTGTCTGTTTGTAACATCTGTTGTTTGGTTTATGTATCAGTTGGATTATTGATGTTGATAATTCAAATTAATACAATAGATGAGAGATAATAAGGAAAGTGTTTTAATTTGTAGAGAATATTTTTTGTAGTATTGTTTTCATTGATAAGAATATAATCTGTGGTATTGAAATCTCAGTGTTTTAGGCCTTGTTATGTGTTTGGTTTACCATTTTCATATCATTATAAATCAAAATAATCTCTTCCAGTATTCGTGACAACATCTTACAGATACTTGTACAAGAGCCAGAGTAAGTATTATGCTAGGGTATATCAAAATGTTGAGTAAGACTCAAATTGGTCATTCAATTGCCATGGCAACTGAAAAATGGGGAAGATTTACTTCAAAGTTTGTTATTCATTGCATTGCTGAAATATTGATGACAATTAACTGTAGAATTTTCATCAAGTAGGTTTTCCTGTCTGCTACTTATCACAATAGCTAGCAAGTAATCATTGGTTATCTACAAATCAATTAATTGGGTGGGATGTTATAGATTATACAAAAGACCGCAAGTAAATAGCACCTTTAAATAATTTAGAGTTAGTTAAAGTATAGCCAAACAATGAATTAAACTGCATCATACAGCAGTGTCCTCCTACTAGGACTAATCAGTGATGCTAAGGGCCAGAATTTTGAAGGTGACTGGGAAAATCCAAAGTGATCTGAAAGAAAAGTAAAAATTTAGATGGGGAGGTACAGCTGCCCCCATAATTGAATAAACATCATGAATCATGTGTATATTCTGAACCATGCCACTATTTGACTGAATTAAATGTGGCATGCATGTTATACTATATTTTCTGGTTATAAGTCACAGCTTTTTTTCTTAGCGATTTGGCATGCAGCTTATATACTAGTGGGGTTTATAAGTGGATGAAAAAAAATCAGGAGAATGTAAAAAAAAAAAAAAAAAAAAGTGGGGGGGGGGGGGGGTGAAAAAAAAATTAAATGTACCGGTACACCAGTACAAGACAGTACCAATTTTTTTATGAGTACCTGTCCAACACATGTTTGTGACTGAAACGGAACATCTAGAACTGTCATTTACAATTGTATACAAAATAATTTTAAGATTAAAATGAAAATGATATTCTTGGTAGTTAATTAATCATATATTTTAATATAAATCACAATAATATCTTCTGAACTTTAGTGGTTGCTTCGGCAGCAGAAATTTACACATAGCCTATTGCATTCTGGAATTGATGGGTCATCAGGTTATGGGTCAAATTCAAGAACAACTGCCATGCTTGTTTACCATAAGAATGACTTCATGTAACTTACAAGAAATAAAATGGGACTATAAGAATTTTTTTAGCATGCAAGTGCCTTTTCTTATACTTGACAGTATAGATACGGAAGGTGATATTGTTAAGATACCAAGTGTAATGTCAGGTCCTATATATTTGCAGAGACAATCTTTTGAGGCTCCCAAGCCAAACAAGTGTGACAATTGTTATTAAACGTTTTTGAAACACAAATCAATGAAATAAAGGATTATCTGTTTATAATTCATTTGCAAACTTATATTAAATGTTTCATTGACAATTTTGATGTCTTCCTTTGTCTGTTATATCAATAAACTTTGGTCAACATAACTATTACCACATCGTAAGAAAGGGGTCAACTTATATTCCGGTACAATCAATATGTGGATCAAATGAAAAAGATGTTAAAGAATGGCTCTGTGGCTTAAATACCAGGGCTGCTTATAACCCAGAAAATACAGTACATGTGAATATGATGAAAATATTATGATACAAATATCAATTTATGTACAGGAATTTTATTTTACCATTGTTATATGATATATCAACAGGAAGAGTGTGAGGAACTCTATAGCCCAAGTGGTGGCAGTGGTAGCCAAACATGACCTGCCAAAAAACAGCTGGCCACAACTGCTGCAGTTTCTCAGTGTCTCCTGTAAAAGTCAAACCGTTGCTGAGAGGGAGGTCATTATCACATTCTCATGTCACTTCAGAGCTTCAATAAAAGTGATTTGATAAAGAGTCATTTTTGTCCATATTTCCTATTAATTTCTAATTTGAATATTGATAATCAAGTAAGTTATTCCAAGTCTTCATCAGAGTGAAATGCATCTGATTTGCCAACTAAAATTATTTGCACATATTTAAATATGAAATGCATTCAGAACAAAAGAAATCGTAAATGTTAAATTACGTCCCTTGTTTGGCTATGACGATCATACTCTTATTTGGTGGTGTTGATGTAAAACTTTATTTTTAATAGACTGGCGTGTTTGTACTTCATTCTGTGGCCTCCGGAGCTGGAGAACAGATGAAGCCTCACTTGGCTAGTCTGCTACAGATGATGACTGTAATCATTAATGATTCAGAGAGTCTACTTGTCCCTTACTACTCCATCAGGTAATGTCACACTAAGGTTAAAATTATGACAGTCCTCTTTGACTTGACATATGATATCAGTAGTGAACATGACTTTGCTAGTGACACTTTGTACTTTTTCATTCTGGCTATATCTAGTAATATACTTACCCACATCTTTTATATATTGTAATAAGTCCACCATTCTTCAAGTCAGAGGTAGTGATTGCAAATTGGTTAAAATCATAATCAATTATTGGTTAAAATTGGTTAATCAATTACATAATTGACTGATTGTATGTTCGTTGTTCATAGAAAGTGAATATGTTCTCAATGGCAGTAATAATTTCCATTTTTGTAACTTTGGCCTAAAATACTTTACACCTAGAATTTGCATAAGAATGAAAATTACTGGCAGTTGGCATCTTTATTATGCATAATATAATTTTTTTTGGGGGGAGGCTTAAAAAACAAGATAACATTGAGCTACCTAAGATCAGTTATAAAAAATTACAATCAATTCTGGCTTCAGATAAGTTAAACAATTAGATAATCAATTATATCTGATCATCATCCCATCACTAGTCGGAGGTGATATATTTTGAACCATTTTGCATGATGAAATACATCCACAAATAAAAGATTTTGATCTCAAATAGTGTTGCAAAGTGTATGCATATATTAATCAGGAACTTTCTTTGTCAGTTTCATAGAATAGATGTAGCTTGTGTTTCTGAAGTTGATTAATGTGAACTGTTTGCAGAACAATTGCAGAGCTGATCTTCTTCATTGGAGAAGATGAGAAGGTAAGATTTGAGTACCATCTGACATGAGGGATCATTTGTAACTTTCAGAAATTTTTTTTTCGTTCCAATGAAAATTATTGAATGTATATTTTAAAGAAAAAAGAATATATTTGTATATGTTTGACACATCAGGAACTAAATTGAACAACTTCAAGGAAGAATGTTTATTTGCATTCCAACAGAAAAAAAAAACTCAAAAATTTAAAAGTAATATTGGTATAACCGGATTTATTTCAAACATTTGATTGACTTCTGCTGTACCTATCATGTCTGGTTTGAATATTATGTTTATTGCTAGGTTTTATTTCCTTTCAAATGACCTGTCTTTTAATTCAATTCTATCAACCATGGAACATTCTGATAATCAATATTTTTATATTGAGATAAAAGAAAAACCAGTGTTAAAGCGTAGATTGTTTCTTACAGCTTGGCAGTGTTGACAGAGTAAAAAGCCCAAGTTTTGAATATACTTTTGTTTTTAAGTTATGTTTTTTCATTGTTGTTTTTGGAATTTTGTATTTCCTATAATTTCATTTGTCAGAAAAATCTTATAAATTCTTGAATCTGTCTTTTTTGTTCCTTTTAACAAAAAGGTTTTGTTGAATATTGTATTGTCATGTTAATTAACAAAGGATCTATCAGAATTGTTGAAGGATGAGGCAAAATCACAAATTATAGCTGATGAAAAAATATCAGCTTAGGTGTAAAGATTTGATTTCATAATGAATATGTTTAGATACCATTTCCTACCTTGAAGTAAATTTGTATTTTGCACTATTCACTAAAAAGAAAAAATCTGAAATATATACAGACTTCTTTTGTTAAAACTATATATATATAAATATGAATTAAAAACTTTAACATAACATAATTGGCAAAGTGTTTGTTTACCTTTTGTTGTGTGATAACGTGGAGAATTATCCTAAATAATATACTAAAGTAAAACATTCTGTTTACAGAAATATGTGCAGGGTATGATTCCAAGGATTTTAGAGTTTGCCAAACTACTTATACCACAAGATGAGGTTAGTTATACACTGTACTGATCGTTAATTGCCATTCTATAAGCTTTTCCCAAATGTGACTGCTTTCTATTTCATTTCATTATTTTCCTGTTCTGTTGGTCATAGGACCTTTTGGACATCCGTATTGTTCCTAGTCATCTGTAGATATCAAATGCTATCTATGCCAACACAAGCTAACCTACCACCATTTACCCTTCTGCTCAAGTATTTGTATAGTAGAGTTCAAAGTTCAGTGTGATTCAGTACTTGTGTACTTGCAGGAGAAAGCGTGCGAAGTACTGGAAGTGTTTGATGAGATGCTGGAGTGTGAAGTGAACATCATTGTGCCTTACATGAAGACTGTTGTTGACTTCTGTCTGGAGGTGAGTAGTACATCAGAAGTTCACCTAGGAAGATGATGGCTAATTTTTCAGGCTTATCTACTTTAATGTTACTAAAGCAAATCCCTTTGCTGATCTTTTTCATTTGAAATTCCATTTTGCTGTCCTGTAGTAGCAGAACTGGTTCTTGTGCCATTTACTGATTTATAAATTCATGAAATTGTAAAACATTTTACATGTTATACTATGGATTGTGACATTCTTTACATATATAATGGTCAAACTTGAATTCATATACCCTCTTTGGAAAGTTTTCAAAGGCTCCTTTACACCAAGCAGTCTCTTTAACAAGCATGGGAAGCAGGGAAATAACTACAGTTAGGTGTTCAGAAATGTGATCTGCAACATAGATGGCCTTTGAAATAATTAAACTGTCTTTAAAGGCCACTCAGTGGAGCAGAGAAAGATGGCCTTTATACACAGGTGATCTTTTATATAGAGGCTCAGTGACTATGAATTACGTTACACAGGGAACCAAAAAGTAGCCTTTTAAGACAAATGGCATTGGCATAAAGGTGGCCTTAAAATCAGGTTGAACTGTAATAATTTCTCTTCAGTAGGTATGACTATGTCCTACCTTGCTATGTTAAGCCAATCCTACACTCTGTCTATAAATACTATAAGTACTAATGAATACAACAAGTATCAGTACTGTTTTTCAGCAGAATTATCAACAGGTACTCTTTCATTGTCCCGTAATAACCCCACACTCTGCTTTGGGCTGAAGAACAAGTGTTAGCTCATAGACATGTATATTTTAGGTTAATGTTGATTTGAAGAGAGACATCTTTTTTTTGATCGATGCTTCAGGTTGCTGGAACAGCTGCCCTAGGTGATAGTGTGCGTGTGAAAGCCATGTCCTTTATAGCTTCATTTGTCAAGCTCAAAAAGAAGGTAACTTTATCAAACTATTTGTAGAAATAATCTGGTGCCTACTTGAGAGATGATGGACTATAATGCATACCTACTAATTCTCTCCAGATGTTTCTTCAAATGACTTTAGAAACATGTATGCTCTTGAAAATAATTTTGAATAGGCTTGTAACGCGATACAACAGGCATTTAGGTTATATTACTTTTAAGATTGTTTGCAGAATTACAGTAGAACTTTACCTCGTATAGTCTGGAATGTGTGAATAATTTATGTTTTAGAATAGGCTTTCATGAAGCAGGAGTTAGTAAACATCAAGTTAAAAGTTCTTTACCGCTAGGCTTTTCTGAAATGGAATTTGGAAACCATATGTTAAGTGTTGTTTTCCATCATACTTTTCTGGAACAGAAATTAGTTAATCCAGTGTTGAATGTTGTTTTTCTCTAGGCTTTTCTGAAACAGAAATTAGTAAACCCAGTGTTGAATGTTATTTTCCCTGTGATGTGTGCTGGGTCAGAGGATGACGAGGAAGACGAAGACGTAGATGAAGTTGAAGCACAGAAGCCTTCTGTTTATGGTCCTGAGGTAAGCATAATTTTAACAACTCTTTATGTATTGTTATCTGGGGCAAAAGGGGCTGCAGTGGCTGAGTGGTTAAGGCGTTTGACCATCTTTATCACTAGCCCTCCACCTCTAGGTTGCTGATTCAATGTCAACATGGGACAGTTGCAAGGTACTGGCGACAGGTTGATGTTATTTCTCAGAAAACTTTGTTTTCCTCCACCATCTAAATCTGACATGTGGGAAAGACAGCATTATCTGGAATTTTCTCTTAGATTCTGTAATTTTTATTAAAGTTTCGATCTTGACTGAAGTTTCTTTATTACTTTGACAGGTGATTGACACCATGGCTCTCCACCTTCCCCCTGACAAACTCATTCCAAATCTGGTAAGTGGGGTAGTATTCACAAAGCATATTATAATTGAGTTTAGTCTCCAAAACGATAAAAAAAACATACATGATATTGACAAGAAAATATTCTTATATACAACTAAGCCAGATTGATCTAAAACTCTCAATGTTGGCTCCTTAATACCAGTATTTCAAAGAATCAAATAATTGCAGATTATTTAATTTATCTTCAGATCATGCAAAATGGAGGTATTAGGTACGAATTACTGCATTAATTTTACATAATGTCCATGTCAGATTATCATCCACCCCCTTGTAAGTTCTACCAGGGCAAAGTTTTTTCAACATCTTCCAATAAGCAGTTCTCCATCCCCTTGAATTTTCTTGTAATTCTCAAATCCTTATGGCAAGACAAATGTAAAATTATTTGTGATGATATATATATTTCTTGGGAAAAATTAATCTTATTTTGACCTGTTATGTTACCGTAGATGACAATAGTTGAGCCTGCCATTTTGAGTGAGACACCATCGCATCGGCGTGCTGCGTATCTCGCTCTGGCTGTGGTTGTCGAGGGCTGTGCTGACTACATTACCAATAAGTATATATATGTTTGTGACCATCATATGTGTTTGTGTATGTACTGATCTGTTCATAGAATTGTAATGTGAAAGGTGTAGTATGCCTTTCTTCAGGATGGAACCCTCGACCCCTGGCATACAGCGTTTGTCATACTTGGATCAAGCTGATAGAGGTTCTTGTAAAAGTAACAATTTCATTTCAAATTTATAAAAAAAAGTTTCCAAAATATTTCTGCAAGCATCCAGGCAGGTGTGTTATCAAATTATTTGATGCATATAAAAAAATGCAAATTACTTGTATGGTAGCATCAGATATAGCTAACTTCTAGCTCATATTTATAATAAAATTACCCGTCCATTTACAATGGTTAACATCTGCATGTACTTATTTTCAGTTATAAGACAGAGTCACAGAATGTTACTTCAATTGTTTTACAATAGTGTTTATTGCATTGTATGAAATTTATGATTTTGACATATTACTTGGTTTAAACCAAGACTGTTTTGTGATCAATATATTTCTATGCTCTCATTTCATGTCCTGATATTTCAAGGCAAAATGCTACAATAATAATTTTTCCTGACATGTCTATCCTGAAATACATTGTACTTCCATTTCATAAACAGATAAAATAATACATTGTATAATTCATTCAGCTGAATAAATTTTTAATCATTTGGCAGGTTTAATGTTAAAAAATATGTTGAATTACTTAATGAAAACTGTACTCAAATTAAATATGGGTATCAATATTCATGTCTGTTAGATCAGAGTCAAGTTCAGTTTTGACCTTGAATATTTCAGACACTTGCAGGCTGTACTTCAATGTGTTGTCAAGGGTTTAAATGATCCAGATCAGCAGGTCAGGAACTCTGCTCTCTTTGCTCTGGGACAATTTTCGGAGCATCTACAGGTGAATTTAAATTCTACGCTGATTCCTGAGTTAGTGCATTATACCAAATGTATCTAAATCAAAATGTAGTTACACCTATTTCCAGGCTTCTTGAAAAGAATGATCTATAAATGTATTTTTTACCAAAATTTACAATTTGTGAAGGAAAAAAATCAACCTTTTTACAGCTTTGCAGTTTTGATCTGTCAGTGCTTTGTATGGTTTTAATATTAAAGACTTTTGATGTTTTGATATATATATGCTTGTAATGCTAAACCTGCTTTTAACAATATGTGCCATATACTTTCATATTCAAAACTGCTGAAGGAATCTTTTGACTTCATAAACAGATCATAATATTTTTCATGGAAGGCACATCCATTTCAGAAAATTGTTGTCAATGTCACCCAAATCAGAGACAGACTATGTAGTATATTGCAGTTCCTGTTTTTTTTTTAATTTTTCAGCCTGATATTAGCAAGTTTGCCTCAGAGTTACTTCCACTTCTTTTCCAATACCTTGGTCGAGCAACGCAGGAAGCTGATAAAAACCCCAAGGGCCTCACCAAAAGTTACTATGCTTTGGAGATGTTCTGCGAAAATCTTGGTTAGTTTTGAGTTCTCTGCTTCAAATATACGACATAAACCATAATCTTAAAATAGCTTTAATATTATTTTAATTGGTCACTGAAAATCAATAACTAACCACTGGAAAATTCACAAGATCTCATTTTAAACCCAAATTAAGAAACAAATGGACATCACAAATTATTTCGAGATAGTATGTATTCTCTCTAAGGCCTTTTCCTGTGAAAACATCTATTTGATACCAGGACTCCAAAATAAAACACTATTTCACCTTATCAAGTTATCAGTTAAACTCTATGGGTGGTACCTCTAAACAAAACCTGGAGTTCATTAGTGGGAAAGATGTTTGACTGGAATAGCCTTAATTGTTTTTATTGTTAAAACTGTGATGGATTGAGAGAAAGAAACTATTCAAATGTGAAATGTTTCTTACAGATGTTACATAAATAAGAAATCATTTTCTCATTAATATGCACATGCAATGGGTGAAAAAAGAAATTGATTTGGAAAAAGATTTTCTGTTGGAACAATTTTCTCATTCATGAAAAATAATTTCATCATTGAAGCAAGTGAAACACCTGTCTGAACAGTGTATATTACTGTAGATAAAGACATTCTACCATATATGTCTATTATACCTGGTATGTGTAGATATCATTCCTTACCTGTTTGAACAATGTATATTGGTTTCACCTGTCTTCACAATGTGTATCATTGTAGGTAAAGACATTCTGCCCTACTTGTCCACACTAATGGAGCACTTGATTAATGTCCTGAAGACCTCGCCTACCAACAGACCCAAGGAGCTGGCAATAAGTGCTCTAGGAGCAACAGGTCTGTGGTAGCAAGTTATTAAACTTATTGGTGATAATGTTCTGTAACCACAGCTCACTAGCTGCTTTAGTGATCCAACAACTTGTGATGGTTCAAATTTGAATTGTTTTACTAAAGTCTTGTAGTAAAAGAATATACATTTCAAGCAGAAGTCATAAAGCCAAAAATGGTTTTCTCTATAAGTGTACTTTCAAGGTGACTTTTTTTCTTTTCCCATTGAAAATAATGAAAAACTGAGCTCTTCGTAAATAAGAATGTTTAAAGTGTTAAAAGATTATCTGCATCAATATTTTGAGGAAAGTGAAGAGCTTTAGGCCCTACCCACTTATGATGGCTTTTTTAGCCCACCATCTAATAGATGGTGGGTTATTCAAATCGCCCTGCGTCCGTGGTCCGTCGTCCGTCTAGGCGTCCGTCCGTCTGTAAACAATTCTTGTTACCGCTATTTCTGGAAAAGTACTGGATGGATCTTTCTCAAATTTCATATGCAGGTTCCCCTTGGTCCCTAGTTGTGCATTGTACCTTTTTTGAACCGATTCGCATTCAAGATGGCCAACAGGTGGCCATCTTGGATTTTGGAAGTAAAGGTTTGTTACTGCTATTTCTGGAAAAGTACTGGATGGATCTTTCTCAAATTTCATATGCAGTTTCCCCTTGGTCCCTAGTTGTGCATTGTACCTATTCTGGACTGATTCGATTTCAAGATGGCCGACAGGTGGCCATCTTGTATTTTGGAAGTAAAAGTTTGTTACCGCTATTTCTGAGAAAGTACTGGATGGATCTTTCTCAAATTTCATATGCAGTTTCCCCTTGGTCCCTAGTTGTGCATTGTACCTTTTTTGGACTGATTCGAATTCAAGATGGCCGACAGGCAGCCATCTTGGATTTTGGAAGTAAAAGTTTGTTACTGCTATTTCTTGGAAAGTACTGGATGGATCTTTCTCAAATTTCATATACAGTTTCCCCTTAGTCCCTAGTTGTGCATTGTACCTTTTTTGGACTGATTCGAATTCAAGATGGCAGACAGGTGGCCATCTTGGATTTTGAATGTAAAAGTTTGTTACTGCTATTTCTTGGAAAGTACTGATGGATCTTTCTCAAATTTCATATGCAGGTTCCCCTTGGTCCCTAGTTGTGCATTATACCTTTTTGGACTGATCGGAAATCAAGATGGCTGACAGGCAGCCATCTTGGATTTTGAGAGTAAAATCTTGTTACTGCTATATCTGTGGAAGTACTGGATGGATCCTTCTGATATTTCATAGATATTGGTTTCCCTTGGTCCCTAGTTGTGCATTGTACCTTTTTGGACTGATTTGAAATCAAGGTGGCCCACAGGCAGCCATCTTGGATGTCAACAGTAATACAGCACAAGCATATTGTCCATTATCCACCTGTAACTGACTGCTATCTAATAATACTTTTGGATCTTTTTCAAATGATATTTGCTAATAGGTGCTTAATAAAAATATCTTGTGCCATCATTGAGTACATTCAATGAAGACCAGTTCATGAACATTTACAACACCTGTAACAAACAAAAAAAATAAACAAATCTTCAAGAACTGAAAACAGATCCTCAAATGGTGGGCGCCAAGATCCCTCTGGGATCTCTTGTTCTTTTATGATTTCTACAAGCACAACAATTTTTACAAAACAGACTATATTATAATATGCTCGGAGAATTGCTTATGATCCCTGTCCTTATATGTCATGGATAACTTTTGGGAGATAGATTATATTATAATATGCTGTGATAATTGTTTGTGATCCCTGTCCTTATACACCATGGTTAAGTTTTGCGAAACAGACTAAGAATTGTTTCTGGCTTTACTTTAATCAGTGTAGGCCTTGTATTATTCACTGATCCACATTCTGTTCAGTCAATGCTGCTAAGGAAGGTATGAAGCCCTACTTTCCTGTTATCATCGAACAGTTCAAGATCTACCTTATGGCAGGAGATGATGAGGAGATGAGAAATCTACAGAAACAAACATTAGGTAAGACGTATTTTTATGATCTTTTACTGTACAAAACCATGTAGGTTATGTATATTTCTTTGATACAATCAAGTAAAATATATCAATCACAACAGCTCAGGAGTGTATGGTCTTCAATTTTTATTAGGTGTTCGTTGACCGGTTTCGTCCTCTCAGGATTCATCAGGACGAACCTTTAATGTTTTCATGCCCCTAATGTACTTAAATATGTGGCTCCCTAAAAAACAAGTACAATGCTGATTATGACGTAATACAATTGCGGGTTCAGTTAATCTGTAGTACTATTGATTTCAACTGTTATAAAATTGTGTCCTATCTATGAATATATGAAAGTTATCAGATAACAATCAGATAATAGTTCCATCATGGTTAACTAGTACTCAACATTCCATCACAGTTAAATAGTGTTCACATTACATAATATTTCCATAGCGGTTAATTAGTTTTTGGCAGTGTCTGAAGGAAAGGAAAATGTTGTTCCAAACGTATGGTAAAATGTAAATAGACGAAAGTGTTAGTTGGTTTATTGCTGCCCAGGCTCCCTTCTTTGATACATATTTTTTTCATGGTTAAAGATGAGATTTTGCAAACAAAAAAAGAAAAATTCATGAATTTTTGTTTTGTTTTTTTGTAACGTCAAGAGATTTTGGAAAGAGCAATGTAAGGCTTCAGATTGATTCAAGATTTCCATAAAGATACAAATTTCTACTAGACACAATGGCAGTTAGGTTTCAAAAATTAAAGTTATATATTATTAATTTTGTACAGACACCCTCGGATTGTTGGCTCGGGGAGTCGGATTGGAGACCTTTCTCCCACTCACTAAAGAGTGTGCCCAGCTTGGCTTGAATCTCCTACATACTGTGGATGATCCTGACCTTCGTAGATGTGTGTAAGTAAGATCTATATCCCTAGCATGAATCGGATGGGACATAAAGCAATAGACAGTTTGGTTAGGCTTTGTGTTTGTATCAATCTTCTCCAAACAATAATTGTTGAGACTGGTGAATTTACATTAAAGTATTTTTTGAGCAAGATGTTGATGTTTTAAAGTGTATTGTTTTAAAGACAGAAAACTATTGAAACTTCTGACACATTTTTGACTTTACAAAATTTACAAGAAGACTTTTTTGTGGGCCAAAATTTACAAGAAGGCTTTGGATTTCTTCCTGTTTATCTAGTGTTATTTAGGAAGATATTAGAAAACAGATGATTAAAATCCTCTTTTCAATCACACGTGAATGGTTTTGTAATTATTTGTACTGTTGACAGGTACGGGTTGTTTGCATCACTTTCCTCCATCATGAAAGGTGACATTGGTCCTTACCTAGAAAATCTCATTACACATATGATTGGCTCTCTAAAGTCTACAGAAGGTGTTAAGGTAAACATTTGACTTTTGCTTTCAGTGTTCAAGTCCCAGACCATACTTGAAAAGATAGGGATTTAACAGTTCAACAAGATTTTTTTTCTGCTATTAGAACCTCTGCACTTTCAAAAGAGTCAACAAGAATGATTTAAACAAGTTGATGCGAGGTTTTGTGGTTGTTGTAAGATAAATGAATTTGAAATATGTATATTTTTTTGAAACACCTTAAATACAAAAGTGATACAATTTTCATCTATTATTTTATTATTGTACTCCACTCAATATTCCTTTCTTTTTAAATGGAGAGGCTCCAATAGCTCAGTCAATAGAGCTTTGATGATTGGACTTGTGTGGGTCAACACTCCCTACCTATGACTGTTTGCATTTCTCAGGAAGCTGAGAAACTGACCAGTGTGGTCAGATGTGGTTGTGTCCTTGGGCAAGACACTTTACCCTAATTTCTCTGGATATCTTGTGATGCGCCTTCTTTACCTTGTTCAGTGAGGTCGCCACCAGCTATACAAGAAGATCTCGCCTCAATGTCTCTGGCTGTTCATTGGCAAAGAAACCTAGCAAACAGATAGACAAATTCTTTTAGCTAAAATATGTTGTAGGAAGAAATCTTTACAAATTAGAAAGATGCATAAAAAGTCCTCTGATTTCAGTCTGTAAGAATCCAGCAAACTTTGTGACCATTGTCCTTGTGTTTATCACTTCACTGTTTCATGCAAATATCCCTCATTTTCAGCTTCATCAGAAATTTGCTTCTTATTGCAGGCACATGTGGCATTAGCAGAAGAACAAATGAGTATTTTTAACGAGGAGGATTTTGGAGAGGAAGAAGACATTTCTCAGGAAGATGATGATGAAGATGACCATCAGCATATAGAGGGGTAAATTGGAGTTTGTTTTGACTTGTCAATATTCTCTTCCACATTTACTTGAACTTAATCAGAGTATGTGTCCAGTATAATGTTACATATTTCTGGTTATCGAGCTGGCTGTCAAATAATTTATTTTCATTGATGATTTAATTTTGTTGAATTCAGGCTTTATCTTAATTCACAAATTTATTTGTCAACAAAATGATAAACAGGTAAAAATTGACAAGGATTTTTGTGGATTTTGAAGGTTTTCCCACAAAGTTAAGTGCCAACAAAAAAGCATGAGACTGACATTTAAACACTCCTAAAAATATCTGATTCTACAGTGTACCAATAATTGAGATTCTTTGTGTCATCTAGTTGTTCAGAACACACCTTCATCAAATTGACCTGATGCCTCCTAAACCAATGTAAAAGTGGGTGTGGTCGACTGTCAACCCATGTTGATTTTTTTAGGCACTACTCTTTCCTCCTACAATGAGACCCGTAACAACCTTGATTGACTCCTAGAAGTTAATTTTAGTCGTGTCACCATTGTTGTTTAATATTTCATATTGTTAATATTAAGTTAATATTTTAAAATGTTTCTTGACTAGAATATTTAATGTTGGTGTAGTTGATTTTCTGCACTACTGAGTGCCAAGGTCTTGTGAAGGAATTGATCTTTTCATTGCTGTTGACAGGATCAGTGTAGAGAATGCCTTTGTTGATGAGAAAGAGGACACATGCTGTGCTCTAGGGGAGCTGGCTGCCAATTCAGGGTAGGTGAATGTCTGTACATGCACTTATTGTACTGTACATATTCTGAAACAAACCCAGGAGCCAACACATAACCTCCTAAGTGAAAGTCACGAGACATGGTTATTACAGGACCTCATAGGCCAACATATAACCTCCTAAGTGAAAGTCACGAGACATGCTTATTACAGGACCTCATAGGCCAACATATAACCTCTTGAGTCAAACTTTAAGGGTGGGCTTATTACAGGACATTTAAATTGTATTTCTTGGCTGGTAATTGAGATCATTGGTTTATGCTGGTGGGCTTATTGCTCGATAATTTTTTGTTGTATTTTTCCTGTAATAAGCCCATGGGCCAGCATGATCTCAGACTAAATATTAGGTGGGCTTATTATCAGGGAAATTGTACCATTGTAGTGGATGAAGATGGGCTTTTAACCAGACAGTGTTTTCATTACAGTATTCCTGGCAATGTCCCTCTGTTAACTTTCCTTGGTGTTGATTTCCAGACTTTTATTTCCATATCCGTTTACTTAAACAAAATTCTCTATGCAATTTTTCTTGCAAATTTTAAAATCTAGTGTGCACATATCACTGTTTGACGAGTGTATCATGATCTTCTCCTGTTGTTTATATTTTTTGACAATAACGACGTCACACACATTACAACACTGATGACTGGTGACCTATATTACAGAGCAGTGTTCTTCCCCTACCTGGAGATGAGTTTCAAGGAAGTTTTGGACATGATGGACTATCCTGCCCTAGGGGTCAAGCGTACTGCCTCTGCAGCTCTGGGTCAGATGTGTATCTGTGTCCACAAGGCCAATACAGACTCTCCAACGCTAGAAACTAATGCAGGTATGTAGCAACTGTCATTATTGTTGCTGTGATAAGGAAAAGTACCATACAATACCTCAAACTCAAAGTCAGGAAAGATGTTTTGTTTATCAAAGGATAATAGAAATAAACGTACTAAACCATTTTAAAAATATATTGTCTGGTGAAGGAAGATTGTTCGGAAATGTGTACTAATGTTATCAAATCTAGAATATTGATACGTAAGAAAATATACTCAAGGGATAAAGAAACACAAGGTAAACCTTGAAGATGATTCTAGGCAAGATGTCGTGTATAATGATAAATATTTTAAAGTAAGAGTACAGATTAATCCATACAGAACAAACTGCAAAATCAACAATTTGTGTCTGGTAAGTGATTTAGGAGTAATTGAATGGAAAGAAAACTCTGAAGAGTAATCTGAATTTGAAATGGATTGATTGGAGCTGACTAGTCAATACCAGACATGTCCCCCATTCGCTCTCTCCACAGCCTTAATTCTCCTAGGCATGGAGTTAGTGAATGAGTTTATCCTCCTCATTGGGATGTTGGCCCATTCTTCCGAGAGAGCTGCTCTCAGTTCGGCCAGAGTAACAGGGAGAGGCTGGTGCCATCGAACCTGTCTAAACAGCTGGTCCCACAAGTGTTCAATAAGGAATAGGTCGGGGCTGTATGGCGGATGGATATTTTTGTTAGTGAGAAAGTTGTGACAGATCCTCACTACATGGGGCCGAGCATTATCCTGCTGGAATGTGAGGTTGTTTTGCTGCAATAATGGGACAACATGAATCTCATCTCTGTACCTAGTGGCAGTTAAATTACCCACTACCACAACCAGCGGTGATTTAACTCCATGTGAGATTCCTCCCCACACCATAACCGATCAACCCCAAAACCTATTCGTCTCTACTACGCAGCAGTCGGCAAAACGTTCTCAATGATGTCGGTTTACACAACGTTGAACGTCTGCCGGGATTCATCAGTAAACAAGACCCGCCTCCACTGCCTCAATGGGAATATTCTGGGGGTATGTGATGCCACCCAAGCCATATGATGCTAGTGACTAGCAGCGGCAAGGCGGAGACCTACAAACAGGTGACATGCCCACAGACCAACTTCCTGCGATCGTTTCCTTACAGTTTTTGCAAGGATAGAACAGTTATGATGAGTACCTATGGTATGAAGGGCAGATTCAGTGGCAGTAAGGTGCCGATGGCGCAAATGGCCCAGACAAATAAACCTGTCCTGATGTTGTTACATCACGCATGGACGTCCAGACCTGGGTCTGTCAACAACTTGCCTAGTTTCCCTTAGATGTCTAACAAGACGTTCTATAGTGCAAATTTAGACACCAAAATGTCTGGCAGCCTGTATTTGCCTCTGACCTTGCATAATCATTGTAATGGCCTGACCACTCTGAACTTCAGTCAGCCATGCCATTGGTTAATGCTATCAGAAATTCATCAGAATATTGGGAAATGATGTGTTTCTATGAAGACTACCTGCTGGTATGACAAGCATTGTAATTCAATGTCACAACACTACTGTGCACAAGATTTTCCTGTTTCAAGCTTTCCCCGGAAGATATTGTCACGCAATACAATAATGCAACATTTGATACAGGACCACATGCACTGTAACCTAGAGACTTGCTTGACTTATTTTAATTGTTTTCGAACAATATGTTCGTAAGATATTGGAAATAATGTCACCCTGGGTTTCGTTAGCCTTTAGGTAAAGATAAAAGATGAGGGGTCTACAACAATTTATCTCAAGTTTTGCTGTCATAGAGATTTAGCTATGTAACTTTCTAGCTCACATGCCCGATTGGCAAACTTTTCTATTCAAACAACTTCTCAAATACCAACAGACCCATATTCATGGCCACAGGCGTCAACTTTTGACTGACCAAAAGGTGCAGAAGCATGGTATTGGGCTGATAGATCCCTAGGATGAAGCCTGACAAAGTTGGTGAAAGGAAATGACCTTGACCCATATTCTAAGTTACAGGAGTCAGATTTGTTAAAACCTTTAAATGTCTTCTTGTAAAACAAAAGCCAGAGAGGCAGGCTATTTGATGGAAAGGTGTTTCTAGGTCAAAGCCAAACAAATTTCAGGAAGAAAAAGAATTTGCAGTTATTATATTTTCTGGATTATAAGCCACAACTTTTTTCTTCCTGAGTCTGGTATGCAGCTTGTATAAAACAAATCAGCAGAATGATAAAACAAAATGAATACTAGTACAAGACGGTAAAGCATTCTTATTGGTACCTGCATAATACCTGTTTGTGAGTGATCATGAAGAACCGTCACTTGTAATCAAACAATGCATGATTTGAAGATAAAAATAAAGTTCTTATGGATTTAATTAATCATTAATATGAATCACAATGATATCTTCCTGACTTTCGCAGTTACATTACAGCAATAACAAGGAGGCATAGCGGAAGTTTAAATATAAATGTAAGAATTTTATCAGCATGCAAGGGCCTTCATTAATATTTAGCAGTACTGATGGAGAGATTGTTTAGTAAGCTGTACATAACATCAGGCCCAATATATGTGCATAAACTATCTTTGAAAGCCCCAAGCCAAACCAGTTTGATACTTTCTATTTTATGTGCTTTGAATAATCAGAATAAAGTGAAGGATGCTTTGTGCATAAATCATTTGCAAACTTTTAAAAAATGTTTGATAAATTGCCTTCTGTTGTCTGTTTATATCAACAAACTTTGGTCAACAGAATGGTTACCATTTAGTAAGAAAGGGAGCAGCTTATATTGGAGTGTGGCTAATACGTGGATCAAATCTAAAAAAATCTTTAAAAATTGGCTCTGCAGCATTAATACCAATGCGATTTATAATCTTGAAAATACCGTACCTATAACTCACTGTTTAGGGTGGAGTAGTAGAATCTGTTTGTTGTGGAAATAGGTTAAAATTGATTGAATGTGCTCACTTCGAATTCAAATGATGTACATGTCAATATATTTGTGATATTAACACCGATTCTGTTTTTGATGAACATTGAAGACCAGGTTAGTGATGCAGGCTCATTGGGCCTCTTGTATTAAGCAGATCATTCATCATATAATCTGTCCACTCTTTGTACAAAAAGGACTTGCAGCTGCATACTAACTTACCTAAAGAGCATGTGTCAAAATTAGGGTACTAGTCATGCATTTTCCTAATTCATCCTCTATGCATATTGTGGAAGTTGAAGATTAGATAATTGCATTTCCAGCCTTGTCTGCCATGTTGAACACTGTTGTGGTAAAGTACCTGGAGCTGATACAGACGGAGTTTGATCGTGAAATTGTGATGACCGTCATTGACACATTGTCAGAGATGCTGGAAAAGATTGGTCAGCCAGTGTTACAGGTCCAGGGAGCTGCGGATGCCATTCTCTCCAAAATGAAGGAGGTCTTCACTCACAAGGTGACTTAAACATAAAGTTGGTAATGTTATTTTCATCCAGATCATTAGTGGTTAAATGATGGAGTTGCTAGGTTTTGTTGTAAAGAGTAAAACCTACTTCTCATTTTAAAATGCTGATAGATAGTGGAACAGAAAGGTGTTCTTTTGAGTGGCATCTCTAAACGTTTCTCAGATGGGAGATTCTTGATTATACTCCTTACTGTGTAACATGGATGGGTACATGGAAATCACTTTGTGTGTCTGTGTTCCTATCTCATGAACTGCTCAGCAGATTTACTCACATTTATTGGATTATTGGTTAGTAAACCTGATTAGATTTTAATTGTCTTTGATAAAGTTTGAATGATCAACGGCCATTTCAGAAAAAATGTGACTTGTTTACAGAATATTTCATGACCCAGGATTTAGTCCATATTCAAACTATCGCATCATACTGTGCCATCAAGTTCAAAGTTTGATAAGATTTTGGTGCTTACTGGTAAAGGTTAAAGGGTCAAAGGTCATTTTTAGCTGTCTGTGATAAATAAACTGTTGCAGAAAAAATATCTGATGTCCCAACATGAAGTCACATTTGCATAATATATCTGAATATTTATCGATTTCTACACTTGATAAGAGTTTGATATTTATAAGTCAAGGCTGTTGGATGTTAAGTTGTCAAGGTTAACAGGTCAAAGGTTATATTGGATCTTTTTGAAAAATGAAACTTGTGTGAAAGATGCCTCAAAATACCCTCTGAGTTTGTACTTAAACAATAGTTTTGACACCTTTGGTGCTGACTTGGGGTAAAAAGATTGAAAGTCATAGAAGAAGTTTGAAATTTTTCCTGATGAAAAACAAAGTTCAAATGGATCAATTTCTGTTGGTTTGATATCTACATTGTAGCTGGCCTGTCAAGATCAAGATGAAGATGAGGATGGTGAAGATGAGGAGGCTGAGTTTGATGGGATGCTGATAGAGTCTGCTGGTGATGTCCTGCCTCTGATGGCTAAACTTCTCGGCGGAGAGGTCTTCCTACCTTTCTTCTCCAGCTTTCTCACTGACCTCTTAAAACGACTGGTGAGTGGACCAAGGAATGAATCCGACCAATTAGCCTCCTGACTTAATAGATACTTGTCCATAGCCATGCCCTTACTGTATGTAATGTTAGGAAATTATATTATAATCATATTGCTCATTTACATACCCAACCCTACTCCGGGCAGATTGTGTTTCTCAGGAAACTAAAACAGGCTATTAGTAATGTTGTGTCTGTTCCATTTGGAAAGACACGTTACCCCATTTGTTTTTGATGGAATGTGATGGACTTCCTGTATATTGTAATTGTAAATATAATTGAGTTTGTTTTCAGAACTAAGTGAAAGTTAGTTATATAGTTGTTCCTTCTACAAATCCCTTTATAACAGAAGGAGAAAAGTGCTGTGTCGGAGAAGTCGTTTGCTGTAGGGACCCTGGCAGAGATCGTACAGGCCTGTGGACCTGCAATTCTACCCTTCACAGACACCTTGTACCCGCTGTTCATGAAGATGGTTAAGGATGAAGATGAAGAAGTGTCTAGTAACTCTATATTTGCTGTTGGTGTCCTTATAGCTACAAGTGGGGAGAAGTTATTCTCGTATCCTTTTGTATATATCGGATTCATATGACTAGTGCTTTGTGAATATTTTGGCAGTTTTTATCCTGCCATCATTACACGAAATATCAGATTTTGCCATTTGCCTTTGAAGGAATTGGATAGGATTGACTTTTGTGTCCTTAGATCAAAGGTCCTGGTCACTGTAAATACAAAAATAATTTTGTCACAGGTTACAAATAAAGGTCAAATTTGAATTAATTTACTTGTACATGATTAGTTATGATATAATGATGCATATTTAGTTTAAATGAAAGAAATCACCAAACTGTAGGTCAAGGTCACCAAGTATAAGGTGAAGGCCAAATATGAAATATTTATGCATATTTCACAGGCAAATATTTAATCTATAAGGTAATAAATAAAAAAAATTACATTAATGTAATATGCTGGTCTTACACAATGCAAGGCCCTTCCTGACGTATTTCTGTACTCTAATTATTGTTGTTTCTCAAGAGCTACAAGACACATCTCCTGGAAACTTACAATATATGTTGGATACAGGTCTAAATTGTTCATGCCATGTTTTAGATCGAGATGAAAGAATATTAGAAAAAAGACCGTTCAATCGTTCAACTTAATATTAAAAAAATCAGTGTAATTATGTCCTTCATCATTGATCAGCCAGTATCCTGATATCCTGAAGTGTTTGTTTGAAGCTCTTAGTAAAGGGGATAGTCCACGCCTGCATGACAACATTTGTGCTGCCACCTGTCGGATGATCATGACAAATAAAGCTGGCGTTCCTATGTCACAGGTATGTCTTGGTCAAGATTGAATAGAGTTGCTGGAAAATTGGTCAGGAGGCAGAAATATTTTAGAAACTGCTTCTTAGTACTACAGTTCATTTTTCATAGGAAGTTTGATTTAGCCTTTAGGGATACACTGCTGGGCAACTGGCTAAGCAAGAACATAACTGTATTGGATTAAAATTAATTAGCAACCTATGCAGAAAAATATGATATCACCAAGTTCTGAAGACACGTCACTTGCTGTAAACCAGCTTTATTTTCACTTTTACTAACTGATACAGACTATGTTATGGTATACTATAATGATTGTTTATAATGACTGTCTTAATTTAGAACAGTTTACTTCCATGAATGTGTTTCAATCGTGAAATCAATGAAGTTGAAAAGATACCATACTTTGTTGATTTCGGACATGTTTCATATACAACTACAGTATAGAACTTCGGGTGATTGTTAAAGTCACAAGTAACAGCCTTTGGACAATTCATCCATTAGGTGTGTTTCTAAAAGTGTTATGAGCAGTATAATAGTGTGAGACTCCATATTTTACAGGTTACTGCTAATAATCAGCAGATTTAGAAGAAATTTTACACATATCGTCACCCATTAGCATACTGTCATGTTCTTGACTATGAATGAGCCTCAGCTGAGAGTTTATACTAACTTCAGTTTTTGGTTTTGATTGACAGGTTGTTCCAGTTGTCATGCAATGTCTGCCCCTGAAAGAGGACTTTGAAGAGAACGAAACTGTATATAAATGTCTGATTGAACTCTACAGTAGTTGCGATGAAGAGGTCAGTTCCAAATGCACTGTTTGGTTATCAACTTAAGCTGAAACAGTCTTGTTTCTCAACTAACATCATATCTCATCAAAACTTTTCCTACAGTCAGTGTTTCTCAGATTTATATCAGGAGTGTTTAAGATATAAAAATTGAAGAGGCCATGTCTATTTCTTAGATGAAAATTAGGATTTTATTTTAGAATAATAATTTTTACTCATTGCAGATTTTAAAGCAAACTCCAAAGTTACTTGAAGTTGCTTCACAAGTTTTGGGTTCTGAAGGATTAAAAGATGGTGAGTATGAAGAAGAAAAATTAGACATTTCTTTTATAAGATATATTGATTCTCTACTGTTGAAACCTGTTTAGGGGGAGAGAGGAATGGCGACTATAGTTTTTCTCTCCATTTTGTACGTATGTAACACCAAAGTTTGTCAGCACTCTCTAGTGGCTTAAGTCCTTGTGACTTTTTGCACCAACCTCATACACTTGCAAATGCCCATAATATCTTTAACAAGATAAGTTCCAGTGTTGTTAGGTCAAGGTCACCATTACTATTTCCAGAAAATTATCAGCTAGTGGCTTCATTCCTAACAGGATTTTTATCAAACTTCACATACTTTCAAACAACCGTAATATCTTGGACAAGTTTGAGTATCAGGGTTTTTGGGTCAAAGGTCACAGTTACTTTTTTCTTTAAAAAATCATGTTTTAGTGGCTTCATTCCTAACAGGATCTTCATCGAACCTCACATGCTTACAATTAAAATATCTTCAAGTTCAAGTTTTAGGGTTGTTGGATCAAGGTCAAAGTCACTGTTACTATTTTTTAGAATGTCATTGTCAGTACTCAAGAGGTTTCATTCCTTGAAGGATTCTCATCAAATTTCACACTTAGAAAGTGTAATAGCTCGCAAGCACTGGTAGGAGACATTTTATGATCAGTGTGTTTGTTCGTGTTAGTAGATCATTTTATACAGCACTGCAGAGTACCATACATATCGTGTATCACACCTGTGCAGGGCAATAGAATCACCGGTGTATGTCACTGTTTAATAAAAATACCAACAAACACATGTATTGTTAGGACCTATGATTATCTCTGTTCCTGAAGTTAGGAGGTACATTTTGGTCCAGTTGTCAAGATTTTTAGAGAAAAAAAGAATTTGGTTTAATCTTGTGTTTTATTCTATGTAGAGATAACTTGAATGGCAGAAATCCTGCGACTAGACATCATAAAACCAAGCAGATATAGATCACTATGGTGATTCTGTACTTATCACATTGTATTTCCAGAAACACAGTCTTTGCTGGTACAGATGGTCAAGATGATTCACAAGCAGTTCCCAAATGATTTCCAAGCTATTGCCAAGAGTCTGTCCCCCGAGCAAGCCAGTAAGCTGGAGACGTGTCTTACTTACACCAATGGGTCAACCTGATAGCCTTCATTGACTTACAACAACAAACACATTTTCATTAGATCCGTGTCCTCAGTCGTGTTAATTTGTAATTTCCCTTTCGTACTTTTTTTTCGTGATTTATTTTCGTGTTGATCTTCATCATCAGGTTACTTAGATATGGTATGAAAGGGGATCTTTGTACTATTGATGATCGTTGTTGGCAAAGAAGAAAATGAAGATTTTTATGGTATTTAGTGTGCTGATGTTAATCATTGGATTTAATACAAGTGCTATACAGAACGAAATTTCGTCTGATTTCAGAAATTTGGAATGTTAAGTTTTGATTGCTTTCCAGGATGTCTCTTGCTTCCTCCCAAAGAGGTTGTTTATTTTTTTTAAATGTTGACTATGCTTATAGATATTTAAGGGGTTGTGGTGGAGTGTTATATGTCAGAACAATGCCTTGAAGTGAAACGCCAGTATTTCTTACGTCTCATATCAATAGAAAATATGAAATGGGACCATTCTTATTTATGCAAAAAAAGGAAAAGGTGCCAACTTTTTATTTTATATTTGCATCATCAGCAATAATTTTTCAGACTTGTTAACAGTGTTCAGTCTATATTTAGACCAATGTGATTTAAACAAACAAGAGACTTAAATGTTGTTTATATGTCAGTTCCAACTTCTGTATTGTCTTTCCCCATTGCAATACACTTGTTATGAACATGATTACATTTTGACATTTTTATACATTCATCAGCCTATGAAACGAAATTTGGAATCTTTTTTTTTTTTTTTGAGTAATAGATTTTTATGTACACAGCGTAATCACAATTTACCAAAGATGTGAAATAGCAAATGGACCAATTAGAATAATCAGCTATAAAAACAGTTCAAGTGAAAACTACAGGAGAGAGGACTTACTTCTGTAAAGATCCAGAATATATTTCAAACATAGACTTCCATGATAAGGAATGAAATATTGGAACTTTGGAAATAACTGATAGTATTTACTGGTAGACTTGCTTCGTAATCACTCATTGTCAGCTAGTAGAATTTCGCTCCTAGAGGATATACCAAGGTACTTTGGAGAGATAAGATTTGAATAAAATTTGCATGGTAAATTTACCCACATTCAATAAAAGTCTCCTAGAAGTTTTATACCTTATCAGCTTCAGAGCTTTTTGAATGATGTACAGAATGTGTACTAGTTACAAGAGAGAATTCAGAACAGTCTTCATTTCATTGAAGTGTGGAAGGTGATACAAAACTGTATTCTCTTTGTAGATTTCTTAGTTTTTTCTGTTTCTATTCTCTGTTGAATATTTAAGGTAAAATCAAAATAAACTTGCAAGTTTCAGATTTCAACATTTCTACAGCGTGTAAATAGTGTACAATATACAAAGTATATATTTAAGATTAAAATTGTTAATTTGTAGTAACCTGCGACTTTAGTTAACCCACAAATGAATTAAATTTGATGCATGTTTTAATTATGTATATGAAATATCTTAAACATGTATCCACATATATTTTACTTATAAATTGTTGATGGTTACCGTTTTCTGAATTAGTTTTATTTATTACGGGTTGTGGGATAATTGTATACTCCTCCAATCTCATATCACATTGTTTAACTGACCTTACTCCTGGTCATATTGTAAATATTAATCTGCTAAAATCACACTTATTGAAAGAGATATGTTGTTGAGGTACAACATTTGATGATTTTTATTAGAGTTAAAATTTTAACATAAGATAAACATTAAAAAAAATAAAACTTAAATACATTATCAGACCTTTTCAAAATGTGCATTTTCTGAGTTAAGTTTGTTTAACTGTATTGATTTCAGCTCTTTAGAAAACAAGAAAATGTCAGAATTCCTTGGTGATGTTTGATTTATTAGTTTAATTGCAATGTTCCAATTGCATATGGCTTATTAATCAATTCATGGTTTCTCCTATGATTATGATGGAGAGACCCAAACAATGGAAATCACTTAAAGAACATGTTTGTATTTTGTGTTTATCCCTTCCATTGAGTGATACCCCCAGGCTATGCAACGTGCAAGAAATGCCACGTACTTGCTTTTTGCTCTGAAATTCTGTGTTAAACCTGTCATAGTGTAGAGTTAATTCCCCTTTTACATTAAGCATCAAATTTGATAGCATGTTTGTGTAGTAATTGTTATCTTTCGTCTAACAGGAATCTGTCTTATCATTGGCTAATCTGCAAAATAGAATGTCAATTTCAGTTCAGATTTTGTAAAAGACTTGCTAAAATCATATTTCTATTCCCCTTAATTTTAGGAATAAGATAAAATTTTGTACTGGGCAATGATAGATACTGTTTATTGGTATCGCTAACAGCAATGCATTAGATGTGGGTGAGCTGATTACCGGACAGAAGTTTGTTGCATAAATACAGTACTTATTGCCATCTTAATGACATGGAATTGCTGTAAGAAATGTAAAGCTTAAATTTGTCCCTCTAGAACTTCAGTTACATTTTGATGAGTTGTTTTCGATTTTTTGCTTCATGGAAAATTGAAATTGGAAGTACCTTGTGTTATACGTTTCCAGTACTGTTTTGTTAAGGCTGATTGTGAAGGTAAACTTCCGAGGTATATAAACAAGGAAGTACAATATAATCATTTGCTTAAATTGTGGATTTGTTTCCACAATTTGCCTTCTTAGTTTGTTGTATTGTCTTTTTGTTCTTGACCAGCATTTGTTTGTTTCTTAAACAAACGCTCATCCCTATGTGCAATAAAACAAAATTCATATCCAAATCAAAATTTTCTTTTACTTCACTGATTTGATTGTAGAAATGGAGAGCAAGTGGTCACAGGTGAAACAGTTAAACCATCATTCCTGTATACTGATGAAGATTTTGCTTTGTTCGAATTGTGCTTATTTAAAAATGCCAATATTAAACATATGAGGATACAAGAGGGAACATACGTATGGAATTTGAGAGATATCCATTCAGTACATCTTCAGAAAGAGCAATAACAATCTTTACTGGGCCAAATCCAAGATGGCTGCCTGTCAGCCATTTTTTTTTTGTTCAGTCCAAAACTCAGACACAACTAGGGACCTAAAGAACCCTATACTTGAAATTTGTGAAAGATCTATGCCATAGTGATAACAAACATTCAAAGTCTAAATCTAAGATAGCCGTCTGTTGGCGATTTTGTTTTTCTGATCAGTCCCAAAATCAAATTGGCACAAGGGACCAAAGGGACCCTACAAATGAAATTTAAGAAAGATCCATTAAGTTCTTATAAAAAAATAGCAATAAAAAACTTTCAAAGTCAAAAACCAAGATGGCTGCCTTTCGGCCACCTTTTTTCTGATCAGATCCAAAATTAAATGGGCACAACTAAGGACAAAGCGGAACTTTATTACGAAATTTGAGAGAGATCCATCTGGTACTTCTTAAGAAATAATTAACAAACTTCATTGGAAAAAATCCAAGATGGCTGCCTGTCCACCATTTCGTTTTTTTTTTATCAGTCCCAAAATCAAATTGGCACAACTAGGGACCAAGGGGAACCTACATATGCAATTTGAGAAAATCCATCCAGGTCTTCTCAAGAAATAGCGATAACAAAAAATGTTTACAGATGGACGGACAACAGACCACAGAGGCAGAGCAATTTGAATATCCCACCATCTGGTGATAGTGGGATTAAAATGAGAGCCTTCCACTTTGGTGACCTTTGCCTGGTAAATTAAAGTCTTCAATCAGAGACTTAATGTCAAAATTGCAATCAACTTAACTCGGTGATTTCATCACACTGTTTTTACTTGACCTTGATCTATGGCCTTTTGACCTCAATTTTCATCACTCAAAAAATACAATTGTAAATGATGGTGTATAAGAGATATGTTCATGACAAAGTGAGTCACACCAGCTGACATGTATTTTAATTGGAAACTATTTATATAACTCCATACTTTGACACTTAAACTGTTCCTTGCCACGAGAGATAAAAAAAATACATTTTCATTCTTTATAATTTTATTTTACTGGCATTTGATTACTTTTTTTCTTTTAAGATGAACAAAAATAATTTTAGAACTTCAAAGTCCTATCCACACCTTAAGAATTAACAGTATACATACATTTCACATTCAGAATATACTCAAGCCATGAAAGGATGGACACGTTCAATAGAATTTTTCCATAAACCAAGTAAATTCCTTTAATAATCAAACTTTCTTGAATTTGATAAGAATAAGTAGGTACAGATTGGAATGTTGCTATACCATCAGTGAAATTATTTGGCAAAGCAGTAAAATCACACGATCATGATTACACATTAACAGTGCACACTTCTTCTCTTGGTATGACAAATCTACATGAACAGAAATACCATATTGCACTATATTATATTAACTTGATATGCTAAATAATCTGAAATTTGTAATAATAGTACAAAAGTCTGGTTACTGAAACATGCAGGACAACATCCTGAGCATGACTTATTACAAAATGATTATAGCTCAGTCACAACAATGACTGAACTTTAAGATACAAGAGTCCACTGATTGGTCAGTTTCTTACCAGATGTTGTTACACCAACAAGCTGTCCATCATTAATACCTCGAAGTGTAAACTTCTAACATTCAAAAACTTTAGAATGCAACAACTGAATAAATCCAAGTTAAAATACTTTTTTCAGTCTTAACAAACAATTGAATTTTCAATCCAAAGCAATCTAGACCTTAAAACTGTAGTGCATTACATCCCATTTGGATTATAATAATGAGATAGATAAAAAGAACACTTTAAATATCTTCAACATTCCAGCATTCACTCCTTTGAGGCAGTCATACATACATTATAACACATTTATATTAAAGCAGTATAAGACATAAAAATAAGATTTCAATGTGTATGAGTGGCCAGGAGTTGAGTTCGTAAAGTGTTTGGCTTCCACACAAAACCTATGGTGAGATGTGTGGTACGGTGTTCTCTCGGCTTGGTGGTTTGTCTTTTTGTGGAATTTGAGATACAGACCAATTGATATCTAAAACATGCAATGAATCTCCCATATGTTGTTCACTGAGGTATCTACCAGCTACTACAAGGAGACCCTGCCTCGATATAACCCTCGCAAGTCCTAGGGTGATAACCCCAGACAAACACTCATACATACATTAATGAAGAGGAACAATAATATTGAATTCATGATAGATGACAGAACATTTTAGTGGTTGATAACAATTAAAATTGAACAACAAATACCTATACCCGAATGATATGGTTTACAAAATGAAAGCACTTCTGCGGTAGCAACATATTACAAAACAACTTTAGACTAAATCATTCACCACTATCATCATCTGTAAGTAAATATCACAATTGAAATACATTGATAATTTCCAATCATTGTAAAACTATGACCACTTTCACACATAACATGGTTGAAACAGTCCAGGTGCCATGGAATTATTCTGTGATAAAGAGCACAACTGCACCAGATGTGGAAATGTTAGAGCTCAAGATGAACGGTCTAGGAATCTCCTTTCCAATATAAAATTGTAAACCATTCATAAAAAATGATATATCTTCACCTGTACTGAACATTTCCAGAAATAAATGTGTGATCAAACCTTGTTATATGCAGGAATTCTGCAAACTAATGATGTCTAGCCAGTTACACCCTTAAACTGAACATGCTGAAGTTCCACTATCTAACCTCTGTTCTGATCCCAACCTTCCAGGTTCAACTGGTTCAACTGTTCTAACCATTAATGTGAAAGCAACATTAGCAGCAAAATCAGAATTTAAATATTATATATCATTCATTGGTTATCATGATTTTTTTGAAAATCTCTCACAAGTCAAATTTTCACAACACAGGATAATTTTTCGATTAAATCCCGTAAATATCACTTCATTTTCAACAGGAAGAAATTATACTATTGTTTCAATGCTGGACATTCAACTGTCTTTGGCACCACTAGAATTGACCATTCCACTGGTCAGCCATCACAAAGGTTATAACTTGCTAGGAACTGTGTGTTCGGTGACAATGGAAGGAAAGCCGTCATCAAAGGCTGCATTCAGCACATCCTCAAGACGATGTGCCAAAATTAAAGTCAGGTCATTCTGAAAACAAGGGATTTCTTTTTAACAAAATCAAACAAAATTACATAATGAATTCCTGATGACGTACAAAACAAGTTTCAAGCCCAAAAACCAGTTAAGTCTGTAAAGGAATTAACTTACACAACAACCATTCCGGAATGATCAACAGACTTTTTGCTTTTTAATCTGCAGTTCTTAAATAATGCTAAGCCCAAAAGCACTTAAAACAGTTTTGTAGCATTCAGTGGTCCTCCCATACTGTGTTCAGTGAAAAAGACCCAACTACAAGGAGATCCCACATCAAAATGACCCACGCTGTTTAAAGAATGATAAACATAATAAACAAGAAAGGCCGAATGGAATATAATAACCATTAGAACCATCAGATTGAGGGCATCATTTTTATATACATGTTTTTTTAAAATATATTCATAGGATACCTTGACATTGTTAGGAATCTCCTGTAAGTCCTTCTCATTACGTTTCGGGAGAATGATTCTGCGTAGTCCAGCTCGGTGAGCCGCTAGCACCTTCTCCTTGATGCCTCCAACCTAAAACAGATTGAAAACAACATCACAATTACTATCATACAATTCATACAAGAAATCATCGCAAATTCATCTCCCACAAAATTTAATGGTTTTTACAGTAATTATTTTCTGAAGTAAATCTATTAAGAGCACACATTCTACATAAATGAAACGGAATTACCGGGGGGTAATTCAAGTACTTCTATTAAGAGCACACATTCTACATAAATGAAACGGAATTGATTCAAGTACTTCTATTAAGAGCACACATTCTACATAAATGAAACGGAATTGATTCAAGTACTTCTATTAAGAGCACACATTCTACATAAATGAAACGGAATTGATTCAAGTACTTCTATTAAGAGCACACATTCTACATAAATGAAAGCGAATTCATTCAAGTACTTCCTGAAGTTTTTATCTTTTCCTGATTGGCTCAGTATTTTGTTCACATTGCTTAAACATTATTTCAACTTAAAATCAGCATTCAGGGTTGGAACACCAACCTCAAAACACTAGTTCCTACCCAAATACAGTAACAGGAGACTTTTTGTTTAATCATTAGACTAGAGTACTTACCTCTGAACTTGCTATATTACAGATAGCTGACTTACCGGCAACACAAGTCCTCTTAGAGTGATCTCCCCTGTCATCGCAGTATCCGATCTTACACAGCGCTTGCTTAGCAAGGAAACTAAGACAGTTACCACAGTAACACCAGCAGAGGGTCCGTCCTTCCCTACAGCTCCAGCAGGGAAATGAATGTGTATATCTCTCTTACTGTTGGTGTTTACAACCCCACTCAAACCAAGCTGTAAATTAAGTCACAGGATGACATATACAAACACTACCGATTCTTTGGTAAACTTTTCAGTATAATAGATAAATGTTCAAATATATTATCTTTTTGACTATTAAAACACTTCACCTGTGACCTTGACCTCTGACCTAGTGGCCTTATCCCTTGGTCAACTGATTTCTTGATGAACTCTGGAAACAACCTTGCTTCAGAATGCCATATCAAAAGGAAAAAAAAACATTTCAAAGACTGAAAATTTGACATCTGCGACCTTTACATTGACCAGACAACCTTACTCTCAAATTTCTATGGTAAATTTCTGACAACACCTTACCTTGAGGGCATTACTCCTGACCCAGTTGAGGGCAAGATTGGCAGATTCCTTCATGACATCACCCAGTTGCCCAGTCAGAGTGAGTTTACCTTCTCCATCCATACTGGTGGCTTCAACAAACAGAATCTCTCCACCCATGGGGGTCCAAGCCAAGCCGACTGCCACTCCTGGCTGGCTCAGTCTCTGGGAAACCTCACTTTCAAACTGAGGAGGCTGATAATAGAAAGCAGAAGTTAACAGGCAGGTATCATCTTAGTGTCAATTACAAGAAAAGTATGACTTCTGTCCTTTCCATGAGAGGACTGTAATAGTGAAATATGAGTTCAACTTTTCGTGTTTCTTTTTTCACTTTAAACTGTCATGCATTTAATCAATTGTTTTAATTTTCAAACTGTTTATTGAATTAATCAAGCAATAAGACCATGGTCATTATAAAATTGACCCATCTCTATTGCAGTAATGTTGCAGTAGAATGTTACACCATTGTCCCATAACAAGCCCATCCCTCCAACTAAATTCAGACTTAATGTGTTGACCCCTAGGGCTTACTGCAGGAAAATCGTTGCAAATTTTCAATAGAGATAAAAATTAACTCAACACAATAAAATGTCTTATTGAAGTAAGCAAAATTTCTAAGTATATTGTCTTTACTATCATGAATTTTTTTTTTAACTTTGTTTTGTGACTTTAACCCACATCTAACTGAGGAGCCATTTATTACACAAGATCCAAGCATCTGCAACATACACAGTCTTTCTTTCAAAATCATTTCTCATTATTGTCAATGCAAGCTAAAAATGTCCACAACAGATGAATGCTCCCATGCATGTAACTCATCACTGTCTGATAAACTCTACACATATTATTGATGACATTAACCTTGACCTTGACACCATACAACAGGAACTCATCGTCATAGTGACTTTGGTATACAGCTTAATTAAATTTTTTGGGAAAGTGGCTAGAGTAAGAATAGTGATTAAGGGCGGAACAGAATGATGCAACTGACATTGGTTACCTCAACGCTCTAAAATGACCAGAGGTACAAAAAAATATTTACCCCCAGTATATCCTCCAGGGCAACCTCATCAATCACAATAGGCATTTCTGGAGGATGTGCCAGGGTAGAGGCATCCTGGGACATGGACTCTGACACAGTTTCATTATCAATCTGTTTCTTGTCCAGCTCTGATGCAGGTTTATCGCCCTTGGATTTTGGTGATGCTTCTGCTACCCTGACTGCCACAGCTCTGCAAACACCTCCTATTTTGCGCTCCAGGTTCCGTACACCTGCCTCCCGAGTGTATTTAGAAGCTAGAAAGAAAAGTGCTAATTACTTAGTAATCAACATGAAACAGTAACCAGTTAGTCCTGTAGTCACTCTCCTACACATGAAAAGGTGTGAAAGTGAGACAGAAAGGAGGCGAGTGCCCACTTCTATGATCAGCCTACAGTCACTTACAATCTATGAGTACAAAAAATTTTGTGTAGCAGTTTTGTACACATGTGCATTCAGCTAGCTGAACACCAAAAAAATTCCACATGGTCATTAAAAACATGTTAAAAAATCACATGAATATCAGAATTTCGCTTCATTTAATTTTAGCTTTCTGGAATTGTGAAAAAATTGTTATCAAAATCTGTTCCATAAGATGGCTGTCCAGTTCCTCTGACTGAAGAGGTTTTCCACTGCACATGTACACTTGTTACTTGAGGGCTTTAGATTGAATAATCTATCAAACACAGCTTATGATAAAACACAAACTGTGTAGAGGTCAAACATTCTGTTGTATTTGGTGCTATCAAAGTCAACTCTGTTATTCTATATCTTGAACATGCTTTTGATGATCTTTACAAGAGAGAATTTGATACAACAAAATGTTGATGAAAGGATTGACAGAGGTAAATAAAAAAAAATTAGAATTTAGCTATATCCTACTCATAGTCTTACATAAAACTATGAACTCTCATTCTGCTTCAGGATCCAAAACTTCTGTAAAAGTCAAGTTTCTACATCAACCACAAAAATGAAAACTTTATGTAGTTCATTTGATATTTACCAATGAGCTGAACAGTGTCAGTAGGTATTTGGATCTGCTCAGCAGTCAGTCCATGCTCCTTTAGTTGTTTGGGTATGAGGTGGCGGTCTGCAATGTTGATCTTCTCCTCCTGGGTGTAGCCAGGGATCTGAATCAGCTCCATTCTGTCCAATAGGGCTGGAGGGATGGTGGCCATATTGTTGGCCGTGGCTATAAATAACACCTGAGACAGGTCAAACGGCACATTTAGGTAACTAGGTCAGTGGTCAAGGTCATAATAAAATGGTCAAAGGAACACTAAGGAACTGATGACATAAGTCAAGAGAACAGTAACAGTACAGCCTTCTGAGAAGCAGTATGGTCTCACTGACAGATTTAGTTTGGTTTTATGTTGTTTGACATTCTATCAACAGCTATGACCATTAAAAGACTACCTCCCTTTATTTAAAGGCAGTCTCGCGATGAAAATGGTTGGTTGGTCTTATCAACAGCTATAATCATTTAAAGGCCATCTCCCTTCATTTACAGGCTGTCTCCCAATGTAAATGGTTGGCCGGGTGGTGCAGTGGTAACTAGCTATCACCTTGGTGGCCAAGGTTTGAGTTTATCTGGGATACTCTAGTTTCCTCCCACAGAAAGACACCCCCCCCCTCCCCACTCTTGTCCACTTCCACCTGGGCCAACAAGCATGATTGATATAAGTTAGACAACTTGTTTCTCAATCATTGTAAAATAAATAAAGTCAATGTTAAATGAGAGCCAAGTACATATATTGAAAACATATATTTGCGGAAGGCTGTGATAGGTTTATGTAAGCCTCCTTATGATAGTGCTGAAATCCACTTTATAGTGCTACCACCCTGAGATATAATGCTAAGACCTCTAGCTGGACACTCACACCAATAACATTGTACTCATAATACTGTTCTTAAGTTAATACAAATGTTGCTAAGTTGACAGTGCAGTTGTCCGTTCAGTTGCCAGGGAAACAGTACAGTTGACAGTTGTCAAAATTATAAATACATTTGTTGAATTAAAAGGAGAGATGCTGAGACTGCACTGATACATATGTAGTTGTGAAGATTCAAGTACTGTAGACATCTGACCCCAGCAGCTCAAATGTTAGTAAGAGTTAACCAGTGGCTAGTGAAAAAAATAATTGCCACCACTGAACAAACAAGAGAGTTAAATGCAAGATCAACACTACAAATATATTGATCTGACCTGTCTCAATAAACATATACCTGAAAAATGATAATAAAATGTTTCCAATTTCTTTTTAGAAAATTCTCAATAACCACTGGTAAATTGTAACCAGCATTTGAACAGCAAGGACTAAAAGTCTCGCAGCAGTGGTCAGGTAACAAAAGAGTGATTTAACACAAAGGATACTGGTCAGTAAATGAGTCATTCTGTGCAGGGTCCAGTACCTCAAGCAGGGCAGCTGCTGGATCACCATGGAGTGACTTCCCCTGAAAAACATAAATTTATCATATTGTGTACAAATACCTCAAGGTTTTTATTTAATTAATAAAGTATACGATTGTTAAGAATAAAATTAAAGCAGCTTCACAAAACAAATGACTGAGTAAATAGAAAAATCCTTGTATCAAATGGTATTACACTGATATATTGTAAAGGTATATGATCATGGCTATCAAGTATGACATGATACATTATTCAGAATGTGAAAATTTGTACATACAGAAAACACAGAGCAGGATGTATTGATAGACAACAGAATGAACAGACAGAGACACTGTACAGATATATAGTCAGTTGCATGAACAGACAGACTGTATTTATAGATTTCATATGGACAAGTAGCAAGACAAAGAGAGAAGGTATAAACGGAAGACATCAGGACAAATATGCAGACTGAATAGATAAAGAAACAGTCAGATGGACAGACCGAGAGACTATATATGGACATAAAGCAGGATAAACTGACAGGTTAAAGACAGCAGGATGAACAGTTATGTTCACAATATTACAGAATATCATCATTGTGATAACATTAATAAGTACTTGCATCCTAATATACATTATTTCAGTATTTATGAAATACACTAATACAATGTACTCACATGCTTAAAAGCTCAAATGGACAAGCTATTCAGAAAATATGACTAAAGAGTATTCTGTTTAAAATGTTTACAAAGGTTATCTACATGGCACAATCTGTTGAGTAATGAAAGAAAGACTCACCAGTTTATCAACTTCATCCAATAAAAACACAGGATTATTAGTTCCCACCAGTTTCAATCCCTGTATTATTCTCCCAGGCATGGAGCCAATGTACGTCCTTCTGTGTCCACGGATATCAGACTGATCACAAACACCTCCCAAGGAAATCCTGAAATTACATCAACATATATGTGTTAGTATCTGACTGCACTGCAAACAGATACACATACCACCATATTAAACAAACACCTGTCTCCTAGAGAATCCTGAAATAACATCAAATGAGGACTCCAATGTAAACAGATCAAACCTATGTCAATATTTCATCACCAATAACAAATTATAAGAAACTGATCAAGCCAAATGTAAATATTCAGACATTAGACATTCTAACATCAGTAATCCAATATTCGGAGAAATGTTTCCCAATAAATACCATGTACTTTCATTATGCCTAATGACCAGTTTGTCTTCTGTATTGTTCAAAGTGTTAAACTTGACAGATCTGCAAATACTATGTCAACTATGCATCCAGATTCAAAACGATCTCTGTTCCTGTCAGTTTTTTATTTTGTTGAAATTGTGCAACAGATTTGTGGAACTAGATATTTGAGAGGAGCACCATACCCAGTGTGTGGGCTATAGATTTGTGATATTTGGTAACCTTTTACCTGTGAAATTATATGCCAATGTCAAGCGTATGAGCTGTAGATTTGTAATGTTGGATACCTTTCCATCTATGAAACTTTGCCCATCATGTCAGCTATGGATTTGTGATATTTGAGAATTATGTGCTTGTGATTTGTGATATTTCTGAATTATGTACCTGTGATTTGTGATATTTCTGAATTATGTACCTGTGATTTGTGATATTCTGAATTATGTACCTGTGATTTGTGATATTTCTGAATTATGTACCTGTGATTTGTGATATTTCTGAATTATGTACCTGTGATTTGTGATATTTGGGAATTATGTACCTGTGATTTGTGATATTTCTGAATTATGTACCTGTGATGTGTGATATTTGGGAATTATGTACCCGTGATTTGTGATATTTCTGAATTATGTACCTGTGATTTGTGATATTTGGGAATTATGTACCTGTGATTTGTGATTTGTGATATTTCTGAATTATGTACCTGTGATTTGTGATATTTGAGAATTATGTACCTGTGATTTGTGATATTTCTGAATTATGTACCTGTGATTTGTGATATTTGAGAATTATGTACCTGTGATTTATGATATTTGAGAATTATGTACCTGTGATTTGTGATATTTCTGAATTATGTACCAGTGATTTGTGATATTTCTTAATTATGTACCTGTGATTTGTGATATTTCTGAATTATGTACCTGTGATTTGTGATATTTGAGAATTATGTACCTGTGATTTGTTATATTTGAGAATTATGTACCTGTAATTTGTGATATTTCTGAATTATGTACCTGTGATTTGTGATATTTGAGAATTATGTACCAGTGATTTGTGATATTTGAGAATTATGTACCTATGATTTGTGATATTTGAGAATTATGTACCTGTGATTTGTGATATTTCTGAATTATGTACCTGTGATTTGTGATATTTCTGAATTATGTACCTGTGATTTGCGATATTTCTGAATTATGTACCTGTGATTTGAGAATTATGTACCAGTGATTTGTGATATTTCTGAATTATGTACCTGTGAAACTCTCTGCCTAGTGTGTGAGCAATTGACTTTCCAATGCTGGTCTTTCCTACACCTGGGGGACCTACAAAGCACAGTATTGGTCCACGGAGGGACTGCTTAAGTTGACGCACAGCCAGGTACTCCAACACTCTCTTCTTAGGTTTGTCCATACCATAGTGATCTTCGTCCATATCTTTCCTAAAACACGGATGCATCAGATTTCATCAGCAAAACATGAGTTTGTTAATTTTTAAATATCTACAAGGTTTCGGGGACAAGAAAACTGATGAATGTGCATCATAACATAATAAAAACTTCATCTAGGTATTTAACAACAATTGCGAAACAAGTTAGCATTAATAACCTGTTTGTCCAGATTCAAGTGCATGATAGATTTCATTAACGTAGAAAACGGGAAACAGGTGAAAAACCCACCTGTTGAGCAGGTGACTCAGTTCAACTTCATATACCATTGGTAAATCAAATATAAAGGAAAATGACCCATACTTGATATCATGTACAAGGTTAACAATCAACAATAACTCTGTAGAGAATTTTATTGCAATATTTATATTTAACCTTGGAGACAACACTGGTATTTGAACCAGAGGTCACTGGTCATCTGCTGAAAGGGCAAATGGCCTAAATAGCAGATGTTAAATAAATAAATAGGTCATGGGAGAACCAGTGGTCAGAAATTCATGCTTGATTGCACATGTTATTAAGGGCCAGCACCTTAGCAATGCCAAACAATGACCAATGTGAGAGAGCAGGGAAAATGCACATTTCTGCCCCAACCAGGAATCAAACCCAGAGCTCCAGTGTTATAATTGACTGGTTCTACCAACTGAGCCAAAGAAACATGCTCTGTTAGCTGAGTAACAGAGACCAAATTTATCACTATCTACAAGCTCTTTTTATGCTACTACCCTTGTTATTTCTTGAGATTGCTGAAGTTTTTAAACTGAGATGCTAAATGCAACATCTTGTTGGACTGCTTTGACCGATGAATTATCTAGGTAAATTGCATATGTTTCTGATTTACCTTGTTGTAAGAGTCTTTTCATTCAACCGTAAATATTCTCTAAACTCACCTTGCTTGAGCAATGTCTAAGGCATCCTTGCTTTGTTTGGACCAAGGTAGCTCTACCATCAAGTCTAGGTAGTTCCTGAATGGAATTGAACACAATTTACAACTACTGTACTTGTGAATCTTCATGACATTTCTGAATATTTATTTTCATACTATTAGATTTACACATCAATTAAGTGAAAATAAGATGAGACATGTGACTAACATACATCATGTACCTATATATCAGGGAGAAAAAGTCAGTAAATGTCTATATTTAGGTTTATCAATTAACACTTAACTACAATTACACTGTATTGCTTGCTTTGTGTAATTGCATTACTTTATATGTGTGTTACTAACTGGCTTTGTGTAAAAATTTGTCTCTTACACAATGTTACTAAATTTGTGTTTATAGATCATGACTTGTAATTTAATAGTCACTGAGATGCCTCACCTGATCATAGCATGCTCTGGCATCTGTTGAGGCATTTTTTTCATCCTTTTAAACTCCTTCATGGCCGCTTTCATGGCATGTTCCGGCATATTGGCAGCCCTGAAGAAAACAAGTTGACTTTCTGATAACTTATTTTAATTTCTGATAACTTATTTTAATTTCTGATAACTTATTTTAATTTCTGATTACTTATTTTAAAGCTATGGTTACCTATGATATAAACATAAGTAAATACAATCATATGGCATCTTCTTTTAAATTTCTTGTTTTTGAAGTTTTGGATCTAATACTGCACACATGCCGTGTCCAAGATCATTTTCTATACATAATCTGTGATAGGACCAAAATCTTCATAGTCAAATATAAGTGATGTTTAATTTACAAGAAAATGTATTTTTGTTTTCCAACACAATTTTTTTTTAAAAAGTTTACTGTGATTTCAAAATTTTGATACATAACTAGATTGTATGAAACCAGCCATGGTATACCCTGGAATACTTGATGAAAATCTTACTGAAAATAATTAAGACACAATTCAGCATAAATCTCAATAAGGAATGCAAAATATTTCATAATATGTAAAAATGTAAAGTATAAGATTCTATTTCTCTTACTTTATCTTCTGTTCAAGATCCATCATCTCGTCAGTATCTCCATCATCCTCCTCCTCAAGGTCTGAGTTGATCTTCCCAAACACACGCTTCATATTACCAGGTTTGTTGCTGCCCTCTTTCTTTGTAATGATTTCAAATTTGTCTTTTCTAGTTTTTTGTAGGAGTTTTAAACCCTGTGTAAAATGTAAATTAAAATAACACATTTATGAGTTATGTTTAACGAATATGCATTTCTTTGGATTTAAGTATCTGTTGAAATTAACCGAAATGATAAAATTTAACAAAAATATCAAGAAATTTCTAACTCCAAGTAGGGTAGGGGAGGGTGCTTTGCCTTGTTACATTGCAATAAATTAATATGCATTTCTGCAGAACTAAAAATAGAATACGATATGGGTGGGCTTATAAGTGAACATGGGCCTATTGTTAGAAATATGATACTGATTTCATGGAGATAAAAAATGTCTACCTCAATTTGTCTCATCAGCAACGGCAGCGCTTTCTTGAACCTCTCAGTCAAGTCAATAGCATCTAACACCTGGATCTTCTCAGAGTAAGAGGCTTTGACAATGGCAGCACAAATGTCAGGGAGGTGTTGATCTGGTAGCTTCTCCAGCATTTTCTGTTATAAATAAATACAAAGAAAAACTAACTACAGAAGATATATAAAAAAGCCTTAAAACATCAAATAGATGTACTAAATCATCAAATAGATGAGCGGTTCCGAGAATTAAGTAACCATTGTAGAAATAATCATTACAAATCCCCTTATGACTCTCTGTTGACTGATGTACAGTCAAAAAGAGGACCAATTGTGTGATGTAAAATCTAAATCCTAAAAAGATGTTAAAGATTTTCTGAAAATAGTAACAATGGCCTTGTTACCACAATCCAGAAATTCATACTCTTCCTGGATACTGTGGTCCTTTAAAAGTATGCGATGTTTGATCAAAATTCTTCAAGGAATGAAGCTGCTAGAGTGCTGAGAAATTTCAGTGTTATATATGACAAACGCAAAGTACCATTCCCATATTTCCTCCAACATTCAGTCCCAAGTGGAAGAGGATCTGTATTCATGAACTAACATATTTATTGTTAAGTCAAGGATATTTTCTTCTTAGCTTTGAAAATACACTAAAGGATAATCAATGGTACTATTTCACACTAGTTCAACAATTCTGGTAAAAGAGTCACTCCTGCTTTAAGAATAACGACTGTAAAAGTACAAACAACTGTGTAGCTACAGATGAAACATATATAAAGAATAATCAAAGTCTCTTATTGTACATTTGTATATCATATCCATTTCAACAATATGCAATTCTATTTACCTTGAGCTTAGCTACAACAGGAATTGATATGTCAAGCATGTCTACAAGTTTGGCAGCTTGCTCTCGAAAATTTTCTGCCAAAATATCCAGCTCTCCCATGTTCTTCAAGTTAATATTGTCATCTGAAAAGCAAATACAGAGATTATACATTGAAACCTAATTTATACATTCAAAACAATCCTGTTTAAGAGTGTAAAAGCATTCCAAAGACTGATAAAATTGACATCATATTGATTTGTTTGCAAACAGTTTTACTCAAATGATTTGTGAACACGACCTTACAATGACCCTATGAACTACAGATAAAGGTCATGACCTTCAAATGATGCTTAAGAGTTACTGGTAATGACCATGACCTTACAATGACCCTTGGGACTTACTTATATTGACAATGTCCTTCCAATGACCATATGAGTAACAAATAAAGGTCATGACCTTTCAATGACCCCATAAATTACAGATAATATCACGACCTTAAATGACAATATTAAGTTACATAGAAAGGTTATGACTTTACAATGACCCTAGAAGTAATGTAACTGATAAAGGTCATGCCTCAGAGTTATTGACAAGGACTGTGACCTTACATTGACCCTTAGGAGTTCCTGATAACAATTGTGACATACTAATAACCCTCTTAGAGTTACTGGTGAGATTTGTGGCCTGCCAATAACACCCTTGGAGTCACTGATAACACTTGTGACCTACCAATGACACCTGGAAGTTTGTCAAGTTGTGTGACTGTTGCCACTGGATATGGAGCCTCCTGCAGAAGTTCCTGGAGTTTAAAGCGACACAGTCCAGTGACCAACAGAGTGTAAGCCGGCTTTGGCCAATTTGTTCCTGTTACCTGAACTACAACAGCAGCTGTACCAATGTGATGGATAGATGACAGATCATCTCCCTGACAACAGAGGGAAACAAATAATCATTTTATTTATCACAGACATGTCAAATGCACAGCATGTTACTAATATTCTCCTGTTCCAAAAGTTGCCAAGCAAAGCTGAGAAATGATGAACAAATGGCAATTACAAATGGCAAGGTTAAACCGAAATCTGTTTATCACATATAATTATAGACCTGTTCTTCCATACTTTACACCCAGGTCATTATTGATGGACCATATACCTGTAACAACATTTTAATAGCATTACACAATAACTTTGGTAGTCAAAAAGAAACAAACAAATTTGCCCAGTCTCCTACTTAAATCAATATATGTCCTAAGGCCTCTGTTTAATATATTTGAAATATATACCCATTATTTGATGAACATAAACTTATACATACCAGTAATTAAACTTGAAACTTATTAAAATAAAAAAAATGTGATACAGATCTAACTTACTTTAAGGTTAATCACAAATTAAACTTTTGATCTTCTTTAATCAGTTCTTCATTACAAATGATTAGTTCAGGTATCAGTCCTCTATTCTTAGTGAAGAAGAAAGTAGACACAATGTAGAAGGATAAAGATATAATAGTTCAATCTCTGTGATCAAGAAACCATCTAAATACCATCCAGAACAATTAAAGTGCCTTTCCCAATCACACAACCATATCAGCACAGATCCATTTCTGTGCTTCCAGAGAAACACAAACTGCCATTGATGCGTTGAACCACGTACCTGAGATCTTCACTTAAAAGTTGACCAATGCTCTACTGACAAAGTTACTATGGCCCCTACATTTAAAGCTATAAACCATGACCACTATAATATCACTTCACCTGTTATCACATCACTATAATATCATATCACAACATCTTACCTGATCATCTGTAGGATCCCTTGGTATCACACCAATAATTGTACTACTCAAAGTGTTTCGACTCAGCAGACGACTTTTCACCATGTTCATGCTAAAAAAATTAAACATCAAATACAAATCCAGATTCCAGTAGATGAGGATCTTAGCGACAATGCACAATTATTTTTTTGTATTTGCTTCTGAATTCTTGGTGTATTCCTTTTACAAAGCATTGAATCTAGTCCGTATATTATACAGTATATCGATATATTTGGGGAAATATTTGCCCTGAGTTATTTTTACAATCTCATCATAATATTTGTCTTTGCCCATCATAATTAATTTGGCTGCTTCTTCATTTTTGGCTTATTGACAAAAACTTGAAAAAGTTCAATTGCATGGAAAGTGTCTCTGTATACTCACTATGCTATGCTACTGTATACTCACTATGCTATGCTATGTTCACCATAGAATGTCCACCCTCCCTGACCTGTAGTACTAGATTATCTTTCCCAAGACTGATATCTAGTTTTCCACTTATAATTTGTTGTTTTGTATTCCAAACTTGTTTGTCATACCTTGTTCTAATCTTCATTCTATTAGAGCAGGCAAGTAAGTATTTTGTACACCTAAAGATGGAACCATCAGCTTGAAATTGAAATGGTGACTGACACACAGGTTGTTTGGTTGTAGAAATTGTGGCAATATAGCAATGCTCATGGAATGGTCAAAAGGGAGACAATCAGTATTAATTTAGAAGTTAAAAGGAAATGTATCTGTGTAACAGGAATGCACCTGGCTCCATTTTTTATTCTAGAGCGTGAAATATACATGTGTAGTAAAAATGACTGATTTCCGTGCTTTCATGATAAGCAGTTATTTAACAGCAAATATTTTCATGAACGAGAGAGCAGAAATACTTTGACAATAGAACATGATATTGACAATACTTTTTATATTAATGCATGTGAAAGAACAGGGAAAATACTCATTCCTGCCGAGTGCCCAGACCAGGAATTAAAACCCAGGTCTCTGGTGTGTTAATCAACCAGCTTGACCAGCTGAGCCCAAGAAGCCTGGTCTGTTAACTAAATGAGTGACGGAGACTGTATTTAACTCTATGTGTAATTAAGTTGCACCAATCCGCTCCTTTTACACTTGGTTTCTGTACTGATTTCTTTCCTTTTTACATTAAATGAGTTAAGGTTATTTTCATGACGCTTTCTATGACATTTTTGGGAGTGGAAATTATACATCTTGCATTGTTTATATAAATAAACATGATTTCATTTGTTATAAAGAATTATAATATCCGATCACATCAATAATATCTGATAAATATAATAACCATCTACAAATATCTAAAAAAAACTTGATGAACTGCACTGTAAGTTTGTATATAGGTTTTCTACAGCAGTTGACATGAACATCATCTGTGACATGTTCATTATACAAATTTAGCTTCTTAAAATGTCAGGCTTCAGTTTTGTCTTCTCTATTTTTACTTATAATACCATTGACATGCAGAATGCTGAGCAGTTATCTAGTTATTCAAGACAAGTTATATAATTATATTTTTATTTCCTTTGAGGTCAAAATAGAGGATTTGGACAGCTGATACTACGCTCACTGTTTCTGCTGTTCTTCCAGAAATTTCGTAGTCGTGTAAACAGTGCCTTCGAGTTAAACAGCGAATACACAAACGTATTGAAGAAAGCCTCGTGTGTTAAAATTATAAATGTTTCAAGTTTGAAAATAATGAAACTTTCTTAGTAAACGTCCTAATTCTTGTTACATAAAACATCATCTGCCATTTAAACTCTTACGCAAGTTCAAGATAACAAGCCCCACAAATATATTGCAACTGCTCCAAACGACATACTTTGTTAAAAATTAAGAGTTTATACAAAATTGATACATACTTTCGCATACTCCTGACAGGAATGCGCATGGATGATCCAGGGAGGAGGACATTGTCGGCCACCAAAAGCAGAGGTAAACGCCGAGGGATTGTTATGGTCGACGCCATTTTGTTTAATGACCCGGATAAGTTGAGAGGTCAGAGGTCAAGTCTAAAGTACACCACAACAAATGCACGTGCTACTACATGAAGCTTATAAAACTACAAAATATTTGACAAAATAATGCAATACAATAAAATACAATACAATACAGGTTTACATGTATTTCAGGTCAGGGATTATAATTTATTTTCAAATGGGTCTTGTGAAATACGCCATTAGATATATATATTAACTAGGCATTGCAATTCTCAAATATCCGAGACTCTCATGATAGAGAATATCTAATTATTTAATAGTTTATGATTTTTATCGGGAAAGAGTTCCTTTTGACCCCCACCCGCCCAAAATGACTACCAGTAGGCTATAATAAGTATCTAAAAGGGTTATTTTAAGGGGTACCAAGAAAAATTGGGGCATGGTCTTATAATCAACCCTTTCAGACACTTGTATTATATTTACCAGGTATAATAACCTATTGGTAGCCACTTTGGATGGGGGGTTCAAAGGAACTCTTACCTTTTATCGGCGCAATGTTCTTTAAAACACGTTTTAGGTCTGCAAGTTACGATTTATCAACTAATATCACATCTCGTACATTATTGACTGAAACAACCAACTTTCACACCAGTTGAACTTAATGTCATATGCTTTGTTGTCAAAATATCAGAATACTATTGCACGATGTATAACGTATTGAAAATCATCCGTAAATTTTGTTACTCAAATCATAACTGAAGGTAAATTTCCCATCGTCGTTGCTTTTGGTAACACAATCTGAAAAATAAACAAAATAAAACGAAAAACCAGACAAAACATTTGAACACGGAACATGGCTAATTTTGTACATACATCCATCATACATTAGACCCATGTCACCACGTGCATAATTTGCAATAACAACACAAGTTGTAATAACATTTCAAAGTATTTTTTCTGTTAATTCTGCATTTTTAGGTTCAGACGAAATTTCAACAATCGAATAAAAAATTTAACTAAACCGATGGCATTTGAAAAGTTATCCAAACTGGGTGGTGACAGATCCATCTTCAACCATAAACCCATGCTGAATAACTGATCCTGATACATTTTCTAGGAATGGACACAAAACACATTTTAGGGCTGATTTGTACAGGCGAAAATCCTTTAGAATCAAAAAACATTTCAACATTGGGAAATAATTCCTCGTGCACATCTTTAGCCAACAGATCTAGCACTATAATAGGGGAAAACAATCACCATAGAGAATAGCATTGATCTGACATGAAAATGTATAGGTTTGCACAGTAGACAAAGGAAATGTAATAACAACCATTAGTGTTATAATATATATATATATGTATATGTTAGACGTCATTTTCCCTTCATCTTTATACATGTGTTGCCAAGGAAACTTGTTTAGACACATTCGTTCGAAGTGACTTTGAACCACCTACAGGAAACTGTTCTCAAATACTGAAAAACTCAGGCATAAGTTTGTGCAGGAATTGTAAAAGTTTTACACCCCGAAATTCTGGATATTTCTTGCCATGGCTGTGAACACCATTTAATTTTTTTTTAAAGTCGTTTCTCTGGAGAGAGAAGGAAATTAGAAATGCATCATTACAGCTCATTGGCTGTCTCATTGTTGCAGTTCTATGGTGGTTATGTCATTGAACAGTATATGAGATGTCCGTCGCATGCTGTCCAAACCCAGGAACACAGCTATGACCAAACCTTACAGTGGCATAAAAGCATGTGCAGAGAAAATTGTAAGTCGATATTTATAGGGAAAACGCCGACGTTATCCTTGTTTACACATATGATTCCAGAAAGCATATAAGCATGGTCTTACGAGATAGCAAGTACAAGCATGAGATTCAGAAATAAGAGAACAAACTAGTGAATGTAGAACAAACTTTATATATGGTAGAATCACACGGAACAGAGGTTTTCCTGGAAAACAACCAAGTAATGTTGCTAAAATAACGTAAAAGATGTTCCAAATACTTGTGTATACCGTTCAGACACAGTGTGGCATGTACGAAAGCCGGATGGACTCTCTTTCGAAGGATATTTTATTTTCACGAAGTCACGCGAAACTACCACCTTATTAACTAACAATATCAAAAGTACTGAATACTGCAAAGGAGAATCCAAGACAGTGATGTCGTCCTTCACCAAAGGTAGACACCATACAGATTTAGATAATTTAAATCAACAGAAAAAGACATATTTGATCAGAGGAGAAGCACGATGTACAATGGCCACAGATAGACCTGAATCCTGAATCATAGTAACAGAAATTATAAAGCAGCTAACAGTGCGGACTTATGTTTTTTTTCTTTCCTCCAGCAAATAAGCTGAACAATGTGTCATCATTATTGAAAGTGTTTTACGTCTATGTATATTCATTTCACATCTGTAATTGTTTCCAAAAGTTCCTAGCAAATCATGTGTTTTAAACATTGGAAGGTAAATCAATAAGATAGTTCCAGGGTCAGTCTGACTTACACCTGACCTACTGCGCCCCCTAGGAACCAAATTAATAATACTGTATACAATCAACAAAACGTTATTGCGTCGAAGGAGCAACACACCCGACATCTTACTTTTGACCTCGTACATTTGACAATATAGAAAGCAAAATTTACGGTGTAGATGAACAAGCAGAAAGACACCATTGTACTATGAAATGTTCCACCAAAAGTTTTAAAAAATCGTTTACATTATTAGGCATGTTGGTTTGAGCACTTGTGTATATACTTAAGAAAAGATAATTTTGTGGAGTATTGATAAGGTTCGGAAGTAGCATGGGATATATTGTAAATCAATATTGCTTTATCAGTCACATGTGTATCGTGTACAACGCTCTAGCTGTATGACTTGGACACAACCTAGTACAGCTAATATACAGGCAGATGACAAGTGACCCGGAACAAATACCAGGATTCAAAACTAAAGCACCGAAACACAGAACGGACTTGTTGCCTCGACAAGCACTGAGCCGACATTTCAATACTATTGATCTGTCAGAAACAGACCACGTGAGTTTTTAATATTTAGGAAAACATGTGACAAAATAATTTGTAGGACAGGTTTCCTAACAGGACGCCATGGACAGAGTTGGTGACGTATATTTCAAGGAGTTATAACATTGTGCTTGTTCAGTGAGTTTGAATATTGTGTTATTCAAATATGGCACAGCGCGTCATCCAGAATGTTGAGAACGATTACCTGATGTGTAGCATCTGCTTGGGGCGGTATGACGATCCGCGTCTTCTGCCTTGCGGACACACATTTTGTAAAGAATGTCTCTCCGGACATATACAGCAGACGGTAATCGACAGGAATTCCCGCCATTTTACTTGTCCTATTGACAGGAACATGGTTTCGCGACCAGCGAATCGTGCACCGAAAGATTGGGCAGGTCTATTTCCTCCAGATACGTTTTTATCAAGTCTACTGACGACAGTTCTTCAACATGAAGGAGGACAAGGAAATAACAGGTCAGTTTCAATACAAAAGAGTGACAGACCGATAGGAAATGACAGACCATTTCGTTCGAATAATTCTAATGATAGACCATATCATTCTGATGACTCTAATGACCACTTCCCCGTAAGCCATGCTGGACCATCGTTTGGACAAAGCCATATGTCTGAAGGACTTACATGTGTAGAACATCCAGGGAGGGTACTTGAATTCTTCTGCCTTGGTTGTAACGCGCTTGTTTGTTCGTATTGTGCGGTCAGGGGTCATAGAGGTCAAAGGTGCGAGTGCATCACTATGGAGGACGCAATCGAAAGACTGAGGCCACGAATGGAGGCATTGAGGAGAAGACTTCGAGGACAAATGTCAAGGGTGGAACAGCTGAGCCGTGGGGAAACACCAGCTGATGGCATGCTTGACGCTAGTAGAACCAGAGCTATGGAGAAACTGGACGAAATAGAAAACAATCTAAGTAGGTTCGCACAGACTTGTCTTGAAAGTGTAGAAGAACTCCGGCAGCAAACAAGAGATGCGGGTCGGGGTTTGATGACAGAAAACGCACAAATGTCTCGACTTTTTGACAGCATACAGGAAACGAAACTAACATTTGAGAATGTAGTAAGTGCCAATTCTGGACCAGATTTGTTGAATTGGCTGTCAAGAATGGAAAAACAAGCAGACGACTATGACGCAGCAATTTCATCTTCCTCACAGACCAACACACCATCTGAAGCCGAGTTTGTAGCACATACAGTTTTCAGTAACTTTCTTAGAAACCCTCCCCCTGTTGGGTCAGTAAGGGTGAAGCACGACGCTGGTAGGAATACACAACGCAGTCATGGGTGCAGACTACAGTAGTGTACAGCTATGTGCCCGTTACCATAGATACAAACCATTCAAATTTGTATAGTAAAATATCTTTTATTGTACTTTATGGTGCATTTTGAACTGATGTCGACATATCCCGTCGCCGATTGTTAACAAACATCATTTTGGATTATACGACGCGCAGAAATAAATCCAGTTCACTGTTGCTGATTAAAATTACTTTCCTGTGGATGAAATAAATTCTGATCAGAAAGTTGATGAGTTATATTTCAATGACCATTATCAGAAATGACAGGAATATACCAGAGACTCCATGACAAGCATTATGTAAATTAGCGTTATCTAAAGCATGTAATCACATTGTATCACATTTCTCTCATAGCTTGTCCAGCATTTTTATAGATGATCGTAATCAGACAGTTGCTATGACGTCATTTACAAAAATCACGCGACATGAAGATAATCTATTAATTTGACGGGAATGAATCCAATGATGCCTAGGCATCTTAATTCTTGAAACCTAGAAGACGACATAGGGAATTCCTGTTTGGCTGAAATTACTGACCTATGCTTTTGCCAAACCAACTTATAACTTAATAATTGAATTCCCAATATACAGAACTTTACTAAATACGGTTATTAATGCATATCGTTGACGCTTTCAAAACATTGTATATTCTGCATTAGAATATAATGATATAAAATATATGTAATAAATACTACATTTTTGTATGTTCAATTAACTCTGTGTGTTTTGTTTTCTGTTTGGTTAAAACACAACGTATTAAATGAGACAGAGATCTGTTGAGATAAATTTAGATAAATATAGTACACATGTGTTTAGGATACTGCGAAATAATATATTTTTGTGGGACTTAATTTTCGTTTTAAAATTATTTCGTGGACAGACGATCTCGTGGATAAATATATCTCAAATCTACTGATACAAACTTTAACAGTTCGTAGACATATGAATTCGTGAATAAAGATTATCCAGAAAATCAACGTAAATAAATCCACACGAAAATGGTTAGACAATAGTCGACAATAGGGAGTCGACCTTCAATTATACACTATAGCATATGATCGTGCAGATCAGCAGTGCATTAAAATATGTCCCGAGTTCGGCGATTCCCTTTACAGGTAAACATCCAATAAAGGCCATATAGATGTTGATGATTGCATTGTTGACATTGCCTTGGGATAAGACATTTATAAGGTTAATTTAAACATTTAATCTACAAAGTCTGATTATGTTTGTCAGTTACATGATTGTAGACAGGATAAGACTATAATCCCGAATGGTCACATATGTGTATCAAATCCACTAGAGGAAATGCCGACGTCGACTAAATCGTAAAACGAGTAAATGTAATACATACTGATATATTACCATCATGTATGATAAATCGTAATACGAATTAAAGGCCATAATGGAATATTCATAAATTCAATCACATCTAAGGCTGTAACTAGACGCAGTTTCTCTGTCTCTAAACAGTGAATATCAAAATTACAATAAAAAAAAACAAATGAAAAACCAATTTCTCCCTTTTTTTTCTAAATTCATTATTGACTTTTCAGATTGAGTAAAACTCGATCAGCCCAGATAATGTCCTTCAACAGTTGTTGTAGATCTTATGTACATGTGTATTTACAGTTTTTCAGAGACCGTCCGTGTTCGTGCAACTGACCTCATTTAAGTTCTATTCTATAGAGTGATTACCATTGATTCAAGCTTGGGTATATCTACCTAATGTTGAACGAACCATTCGATAACGGACGTGTTTCCTGGGTTTTGAAAAGTCAATCATTCTCAGAGATGTAGGATTAAAAGCAGTGCTGGTGTTTGATACAGTGACTGAGGATTACTTATGAGGAAAGTTGTCGAAAAAGAAGCGTAAACAAAAAGCCATCAAAGAGCATGGCCCAGCGGGTGGTTACAGGTGTGGAGAATGACTACCTTATGTGTAGCATATGCCTGTGTAGGTACACTGACCCCCGTCTGCTACCATGTGGCCATACTTTCTGCCGACAATGTCTGTCTGATCATATTCAGCAGACTGTTTGTGGCCGTGACAGTCGTCAGTTTATGTGCCCCATTGACCGATCTCCTGTGCCGCGCCCCAATCAGAGTCGCCAGCCTCGGGAGTGGGCAAGCCTGTTCCCAGAGGACTCGTTTCTAGCAAGTTTACTTCACGCTGTTCATTTACATGAAGAGGTTCGAGGAGCGGGTGATCACTATGTTTTTCCCTCAAGGAGACAACTTAACCGACCAGCTCCAACTGGCTCCTCGGCTGTCGATCCCCAAAGAGTCACTGAGGAACATCCTCCACCCCCGAGAAATATTTCTGAGGGCCTAACATGTGTTGAGCACGCGGACAGACTGCTAGAGTTCTTCTGTTTGGGTTGTAACGTGCTTGTGTGTGCGCATTGTGCGGTACGAAACCATCGCTCGCAAAGGTGTGATTGCATAGCAGTTGATGAGGCAATAGAGAGATTGAGACCTCGTGTCGAAGCTTTGCGCCAGCGCTTTCAGAACCAGATGAATCGCATAGAGCAGATTAGCAGAGGGGAAATCCCAGTGGATATGGTCCTTGAAAATAGTAAGCCCAGGGTGTTACAAAGACTCACTGAAATGGAAACCCAACTTTCAAGGTTTACACAAATATGTCTTCAAAGTGTTGAAAATCTACGCCAGGAGATTCGAGAATCTAATGTCAGTGCAGCAGGAAATCCACAGTTATCTTTGCTATTCGATGCCATTCAAGAGACAAAAATGACATTTGATAACGTAATGCAGATTAATTCTAGCCCAGATTTGTTGAGTAGCTTACCTCGAGTTGAATCGCAAGCTGACGAATATGATGCTGCAATGATGGCTATATCAGAATTTAGTTCTCCCTCCGAGATTGAACTCCTTACGAATGCAGCTTTCAATAATTTTCTCAGAAACCCACCACCAGTTGGTTCAATAAATATCAAAAGAGCTCCAAGGACACATTCGCAGGTTCAAAACACGAGGGTCAACCTTACCGCTTCCAACACAAGATCCAACAGTAGATTTGGCCAAGATCAGAACTCTAACCGTAGCCAGGGGCAGACAGTTCGGACCAACCATGGACAGTCCTCCAGAATCAGAAGAGAAGGTACTTTTAACGTTACACCAGCTAATAGGACTGGTGCCCCTGTGTCACAACAAACTCCTATTGTACGCCCGACTGTGACGCCCCGCAACCCCCCGCGACAGATGAATCCTCGACGAAGAAAAGGCCCACAGAAAAGTAAATCGACCATTAACGTGAAGAACCTCCAAGAGGACACAATGACCTGGCAGTTAACTGGAATAACATTTGTAGGATATTCTGTAGTCGTGGTAGACTCGTTCAACCATATGATCCGGCAGTGCAGCATCGCCGGATCACCTACCATGAACAAGGCGCTCTATCTTGAAAGTCCATTGGGTATCACAAGTCTGACAGATCCAACGGAAGTGGCAGTGACCCAACCGGATAAACGAAAAGTGGTGATTCTGTCTCTTGACTCGGATATACGTGTCAAGGAAGAGATATCTACACAGAAACAATACGAGGCGATTTGCCAGCTAAATGGGATTTACTTTGTTGTGACTTGCACGGAAGGTCGTCGTTGTGTTGATATCATTGATCGTGTAGGACGTGTTCAGAAGAGTATAGAAAGGTCACAACTGTTTCGGTCACCTAGATATCTTACCATAACCTCGACCGGCGCTATAGTGGTCAGTGATAGGGAACAGAAGCACGTGGTGTGTATTACCCAGACAGGACAGGTACAATGGACATACCCAACTCCCGCCTCCCCTTGGGGTGTTGCTGCGGATGGTTCGGGGCAGGTTTACGTCTGTTTGGACAACAGCAGTGTGCACGTGCTCTCAGAGGACGGCACATTAATGGATGATAATTTTCTGGCCGCAAAAGATGGAATCCGAGTCCCTTATGCTATATGTGCCCGATCTCGACAAGTAGCAATAACTGAATTTGGGCCTAGTCTTTTTGCCCCGAACAGTCCATGGGTACATGTCATTTCAGCGTGAAGGATAAATGTATTAAGTATGTTAGTGACGGCAGAGATTCCTAATATTATCATAATTACTAGTTAAAACATTTAAAACATCAGGAAAAACTGAAGATATCTATAGAAGAAAAACAGTATAATACATTAGAAAAGATAATTGGTATGGAACTACCGTAAAGATAATAATGATACCATCATCACATAGAATAAAATATCCCTTGCGTTACTGAGATCAACTGCTTTATGTTCTCATTTTAATTACAATAGAATATTAATTATGGACGTCAGCTGAGGTGAGTATGTGATTATACAAACACCAGAAAGTTATATTAACCGGGACAAAGTTGAGGTCAATTTTATTTTCATGTGTATATAGCAAAATTTCAGCTTTATATTGATTGTCAAAATGGGTAATAGCTCTATACATTAATTTGGTGATATCACATTACACTGCATTGGTGATGTCTCTACATATAGATTTTGAGATATATAATGAAATGGTGATACACTATACAGTGAATTGGTGATATCACTATACAAAGAATTGGTGATATCACTATACAGTAAATTGGTGATATCACTATACAGTAAATTGGTGATATTACTATACAGTGAATTAGTGATATTTTAGTGAATTGGTGATATCACTATACAGTGAATTGGTGATATTATAGTGAATTGGTGATATCACTATACAGTGAATTGGTGATATCACTATACAGTGAATTGGTGATATCACTATACAGTGAATTGGTGATATCACTATACAAAGAATTGGTGACATCACTATAAAGTGAATTCCTGATGTCTTCAAATGATTCAGTAATGTATTTTAATCGTTATAGTGATATCACCCATTCATTCTGGTGATACGACATATTAGTTAGAACAGGTGATATATACATATAATCATGGTAATATCAGTTAAACGATTCAGTGATTTCAGCAAAACAAATAGTGGTATCACGAGAATGAATTGGTGATATCACCACAACCATAATTGATAACACTATAATCATAGGTGACTCACCAATTCATCAGGGTGATACTATCTAAGCGATTAGGTGATACACATGAATTGCTGATATCACTATAAATATGAATAGGGGATTTCACTGCATTACATTGATATCATTATACAATCAATTGGCGATATCACCAATTCATTATGGCGATATCACCTAATCGTTTTTAAGTAAATAGTCACAATCGAATATAAACAAGTCAACAAATTGTGATATCAAATTTTTCTTTATTTCAAATAATTGAAATCAGTGGGATGTATATTCAATACCAATTTCATGCGATACTCCGCTGTACAAGACAAATATTAAAGTATGTTGTATTCTGTGACATGTGAATGGATGGTTGCGGAAAATAGTATTGTGTCTATTGCATCTGACAACCGATTTTTCCATACAACATATAACAGCAAAATATCTTGTTCAAGTTGACCTAGCTGTATTTGTAACGTTATGAGAGTGAAACAGTGGCTCTACTGTTCCATACACCTAGGCGACTTTAATCGTTTACATTTGAGGATTATTTTTGAGTATATTTCTGCAGACGACTTGAGTTTTTCGCTTTTAAGAGAAACCTTAACACTGCATTCCGATATCGAAAGCGAAAATAGACGCACAAGATTTCCAAAAAACCACGCAGTTCTCGTTCAATGCGAGATTATTTCTTGAAACCAAAACGAAACTTCAGTCCGATATTGTCGCCATTGACAGAATGACACACAGACAAGGCGTCCGGCACGTAAAAAAGATTTAAGGTAGGTTTTAAAATATTAGTCCAGTGATCGTAAACACACGAATCTCACGGGCAGACATTTCATTATCTTGTTAAGCATATTTAAAAGAACGGAGTGGAATAGAATTAATTTTGTTCATGTCTACTTTAGATGCATTCCATTAGGAATATAAGTATTGAAAACACTCAGCATTGATATATCATATTAAATTTGTGGAATATGAAATGAAAATGATTTCGATTTTCATTCCGTTGGTTATGGACATACTGCTACACATACACCTGCAGAGCCTGTCTGCATTTTAAAGTAGGGCTATTTTTAGCTGCCGTGAAGTTAATCTATGAGGTGAAGATCGATTACAAGATGTAGCCGAAAAAGGAAGTGCATTAAGACACATTAGAGTGTATTTTTAAGGTTCATGTCGGAAAATTTTGAAAAGTTAATTCGTATTGCTGTCTATCTTTTCAGTATTTTGTTTTTGTGAGGGTGAGGGTGAGGGTGTGCGGTGGTGGTGGTGTGTGTGGTTTTGTTTGTAAACTAAAACAAATGAGTTACCGGCCTTCGGACTGGTGACACCCAGTAACATCGCTCAGCCTGAAATGTGAAATTCTACACTATTGCAGCCTGCTGATTGGCCAAATAAGCTGGACTATGGTAATATAATAAGTATGGAATGTATCCGTATAGCTGGACTCCTATAAATTTAACATGAATTACTGATATTGCTCGTCCAAATATTTCATCGTATCCTGAGATCGCCATACTAGTTTACATACATACTCGTGTATACGCTCGTGTCCGTCACGCCTGCTGACCACGATATACTGTGTCTTACCTGTATAGACTCGCTGACCCCAGCCGTGTAAAACACCTGTACTCACCTGTTTGTTTACATTTCCAGTGTGTGCATGAACGGTTCCTGAAATATTGTATGCTTTGACGTTTGTCAATCCATCATGAATACTACTTCAACTTCCAATAAACATCTTATGAATTCTTCATCGTCGTCGTCTCCAATTTTTCCTGAAAGTAAAAAGGCCAGACAGGGATCCCTTACTGAAGAGAGCCCACCCAATTACCCTATGTACCCTAGTCAACCCGGCCTATACCTTCCGATGGGTACATCGACTCCCTCAACTCCTCATGGAAACGTCCTTCCTGGTAACTTCTATCCTCAGACTGCTGGGTATCCTCTGGGCCACTCCTCTAATACTCAAGCCTATAATGTTAATCTCTCTCCGGAAAACATACGAGATATTGCTATGGCCGTTAAAGAAATGGTAGTGAGTGAAATATCTGGCCTCATACAAAAGGAAACAGCACCACTAAGGGCTGAGCTAGACGCCTTGAAGCTAGAAAACCAAGACCTCCGGCTTAAACTGGACGATTTAGAGCAATATAGCCGGAGGCCTCTGGTAAGAATTTCTGGGATCCCCGAATCCCAATCCGAAAATACCACTGCTCTTGTCCTTGAAGTCATTGAAAAAGCCGGGATACCTGTAACTGCTGATGATATTGAAAGGTCGCATCGTGTTGGAAATCCCACGAAAACGAGGTCCAGACCTCGCCAGATTATTATGAGGCTAAGGTCATACGAAACCAAACGTACACTTTTAAAATCAAGTAAAAAATTTCGGGAGTGTCCTACCACGAAGTCTGTGTCAGTAAATGAAGACCTTACTAAATATCGCGACAAACTTGCATTTCTCTGCCGTCAGTTGGCGAAGAATCCTTCTAGTCCAGTGGTCCAGACCTGGACATGGGACGGTAAAGTGATGGTTAAAGACAATTCGGACCGAAATCATCAGATCTTCCAGGAGAAGTATTTGTGTAGGTTTGGCCACGTCCTCAGTACCTCCGAAAAACCTCCGTCACAAGGTGTTCAAATGTCAGTCAATTTCTGAGTATCCTACATGTGATCAATTCTTTATACCAACAGTCCGAATATGTTCACACTTATTCATTATCAATTCCTTTTAAGAAGGAAACGATAATATACTTACCTGTAAACTTACCGACGTCACATGTTCACACGGCCTATGATGATTATTTATCTTGAGTGATCGCAAAGAATTTGCGTATTTTTCCAGTGTCCAATATTAATCTCATCGTTTATTATCAATCAATGTTTCAACGTGAATTTGTACAACTTTTATTTTTTACAAATTACTTTCTTGAAAAATTGGTAATATACTTACCTATAAACTCAAACGACGTGACGTGTTCATAT